AAAAAATCTTTGACTTTAGATACAAGAGGCAAGAGTCCTTTAAGAACTAATTAATTAAATAACACTTCTACATGATAAGAACAATGAATATATATTAATTCATCTGAAGGGATTTTTAATGAATAAGTATACGCTGGCTGGGTACTACTGCGGGATGATAGGTGAAAACAAAAAGGCAGGTCAGTTGGCCCATCGTTATGATTACTCCTATAATTCAGCGCGATGGTTTCCAGGGGAGCCACGTGGAGGTCGACCTGATAGTGTAGAGGGTTTGTTGCTGTTGTGATTTAAACCAATCTAAAAAGGAGGTTCTCAATTTAACTTAGTTTTTTTGATGAAATGTGTAACTGGAAGTGCTAAATAAGTATAATTTGATGAAAGTATATTAATGTTACCTCCACTTTATGAATAGTCTGAAAGAAATATAGTTATAAATATTAAATAAGAGTCAGTTGTACACAGATTTATATTAAGATTTCCTTGACCTGTATATCGATAACTTTATATGGAAAACATGTTTCATCGCCCACACCCGCAACACCGCAGAAATTGCCTTTTACAAAAGAATATGCTCTGTTCTGGAAGGTTGCGATGTCGTATAACTTCGGAAATACCCGAATAAATGCTAGAATTTAATTCCAAAGTGTGGAAGTGCAAATTTCCAAAACTGTCCGCTACAGGTGTTAGCTTAAATTTTCAATACAAATTATTGCAAACACGAATGCAATCATAACGTAATTATTCATATAATGCACACTTGGTATTCTTATATTTTTATTATTTATTATTTCAGCCGATAACTGTTCACTGCTGAACACTGAAAAGCCTTCCCCATAAGGGAAATTTTACCAATTTTGGTAACCAGAGCAAGTTGGTAACCGGAGTTATGCTTTTAGAGATATTTTTGTGTCATATAGAGCCGTATAGTGGAAAATGATAAGTAACTGTCGCTAAAAAAAATTAAAGTGAAAAAAGAAAACAATGTGGCCTTACTAAACATGAATCATGAGTTGCCACTCCTGAGAAAAGTATATATTAATATATATGAAATAATAAATGCAATACAGTACTTTTACTACCACGTCTAAAGCTTCAATCCCGAACAGCCTTAGATAAAGAGCTGCTTGATAGCAGAATGAATAGGTAAATAGAGAAAACTATGCACTAAGTACTTGTTGCAAAAGTGTTCCTTCAATATTATTTCGTGTAAGTAGCAGACGGGTAGGTACTATAATATAAGTAGGTATAATGGTATGGTAACCTCACTTACGGGGCACCAGTAAGGAATAATAGACGAGGATGAAATCAAGTCAGTTAGCACATCGTGATGAATTCCACAAGAATTAATCAAGACGGTTTCAAATGAAACCGCATGTAAGGGAACCTAATAGCAATGGGACATAGATCTACATTACTAATAATCCCTTTCCCCCTTTATCGGTTTATAAGCTAACGGCCCATTTAATGAAAAGTAGTTATCGTCGCCTATACACATGAATAATACCATGGACATAACAGAGTATACAGTATCGCGCGTGTCACTCCTCATGCGTCCTCTTGCCATTCCTGAGGACTACCTGAGGTGTTGTGTCTCTGTAGTAACATTAATAACAAATGATAATAATGTATTTAAATATTGAATTATTTATCTTACTGTGTTGTTACTTGTGTCTGTCGAAATAGACTCCTGAAAAAAAATTAAAGTTGTAAACACTCAAACAGCTTTTAGAACACCTACTAGGAAAATGGAAATTCCAACTCATCTAGCAATCCAGCTAGGAATAGTAACAAACACTTATACTATAAATACAAGCATACACAAACCACATGATAAAGCCAGTGATATAATTCAGGTATTAAATAGTATAGCGCATTTTAAGTAAAATTCGATGACGTAATAGGCTGAGTGGTTAACTTCCCTAAAATATGTTTGAGCGCAATGACGGCTGGCTCATCTGTCATACTCGTGAACGGGTGCTGCTTGTGGGGGCTAATCAACTCATGTTTGCTTGTTTATTTCCCATTTAAATAAATATATATAAACAGAACTCAATTATAATCACAGCACCCATGCAAATGTAAAATTATCTTGTAAATAATAATAATTATTTAAAAATTGAGTAACTGTTGAGTTTCTTGCAGGTTCTTCTCAATAGATAAGATCATCAAAATTACCAAGCTGTAAAATCATACAAAGTTGACGATGTAAAAAAAGTTTGTAAAGAAGTGGATTCCAAAATTTTCAAAGCAAAATATGAAGTAAGTGCATGTGTTAGTGATAGATTAATATGCAATGCAATATTTATTAACCCAAGTTTAATTTAGATAGTGTTAAAATAAAACTATGATAATAAGACTTACAAATTTTATAATAAAAAAGGGGTAATTTTTGTATGAAACTCTTTATTGCGTCATCCGATTTAAACTTTGAAGAATTTATAATTCATAATTAAACTTTTATTTGTATTACTTTTTTATGTGATTTCACTGTATAATACATATACAGTGAAATCACATAAAAATATTATATTTACTACTTTTTACGTTTAGTACTATAACAGTTTTATATACATATATCGCGCTGAGCAACTTTTACAACGCGGTACCTATGGTTTTATTTTATCAGACTAATATTATTGCAAAAGTATATATTTGAAATTTTATTAAAATCCTTCCGACATTTTAGGGATGAGAGAATAAAATTAAAACTCTCAATAGATTGCGCTTACTGAAGTACAGAACATACCAATGCCAATTTTATGCATTCTAATAAATGTTGAAGTGTCAATTTATTTTTTATTTTATACTTGATGATTTGCTATTAGGTTTCAGCATTTAGTTCTATGTTAACAATATTATAATTGCATTCCGTTTTATGTTGTTTTTTTTTTAATTATTATTTTATTTTATTATTAAATTCATTATTTTACATCTAATTTGTACTCTGTCTCAAATATTTTTTATTTTATACTTGGTGCAGATTGTGTTTAGTTCTATGTTATTAATATTGTAATTGTATTACATCTTATGTTTAGGTTTTATATTGTTTACTTTTTTTTCTTCTCGTAACTATTGTATTTTATCTTTACCAATTCTGACAATCAGAATTGTTGAAAAAAAAATCAATATTAAAGCAAGCGAAGCCGCAGGTGAAATCTAATAGAATATACCTCTTGAAAAAATAATATTAGTATTAATTAGCAGGTTTTACCGGATTGACCTCTGCATTCTGAAAATAATAGTATATAATTTTTATAAATAGCTTGAAAGAAGTTGTAAACTGAACTGTACAATCAAATGAATTTTATATGCCAGATTCTCGTGAAAAGTGTCCACAATATTTAAATATTATGTACCATCCTTTTGACCACTTTTCAAACAAAATAAAATTATTTGTATTTACTTTTAGTAAACACATTAGGTATGTGTTAATGTTATAAAATAAGTAGATATCTAAAATATCAAAAAAAATAAAACTTCGCATAAGGATGTTCAATCCGAAGTTTACAAATAGCAACATTAAGATCGGCGTGTTGTCCTGGCATTGAAAGGGTTATCTAAAGGAATTTAATGGTCCAGGGATAGGCAATCGCGTCCCTATTAAAACATCACTAAAGCCTAACTGCGGTTACCAACCCGCCCGCCAAACTTGACATCTACTAACAAAACCTCCCAATAACAGGAGGCCTATGTTTTGCAGTGTTAATACTAGTTTCTGCAGTTAACGGTTGATATGATAAAGACGATTAAGTGTTAATTTTCAAAAATAATTCAAGAATTTTAAATATTTTTGATGGTAATAGCACTAAATATGGCGGTCAAACATTTGGAGAAAATTAAGATTTTAATTTAGAAAACAGTCGTATTTTCAGTTTATATAAAAGCTTCATTATAATTTTTTTTTTAAATATATAATTATGCTTCTTTGCCTCTATGGTTTTTTTTATGGGGATTAAAATGGAATTTTTATAAAATGTACTCACTGGTGCTGAAGATATATACCTAAAAAAGGTCAAACTAAGAATCGATAGAAATATAATTTTTTTACTTTGTTTACTCTGCATTGTACAATACGTTCAGAGAACGGTAAAGAAATAAAAAAATGTAATAACCTATGTACAAAACTATATATTCGATATATTTTATAGTTATGCGATAACAAGAAGTAGGTAGGTAGCACCTACATATATTTTGAAATTGAAATTCTTATTCGAATATTAAAGTACATATATGATAATAGGTAGGTCCTTTTACGCTAGAAACTAAATAATCGCGTACTGTGCGGTTTCAAAGGAGTTTCCTCCCACGAACGCTCAGGCCGTGAAATGAGCTCTCTGCCGAAGTTTTCCTTAGACTACAGTATGGAGTTCTTCCAAAAAGGTGCATTAAGGTTTCTCGAGATCGACATCCCAGACGTGACATACTTGGTGTTAAGGCATCGCTAGGTTACAGTGACTTTTTACCATCAGACGAGCAGTGCTAACACCTATATAATAGTAAAACAGATAAGCTGATCAAGTGCGAGTCGGATTCGCACAACGAGGGTTCTGATCTGAACTGTTTTCATCCTTCACTGATACCCCGCCAGCATAAATTAATAGCGCTACCTAAGGACTTACCATTTCATTTTCACCCAATAAAGAAAAAATAGTATACAGTTGTTGCTCCTACTTGCAGAATAAACATTCATACCATTGACAAAGGTAACTGAACGTTTTTTTTAATGGGTGATAATGGAATGGTATGGTAACCCCACCTGCGCTATCGGTATACGCTGGTGGGGCACCAGTAAGAGATGATAGGTGAGGATAAAAAGGCAGGTCAGTAAGCCCATCGTGACGAATTCAAAGATAAATCAGTCACGATAGTTTCCAGGGGGACTGCATGGAGGTCGATCCGATAGCATAGTAATAGGGATTACCTCCCCATTACCAACATTCCCTTCCCCCCAAACCGAACAATTACAGTCCAAAATATAAAAATATCATAAAGCTTCAGTATAAAATATATAAATACATATATTTGCGACTCTATATACAATATACAATGGATTCATTTTGCTTCATCTGTCTTCTCTTGATACGTGATAACACCTTTTTCTATTAAGTCTGGAATTTCAACAGCGAGCCAGGGTCCGAGCTGGAATAGAAAATCAAATTATAAAGTTCAATGTAGACCAGTTTAAAATAATTTATGTAAACTAGTCATAAACAATGATTGCCAGAAACTATGCCTTAGTCAATGAGATACCAATTAATATTTGAACCTAATTGAATAAAAGCAGTTATTTAAATTAATATAGTTCCAAACTAAATAGATACAATTTAAGCAAAACTATTGACAATGAAAACTGTGCAATAGACACTTTTATATATATAATTTTAGATTGTGTCAAAAAACCTATTATTTTAATTTGAAAATTAAACTACTAAATTAATTTTGATAAAATGTCTATAGGACTACATTGAAAGTATTTACTTTCAAATAAAAAAAAAATTTAAATAGTATTTACAAAAGTTGTTTATAATTGATTGAGTTATAACAAATATTAAAAAAAAAAATACCATCAAATTGAGAACCTCCTCCTTTTTTAAAGTTTGTTGAAAATTACAGAAATTGTTTACAAAATATTTGCTGTAATAAAATTTTGCCTGGATATGTATGTATCATGAAATAATGAAGTTATCACAATTATATGATGAATGTGGAAGAAATGAAAGAGGTTTGTTTGAATCGAACCATTTGGCGTTTCTTTGTTTCTGCCTACCCTAATGGGAGATAGGCGTGACAGATATGTATGTATGTATCACAATTATAATCTTCTGTATAATAGCAATGCATGTGTTGCTGTGTTTTGATATGAAGGGTAAAATAGCAAATACAATACTTAGCATTAGAGGCATAATATCCTATCCACAGGAGTAGTTAAGTAACCATGAAGAAATAGTGGCACCAATTGACTGCCATTGTTATTCATGACTATACACAATGTTCATTACTTTCTGGGATGTCCAGCTAATTACTTAAAATGATTTAATAGTTTTTATAAAACTACATACTCCAAGAGCCATTGCATGTGCAATTCCAAATTTTGGGACATTCCTAGCCCATAGTGGTTTGAAGTGATCAGTAAGGCATATTTTCCCTCCTCTGTACATTTTTGCAGTCTTGCCATCAAGACCTGGAAGAGCTAACTCCGGGGCTGTCGTTGGATAAGTAATAGGTATCTAAAACAAAAGAAATCATAAGAACACAGAAGTAAAATGCCAAAGTCTATATAAGTTGTTATTTAAATACAAAACAAACCAGAAACAGCATATTATTGATTATATGTAATGTGTGGTTAATGTTAGTTTAATAAGAATTAACATTGTGAAATGGGATTTATATATATAAAAATTTATAATAATATATACTTACATCAAATTCCAGATCAAACTCATACTTCAGCAGGTTGTGGACATACCAGCACTTGCCAAACCATCTTGTACCTGTTTTATCCGACTCCAACCTGAACCAATCATTGTCTGCAGCCTTATTATTTTGTACATACTGAAATAAATTTTAAAACTACTCTATAACAAATAATGTTATAAGAGTACCTGTTCAGACAAAATCTAAAATAATTTGTAACTCACAAAAACAGATTTCTTACACCATAAAAATACAAAAATTAATAAATATTTCACTCATTGTGCAAATGATCGGACACTAAGCCTAGATAGCAGGCAGATGTGAATCTGAACCCCAAAAGATGAAATTATTGAAAAGTAAATTTTTTAACTTATTATAATTTTTGTAATGATGTTTGTAACTCAAGCATACTAGATAAATTTGAATGAAATTTAGTATACAGACTAATTATATTGTAACCTTAATTGAAAATTTTAAATAGTATTGTTGTAGTCCAAACAGGCAAAACCACTTTTGCCAACCAAATATATCATGATATAGTTGATAAGTGAAGTATAAAAATACTTAAGACTGTTTTTCATACAAAGTTCTCTCTCTATTTTGTGATTTTTATTTAATAATAGGTTGTTTATCTTATGAGATTTAAAATTGAAGGATGATCACAACTGCACTATTGGTATTAACTAGTGGCATTAGTAAGTCAGTTGGCCCCTCATGACAAATCCACCAAGACAGTCCATGATGGTTTTCAGAGTGTATTACTAGAAATAAGAATATTAAACCCTATTATTAACAATATTTTTCTTCCTCTCAAAATTGGTCAGAGAGTAACCTTAGGTAAAAGATATTAAAAAAAATTGTTTTCCTTCATTAGCTAAATAGATGTACTTGAGCCAGAGTAAATGAAATTATTTCGTTAAATATAACAGAATCAAGGACACACTGGCGAGCATTAGAAGTGAAAGTATAGTCAGTTTATAGCTCATAATATAGAAATCAGTTTTTGAAACACAATGAACAAAGCTAAAAGATTAAAAATATAAAATACCAAAAAAGCAGAATCAGTCCTTTTTTAATAACGTGCAATTAAGTTAACTAATTTGTGCCACGTTCACATGAAAAATATATAGTTTTTACCTTGATAAGAGCTTGATATTCTTCCTTTAGTCTAGCAACCCATAATTCCTTGTCCCTTGGTCCAGCTTTTGTTTGCAATAGTGGTATGCTACTTAAAGTCTTCCTTGTGCTTTCATCTACCATGTTGTCGGGTTTTATAATGTTTATTTCATACTGTTTTAATGCAAAAGAAATAGTTGTTATTACAAGAAGACACTAGACAAAGTTGACAGCTTCACGCTTAAACTTGACAGTATTAACGTGACGTCGTCAACGGTGACGTTGATGTGACGTATACCCTAAAGGTGGTCGTCAACGATTAAAAGTTGGAATTTTACAGTATACGTACCGACGTACTTCTTAATCAAAGACTTGAGTATTGATATGAGTTACTTAAAATTATAGTTAAGGAAGTCGAAAAGGATTTGGAGAGAGTTATGTATTAAATAAATTGTGATTATTTTTACATTTACAAGTATTTAGCTTTAAAGTCTGTACTACTTGAATATAGCATAAATAAAAAAAATACCGCTACGTAATTTTTAACTAAGTATCCTTATCTTTATACTTAATACTGGCAAATTTTAAAATTTTAAAATTGGAATTAATAATAAAACTCAAATTACTTTGACTTTAAAAAGAAGTTAAAAACTATGAACACGATTTTTGTGATGTAGCGTTATAAAATAATTTTTAAAAATATTCCAAAAAAAAGGAAAAAGTTACAAAAAAGGTAAGTGATTTAACACCATCATTATTGGAATTGACTTATGTATGCATTATGAGACATTAGAATGTTCAAATGATGGAATCGGAACTGAAAGAATGGAACGACGCACGCAACCATGTTTCTGCTTAATATTATACAATTACAAATAGCTTAATAAATAAATCACAACTCACTTGACTCAACTGACATGCCTAATGATTTTAGAAGAGAATAATGGGAAAATGTTAATGTGTATCCTGCATTTGGTTATTCTAAATAATGAATTGATTTTCCGACAGCATAAGCTGTCAAGATTCAAATTTGCACTTCCATAGATGACCTCTCAACAAATGATCATAAACGTCTACGTCAAGTTAACACTTGAAAAAGATATTGACATATTTGTTGTATGGCATTATTACTTCCGTTATATAACTCAGAATGTCTAGATATGGATAGCTTAAAAAGACGAATTCAAATCCTATCGAATCAGCCCTTTGAATGAGTATTTTACTGTTAAACATAAATGTACCCCCTTAAACTGTCTCATATTTCACTACAAAGTACGGTCTCGAGCTACTTGCATGCATCTATTACCCTCCTACAACAAACTCACGGGTGTCCATCCTATATTATTTTATTGTACGGGTGTCCATAAATTATCTTTAAATTATAACAAACTTTTAGCCAACTTTATTTCGTAATTTAGAAAGGCAATAGAAAGCACATTTAAAAGGTTTGTTATATTACAAACAAAAACTGCTTTTATTCCAGTAATTGAGGACGGCTTTATGTTTTTATTCATATTATACAAGGTTATTGGTTTTGCAATCAACCGCCTGTCTGATGTCAATCCTTTTTAGGTATATATTTATTGGTGGTATCTGCCACCTATGGTATAGGAGAAAAAATTGAGGAAAATTTAGTGTTTACCTTACCTTGCCAACTTCCTTTACTTACTCTAACGGTAAGGCCGTAAGTAAGAGTGAGTAAAGTAAGTTAGTTAAAAAAGAAATGAAGATTTTATGGAGAGTAATGAAATGGGGACTCAGCAGTTGCAGAGGGTATACTGATCAGAAACTGTAAATGGTCGGGAGACCAGGGTCGCATACCCATGAGTCCTTAATCTAGAACAGATTACTAGAAAACGCCGGTAATGATATAATTTTAATATATTTCAGAATTAACCGCAACTGATAATTAATATTGATGTAATAAAATTACTAATTTTCTAACTACACTTCTGTTGGTACTGTCTACGTTGGATAATGTCTGATAAGAAAAAGTGAGCAAATTATTTTCGTGCAAGTATTATAAGTATAATATCAAAACACCACACACATTTTGTACTTTGGACGCTGTTGATTCTAAAACGTGGTTGCATTACTTATAAATTCCCAAGAGACTACAACATAAAATTCTTCAAAAAAGGGATAAAGAGGTTTCCTTCTAGGTCGTCAACACTCTTGTAATGCTCTTGATACTTCAGGCATTCATAGGCTATGGTAACCGCTTACCATCAGATGCTTGTTGCCACCTTCTTAATTTAAAAACAAACTTATAATGGGATTTATTTTTTATTCATATAACACACTTGACAATAATTTGTATATGTACCTATACAGTTTATTTTGTATTAAAGAGCAAGATGTGATACTGTTTCCAGACCTCCAGCAGCTGGAGATGCTCCTATCGATAAGAATAAAAGTGAAATAGTGAAAGGAAAATCGAACAAAGAAGAGCCACCACCACCAGAACCAGAGGAATTACAGAAGACTCCATCGCAGATAGCTAAAAAGTTAGTAGAAGTATACTGGATAGCGCAATGCAATTTAAATTTGCAAGGATTTCTATTGAATCTTAGGGCTTTTGATATATAATTAACTTGACAGTTCAAACATAACATTATAACGCAGCTGAAAAGCATGCAAAGTTAAATGCATTCACTTCAATACAAACTCATAAACAAAATCTTTATATTATGTATAGAAATTGAACCGGTACCTATTGAAATTAAGGCAATATGTTAAATCATTATTCCACTAAAGACAATAAAAACAGATTCCGTGAAGCTAGCAAAGTCTTTGGTCTACCAGACGAAGACTTTGTATAAAAGTCGTTTGCTCGGGTGTCTCTGTCCTATTCGTGTTTCTACCATGAAGCAGTTGTGTTTCGGTTTGAAGGGTGAGATATAGCAATGAATTTACAGGGTACAGAGGCAGAACACCTTAGCCCCCAGGAATGGCAACGCATGGGGGGGTATCATGATCGAAACAGTATGCTCTGTTATGTCCATGGCTCTGCTCATATCTATAGGCGATGGTTACCACTTTCTATCATGTGGCCCATCAACATATTTGTCATTTTCAGTTGTATAAAAAAAGTAAATCTCACTAATCATTCTTTATATATAAGGGAAGCAGAATATCGAGCTGTATTGAGGAAGCAAAGATTCAAGCACCGATGGCCGGAGATTAGTAAAGTCAAAATACGTACAAAACCTTGGTTCCCACCATCTCCTCCCCAACGTATACCTCCTATAGTAAGTCTAACCAGTATCTACATATCTTCCAATTATTATCGTTATCCTTTCTGCATAACTACTCTTATGTTAATATATAAGTAATTATAAATTCCTATGATTTTTCGTAATATTATCATTTATATAAATTTATGAATTCTTTATTGCACTTGTAAAAAAAAGATAGGCGAAAGGTTGGCTGAAAAAGATCTCTGAAAGAGATAATATGTCATGACAATATCATACAAGCTAATGATCCACCTCATAAACGAAAGGATGTAACTGTCGCTTTCAAATATCAATAACACCATAGATATCAGAGTATACCGTACTACCCCATAGAACTTTTCATTACCACTTCTAAAGACTAAATTAATGTACTCATAGAATTATTAATTTTATCTTTGCCTGTACAAGTTTCACCCCCAAATAAATTATTCCCTTCAGCTTCTCAAAAATTGACTGTGAGAAATCCCTCTATAGAATAAATTCGTCATTATCCAAACGTTTTCATATGCCTAATATAAAGTAGCTGCATTAAAAATGTTATAACAACAATTACGCCTGTGACGAAAACTACATATAAAAACTACAGTATTGATATAAAAAAAAAACTTTTAAACTTGGTTAAAACATTACATTGTTTGGTCACACTGAAATTATTACTAGCTACATCTTTTTGCAAAAAAATACATTTCAGGTAATACAATGTCCAGAGATTACGACTCGGCCATGGGTACCACCTTACCGTCGCCGACGTCGCCCTCGTCCCAAGCGGCAGAGGATACCTCCAGACGAAGTAACACAACCTTTGTACGAGTATGCTAAATTAAAAAAGGTAACCCATTATGACGTTGTACCTATTGAGTGCATTTTTTTATTATCTACCGACTTCAAAAAGAAGGAGGTTCTCAATGTTGTTCTCAATGTTACCTCATATTTCCGTCAGTTATAAACCGATTTGATATTTTCTTGTTTTTATCTGAAAGGATATCATTAGAGATTGGTTCCATAGAAATTTTATCAAAATCATATATATATTTTTAAAATGTTTTTACATTAAAGTAATTGGTTTTGCCGCAATTAAAATAGATTTTTTTGTGAAACAATTTATTAATTTTTTTTTAACAGACATACATACAGAAAATTTAGGTAGGTTTTTATATTTTTAAATTGTTTATACAGAAATATATTTATTGTGAGATATATAATATAGCAAAATGCATCATATTAATTCTCAAATTGCAAATGTATTATTTTAGATCTGGCATAATTTTGGTCAAGTGGAAAAGAACAAGATGATACTACAAGGAAATATCGGATGCAATTCCAAAAAATATTCTTATACTGCTTGTGGTTCGTTTTAATGTATAATATTATATTTAAAAAAAAGTACTATGTTTTGTAGTTATCCTGTTCTGTTTAATCCGAGAAAGTTTTTAGGAATAATAACATTTTCTCTAATAATAATTAAATAGTACATTTATTTTTATATACCTTTTATAGTATATAGTATACTGATATCTTTTAATCTATTTTAATAAATACGGCTCGAGGATTTACAAACTTTTTTAATAAAAAAGAAAATAAAAATATTCCTAACCAGGATTGCTATAATATTCAATCGATCAAAAATGGAACATAAATACTGCATACAAAAAACGCATTTGCTTACTACTAAGTTCACGCAAAGATGAAATCAACTGTCACCTGTAGTTACAGATAATAAATAAGTACATATACAATTGTATGATTATTTATCACTTTAGGTGCTCAAACTGGCTGCATAGCAGTCGTATGTAGTGCACTTTTAGAAGAAAAGAACCCTAGACAGTTAGTTAAAGGAGATGTAGACGAAGTGATAGAAGCTGGAGACAGATATTATAAGCAGTGCATGCTGGCGCTCAAATGTTACAAAGGTAAGATTTTTATTCATATTCTTAACATGTTCTGTGAACTCACCATAAAACATGTTATAAAATAATATTGATAATTAGATCTATACAATTACGAAGTGTATGTAGCAAGATCAAGTAGATTAAAAACTAAATAACAATAATTAAAATTATCAAGTAAGCTAAAAGTTCATTTAATAAAAAATTAACATACATAACGCTTTTCATGTAAGCGCTACGAACAATTGTACGTCACGGAATATAGGTGACTAATAATAATATGTCACAAAAATCAACATAAGTGTTGCATGCTTTTTGAATTATGACACAGTATACGTAACTCGTTGTGATGACACATTTAGGTGGATCCTTTACTTAACATAGAATGAGGATATAAAAAATTTAACCACGAAATTCCACTGTTTGTTTGACACTGAGCTCTGAGTTCAGTTTAGTCGTGTAAGTCTCTCCATAGGATAGGCCATCCCTTCCTTTCCCATGGGTGTCGTAAGAGACGACTAAGGGAGCTTATGATCGAGTGATGAGCAGCAACGTCCCTCATAAATCATCATGAAAAACCAAACTGTGGTTGCTAACCCGCCTGCCACGTGTGGCAACTACTGGCAAAATCCTTCTTATGGAGAAGGCTATGTCAACCGTATCATCAGAGGACAGTTAACAGCTAATACAACAACTGAGCCCAGTTTAGAAGAAGTAATCAAATCTATAAATTTCCCTCCAAACAGGAAAGCCTAAATTACAACTAAACCAACTCCTCACGTCATTCTTCTTTCACGATATCAAATACACGGTGAAAATGTTAGAGGTGGAAAAAGGATTGCTTGCTAAACACCCTGATAATATACAAACTGAACCTGACCTTATGGCGTAAGTGCTGATCTAAATTGAAAATAATATTATTTAAAATATAAATAAAGGGTTTTTTATTTTTTTTCTTTGTAATGGATAAACTCAAAAAGTACCTACTTACCTGTTTTAAAAAAAATATTTTACATGTAGAAAGCTGCATTATCAATTTGTATTACAGGGTTTAGGTGTAAATTTTCGAAATAATACGGATGGCTATTTATATTTACAAAAGTCCAGTCCTTTGAGTTCGTTTATATGTAAAAATATATGTAAGCATAGATGGGCTATAGGAATTGTTGTTAATCTGTTAATAATAAGAGATTTCAAAATCTGACAAAAGAAGTTGTTTAAATATAAAAACTTCTTAATGATACTAATTTTTTATTTTATTCATCTTTATTCCTATTTTAGTATTACTTCTACACAGCAGGTCTAGATAGCCTAGCCTATCTAGAAAAGTTACAAAAAAATCTCTCCCAAAAATCCACTCATTACTAGTTGTATGAACATTGTCATATTTTTTTTATGGACGATAATTAAATAGTAACCCCCGTTACGCTGTTAATATACCCTGGCAAGGAACCACTGAGTGATGAGAAGTGACAGCGAAAGCAGGTCAGTTAGCCCATTGTAACAAATTCATCAACAATTAACCATGATAGTTTCCAGGAGGAACCGCGTAGAGGTCGCTCTGACAGGGTATATTACCAGCTACAGAGCCGTTAGTCCTCTTTACTGACAATTCCTTTTTCCCATAATTTTAGATTGATATTCGTTAAAAACCTCTAGACACAAATAGTAAGCTTCTTGTAACTTCTATAATTGATATGTTTTCAAGATTGATGGAAAAGAGAATCGGTTCTACTTACATGATGATTTTGACCTTGGGAGGTGACCGCCACTTCTTGATATGGGGCCACCCACCTCCACCCGAGTCAGGAAGTCAAGTGAAGACTGTCTGCTATATCTTTGATCCTCACATACTTAATGAACTTGGACAACCTCATAAATTGTAAGTATTTTTAACACAATTCGATACTAGCTTCTATCCGGGAGTTTATGTAATTGCACAGTACCAAGTAACCTATATAAAAGGTTTCTTCATTTTTCTAAGAGAAATAACTATTTGTGACACTAATATTTCTACATCACAACAGCTATACTTTGATTTAATGTAGAACACTCCCATAAAACTCTCAATACACAAAGTCACAGCAGGTTATATGTTTTTGTTTACAGTACTGTTCTTTCTTTCAAACAACTTGCGTTACGTAAAATAAGTATATCCTTTTATTCATAAAAATTAAAACCTACAGACACATTTTAATTATCAGAATGTTTTGACACATTTTTGCAAATTGGGGATTTAGTATAAAAGAAAAAGCTAAACACTTCAATAGCTAAAATAGATCTACGAGATATTTAACATTTTTATGAAAGGGGTTAATTTATAAGCGACGGGTATCCATCAGAAGAACCATCGCCATAACAAAATGATTTGCCATTTGCAAAAGTAGAAATGCATTTCAGTCGATAAGTTTCTTAACAGATTCGGCGCTGGAGCGTTTCTCCGATACGCAGGCATCGCTTCCTTTGTTCTTGATTTTCTTGCCAATTATGGAGATCTGGATGCTGCTAAAAAAGGCACTCCTAAACCACCGATCATTTTGACTAATATTGAGGTATTAATGGTTTGAGATCTACTATATATTTGTTAATATTAAACGTTCAGGTTGTTTACACGTATTTTAAACACACAATCAGGACTTAACGTGATGTAAACGTAGCCAATAAAGAAGCAAGTATGTAGATACTATATACCTGTAAAGGCTTTTACATCGCTTTAAGTCCTGATTATGTATTTAAAACTATTATATATTGTTGATAAATTCGAATTAATATAAACGCATTGCGTTTAAAGGTAAAACCGGTATACCAGTGAACACACAAAAATAAGCAGAGAGAGCGGCCGTGGTAAAATCATCCCCTGCTATTTTAAATTGAAATATACTATTTCAAATTAATATGATCAAGTTGATTCATACAATTGCAACAACGATAATGGACGTTACCTCTGACGGGAGGGGGGAAGGATTGTTGATAATGGGGTCTAATTGCTAACAATCCTCTCAGGTCGACTTCCACGCGGTTCCCTCTGGAAACCATCATGTTTAATTCTTGTCGAATTCATCATTGTGGGCCAACTGACTTGCAGTCATTCTCACCTATCATCTTCCACTGATGCCTTGTCGGTGTATACCGATAGTGCGGGCGGGGTTACCATTCCATTTTCACCCATTAAAAAAATACCTCTGACGACCTCATTTAGTATTATTGACACACATAAACAGATTTTATAAACTTTTGCTAGACTTTTCATGATTTATTCTTGTTTACTACTAGATATTACCTTGTGTTCTCCAGGTTGTTCAAAAAGAACCCTTGCTTAGAGAGCCTAAGTATGAGCTCGATCTGAAAGCGATTAAGACTCACTGCCAAAGTGAATGGGACAGCATTAACATCAATGTTTTGATAGAGAAGAAAGTCAAGGAGGTATACACATTGCGCATTCTGTTGCCACTTTAGTTACCAATGGAAATAATATAAGCAACATTCAAATATAATATAATCAAAGATTAAGTGCAAATTATTATAAATTCTCTATTCTAATGCAGGGCCAGTATCCACTATGTTCTTTAAGTGCTGTGAGCTTGGCTACTTCAAGAGCAACATCTAAAAAGAAAGTTAAGGACTTCTATCAAAAAACTCCTAAAGAGGTAACTGATTATTTCTGAAAATTACATAGATGGATAGCACCTTTAAAAGAAAATAAAAAAAAAACTACATATGGAAAATGTCATAAATATTTATATATGTAGTAAATAAGCTTACAAATTAGAAACACTTTCGTTTAGAAGTCACTTAAAAACAGTAAATATTAAGAAAACAGATTTAGGTAAACAGAAATACGTAATTTCTGTTGGTAAGTGTGACGTGTTCTGCCAATTTATCCAGCATGCGTAAAAATATAGTGTAGATTTTTTTTGTATTAAAATAAAACGGAAATGCTTAAATTATTGAACAGCCCCCTCCGCAACTGCCACTCGCCCGTGAGCGAGCACCGCCAAATCCAACCATTGATCAGTTAATGGAACTCCGTGGCGAAGACTTCTTCCTCTACTGTCCTAAGACAGACGGACACACGTATGGCAGGTAAGCGGAAATTCATTAAGAACAGTATTTTAGGAAGTTGGTAATACGAGTATAGACTTCTGGAAAATAATAAAGAAATGATTTGAAGTTTAATTAAATAAAATTTCTAATGATATAAATATGAAAGTTTCTTTCTTTGTTACCTCTTGGCGCCTTAGCAGCTTAATCAATCATCGTGAAATTTGGTATACGCTTATTATTTGGGATGAAGAAGAGCATAGGTTATAATTTATTCCAATATAATTTAATCAACATCTCCCAAATCAGATAGACGATATCACAGGTAAAAGTTAAAAATAATAGAAGCTCTTAGTATACATATATCCAAGAGGGAGGGTTATGGCCAATGTTAACAAATAAATGTGTATGTTGATAATGGGTTGAAATTTATTTCATATTACGATGATGCAAGACTCCAAAAAAGAAATTCACATGAATTGCATATACCCGTTGCCGATTCTTAACTTTTTATTTGGTAAGAAAAGGTTACTTACATGTCGCATTTTAAATGCACTTTTCTCATTCTAACGAAGAATTCATCTTGCTGATATTTCGAAGAGGCTACGGCATATATTATTCGTCTGATAAAGAAAATTATTCACAGAGATGACATGATACCTCGCCCCAAATCTGAGACAGTTCTACACAGCCCCGTAGAAATAGCAAACCAAAATTACCACTCGCAATTCCAACAAGTTGACGTTGAGAAATGGATCCTGAGAGGAACCAGACATATGGGAAGTTACAGGTAAAGTTTTTAAACTACAAAAAATAGAGCACAAACTAATAAACTATAGTAACCGTCATTCCTAAATATAAATTATCAACAATTATTATGTATATCTTATATGTTACTGCTTTATGGTAAATTGTGGCTCCTACCATGGTACTCAATATTTTCTTGGAATCGAGTAATTTTGACGTTGTCACTAATATGCATAAAAGCCTCATCTAAAGTTCAAAGCAGGTGATGAATTATTTTTGAATGAATGTGAACATAGTTTCAGATCTGTAATTGTGAATCGTTTTCTCAACTGTTTTATTGGCATGTTGAACTTTAACCTACTTGTCTACAAGAAACACTATCTTAGGTTATCCAGGTGCTGATGTCCAAGTATTGGATGACTTTGGTGATTTAGCAGTGTAATACTCCTCACGATGATCGCGGATTCAATCTCCTCACAATACAAATGTTTTCAAAACTGTTTGTATTCGTTTGAGTATTTTCTATTTATTCAATTGTCTAATATCTACAGTACAAGCTCTGCTTAGTTTCGAACTGTATGGCGGTATATAACAAATCCAATGGTACTTATTATCATCATCAATTATCTTTTTGTTTAGGTATCAAACATTCAAAACCTATACAAGTATTCCGTGTTGTGTGGCCGCTCTTGCAATGCTGAGAAGGTTACGAGCTCGTGCCTGGAATGAGGACACATTGGATGAGACCTTAGATATTGGGTACAACCTATACAGGGTATGTATATAGTCATTTCATTTGGGGAAGTACCTACTAAGTAAGAAAACAATGCCTCTTGCTATTGAAATTAGCATTACTTAGTTGTTTTTATGACTCCGATGCAGAGGTGTATTGAGGGGGGGGGGGGGGGCTGTCCTATGGCTATCCCAGTATACGAACGAAGTTTTCTGCTTTGCATAAGACATGTCTGAAAATACATATTGCATTTTTTAAACGGCAAAATCTAATAGAAATTTAAATTATTTTCGTTTTTAGGTTTTTTTTTTTTATAAACTAAAATTATTAATTATTTTTTTTCGGCAGGAGTCTTTGGTTGAGCGGGGAGGTCCGATCCGTCGACTTGTCCTCGGTGAATTAAAGGACAATTTTAGAATACGCGACAGGGAATATACTCATAAGGTCTGTTAGAAATTTATACAATCATAAAATTAGCTTAACACATACTTATAGTATTATTATTAGCCGTTTGGTCCCGGCATAGAACAGGCGCCCCTGCCGTTCCCATAGATATCGTAAGAGACGACTAAGAAAATTTAACGATTGAAAGATGAGCAGCAGCGCCTATGCTTCATAAGTTTGTTGATACACGAATATATAGTTCAGTGACCATTTTAGTTAAACAGCGAATTATCAATATCTATCAATGTACATCTATGCAATATAAATAGAAACTACTACTGTAATTAATTCAGACTTGCATTTGCATTGAAAACATATTATTACAACATGCTATACTGTCCACTGCCGAACACAGGCCTCCTCCTTGGCGGATTAGCAACCGCAGTTAGGTTTTAGAGATGTTTTAAACAGGACACTGCTACCCATCCCTCACCCTCCCGTAGTCGCTTCCTCCGACACCCACAGGAAAAGAAAATGTGGCCTATTCTATACTGGAACCATACGGCCAAAATAGTAATATATACCCTCTTAATCTGTTTTACTCGAAATTTTGTTTTTGGAATTTCATTTCTTATAGTTACGAGGCATAGCCGTGTGGGGGAAATTGCTGTCGTCGAGTCCGAAGGTTTTAGGTCTCTACCGTGGTATCGAGAGTTTCTTTAAAGAATCGGACGCTGGTGTACTTCAGGTTTGATCTAATTAATACATATCAGTTTATTCTTGATTTATATATAACATTTTAAAGAATGTCAAACAGCTTGACTGTCTACTTAATAGAAAGTTGTTATTGTCACCTAAAGACAAACATTACATTGGGTATCACCGAGTATACTGAAACCTCTATGTTAATGCTCATACATTACTATTTCATTCCATTTTTTATTTTCCATTTTTATTCTAATCAACGTTTATCATTATGCTTATATTATATCTAGTATATTAAATATATCATAAGGAGCGAGCCTACCACCGTCACTTGGATAAATTCCAAAAGAGTTATTTGGCAATTTAAACTGATACACAAAGTTTTTTGTTGTCAGCCAAATTTGTGGTCACGATCTTTGCAGTCCAAATTAGATTAGTACACCTCTGGATCACGGCCGTGTCAATTCTCGCTAAGTGCCTAAAAGAGAAACTAACTGAACTAAAATAGGAACCATCTTCTTTGAAAATATTGTTATATTTCTGCAGGTTCCAGGAGAATACGAAACAGCTATTTGGAATGAAGGTGGCAGATTCTACGTATATCACCCGTGGCCAGCAGACAGATATGGGCATAGGGTGAATTAATATTTCTTTTTCATGAGTATAAATTAAATAGTAACTCCGCCTGTACTATCGGCATGGACTGTTGGAGCACCAATGAAGGATGATAGATGAGAATGAAGTAGATCAGTTGGCCTATCGGGAAATCCAATAAAGGTAAATCCAATGTTACTATCAATTTCGCGACGAAATATTTACCTCAGAGATTTTGTATCAAATTATCTACGAGGGTACTGGTATAGTACTATATTATCTGTTCTATATCCCATTTAAAATTCTATCGTAAAGTACCATAATTTGCATAACTATGTACCGGTTTTATCTAACCGCTATTTCATTCTTCATTAGGATAAAACAGTAAAACTGCAGAATATGGATGTATAAAATTATTCTAAAGAATGACAACACGTGTAGAGACACCATAGATTGTATTATGTATATTATGTGTATTATGTGATCTCTATGACCATAAATCTCTTCCTAATAATTGAATTCAAATATTATTTTTTATTTCATACTATTTCATCCAAAGGTTGGTCTTCGCGAAGGCGGAAAAGCCTGTCTTCTTTACTTTGGGCGCATATCTGGGTTATGCGAGTACTTTATGAATAACGTAGCTGATATGAAAAGGAAGCCGTTCAGCATAGCTGATGTCCGTGTCTTTGAAAGAAAAGAAATGCCTGAACCATTGAATAACCTCAAACGTAAGTATTTTTTTCTATTTCATTTAGATTATACTAGTATATAATTATAGACGCAATAAATAGATCGAAAATTCGATTCTACGACGGGTTTACCTAATTTCGAATCTTAACATCACAAAAAATAGTTTAATGTCATTACGAAATATATGTCGAGTGTAGTCAGTCATTCAATTTTTTAATAAAAAACATAGACTTCATAATAACTTTAGTGTTAGCACTTACTTTTTAATTTCATTAAGTAAAACAATTGTAATTCCTTAGCGGTGGCTCCGAACCGTTGGGTGATCCGTGGCCGCTTTCACGAAGGCGACGATCGATTTCCAGAGGAGCACCGCAATAAGCAAGCCACGCCAGCTTCTATCGCTGCCATAGCTATGGCGCACATCGTGGAACCGTCATCCTGGACCCCTGATGATATCGACGAGGTTGTATATTTACGAAGTGGTCTGTTAATATATTTAAAGAACGACTAAAATTCTAATAACCGGTTTATCACTATTTCCAGTTTAAAAAATAATCGCGCTTAAATTGGACCTGTAATTTCTACTATTAGGAATCGTAACAAAGTTGACCGGGTATTTAACAGGTCTGCCTGATAGTACGAGATAAACATGGCTCATACATTATTTATTATATATAACGTCAAATGTCTAATAATAATAATAAACTTAATAACCTTATAAAATTTAATAAACTTATTTTAGCTGTGGAAGTATTTTAAGTTTATCTTTTGCACTCTTTTTTCAATTTAAAAGAAAATAAAGGAACATTTTAATAGTATATTTTTAAAAGCTCCTAATTTTTAGTTATTAATAAAGAAACAATTGCTTCTTTATTAATATACTATAAATCATACTATCAACTGTACCATCCATGAGTATGTCTTTAAGAAATAAAACCTATAATTTGTTTTTAACCGAATTTAATAAAACAATGCTTTGTGACATACATTGTACGTAAGAAAAACCTGGGCGTATCACTAAAACACCATAGTCTTACAACGACTTATTATTTATGCTACAGACTCTAATCCGCGGTGACATTCTGTACCAAAATACTATGGAACATCTCGAACGTATGGGTATTAATGTTGATTCCCCCAAGAATACAGAAGAAGCAGGTGAAGAAGAAGTAGCAACATTGAGTGGGGCACTAGCGGCAGCTGATGTACTCACCAAGTTTAAAATTTCCGAGTACGATTGTATCGAAGCTGATGTTTTGGATAGTCAGTATAGTGGTAAGTAAATAATTGAAGATCTTTAGAACTATTAAAAATACGATTATAAAGAGATATATTTCTTCGACAATTTATTTTAACTGAATTAATAGTCACAACAATGTCCTAAGCATACTGCTGACTTCAATTCTATTCCTTAAAGAGGTGGTGATAAATTTATTCACACATGTAGCATTATTTTGATACACGTCTCAATAACACGAAAACTTGGATCGAGTCTTGAAACAATCTACAGTAGAGTGGTTTCAATATGGAATGATAACTACATCCATCCTCTTAATACCTTTAATGCTCTTAATCCTCACAGGTCAACTAAACCCTGACGAATCCAGCGGCATAATGTCCTTGAAAGATTCCCTGAGACAACTATTTAAAGAACACACTCACGCTATAGTAACTGCCAGAGGTGGCTCTACAGCAATATGGATGCAAGACGATCACATGTATTTTTTTGATCCTCATGGTTGCGATGAAAATGGTAAGTAACTTTTATACAAGGAAGTGAGCTGACTGTATAAATATTTATATTTATATTTCTTAATTCCATCAGAATTTATTAACCTCATGGTGATAGGGTAAGATGTTATTTTCATCTGAATGCTTGCTATATGGAGAGACCCATTTAATATTACAAAATTTCAATACAGAATCCTAATGGCAGAGATGGTGTATTCATATTCGAGTATTTTCAGGGAACCCATCTGAAGAGCCACGTGCTGCTGCTTGCCTGGTTCGAATAAAAGGTCAAGTTGACGAATTAGCTAATGTTATCATGGGAAACCTTGCCCCTGGTGTTGATGATAGTTTCAATATATCTCCAGTAGCTATAACAGCGACTAAGCTAAACACAGCATTGGGAGTGCCAGAAACTAAATTAGAAGTAAATATTTTTTATAATTGGATATAATTTTATATAATTCAACTAACAAATAAACTTTTAGCCAATATAATATTAATAAGATTTGTCATATTTATTTTCAACCTACTTCAAAACAAGGATATTCTCAATTTGAACATTCCTATTATCACATTTTCGATGGGAATTATCGTTAATTGTTATAGCTTGGCCACTTTGATCCAATATGCTCAAATTCAATATGCTCAAGTTTGACCAAGTATGTTCAAATTTGTTAACTTAATTCTCCTTCAATAACAGGAGATTACCAAAGAGAGGATAAAACCAATTTTTTTAATCTCCTCTTATTGAAGTTGGGTGAAAATAAATGTGACAACAAATAGATAAATCTTGCCCAGACTTATATAAAATTACCTATTAGTCCAAAATTAAAAATACTAACATCGGCCATCTTTTTTGTGAAAACATAAAAATATCATTTTTTTTATTAGCAAACCAAAATAATAAATTATTAAAAAAAATCAACCAATGCTTTTACAATAAAAAAATAATAATGCATACACATTAGCCTTTTACATGTGCCAAACCAATGTATGGCAGTTTGGAATAATCTTTAGAAACCATAACCAAACGTAGTCAAATACTCCTTTAAATCTAATTAATTTTAATTACATCTCACACCAGTGTTTTTTATAATTTCATAAATAAAAATTTATATGAGTGTCAACATTACATAATATTTATTAGAGTAAAGATTTTGGATGGATCAGCAAAGGTACAGCTGCTATCATGATGGGTCCACGAGGTGAGAATACCGCAATTGGTAAAGCTGCAGAAAAAGCTGGCATTGGGGTGAGTTTCAAATTGAATTTCGGATAACTTTTAAATACCTAAGTAAGTTTAAGAAAAAGAAAAGTTGTAGTATGTAGTATATAGATAAACAACTCAAGGTTGCGAATTAGCCTCATTATTAAAAGTCTAATGATAAAAATTATGAAAATGCATTATTTTTTTATTTTTAAGTGTTAATTATTAAAGTTTTCAAGTATCTATAAATTTAAAAGCGATCCATGATAACAATAGATCCTCTATCAATATCTTTCAACAGGAAGACGACAAGGCAGGTCGTATTATTGCATTGCCTGCGGCAGCTGCTTTCGCTGCAACTACAGATTCCGTGCCTCCTCCACATATGCACCAAGATCATATCTACAATTTTCTGGGTAAGATTCTTATAATCTACATACGTATCATAAAATTTTTACGATGTTTGTATATAGAAGGTATTAAAAAAAATATATGAGGAATAAGAACAATAGAAACCAAAGCAATAATTTTAGAATTTATTTACCTCTGTGTTATTTCCAGCACGACGCAAAATACTGCACCAAATTGAATGTTTCAGAAATACTACTATGCAAAACACAATTGTATTTTTGAAAGTAAAAAATCTGGTGTAGGTTTTTATACGTCAAAAATTATGGTTACCTGTTTATCTCAAATCTACGCATACGAAGTCACAAGCAAAAATTAATCATAATATGACTTAAAACTGTTCAAAGTAACAATTAAACCACTTAGTGTTTGGTCATTTAAAATTAGATAGTGAAATGGTCAAGTAGAAAAACAGAGAAAGAGAGAGTGAAAGAGAATATGCTTTATGAGTACCATTATATATTTGTTGTCAGTTTACATTTGAATTTTGATAGTATCATGCATATGTAGCAAGTAGATCTTACTAGTGGAATATTATGTGATTGTAGTAAATGACCATGGGCATCGTTAAGGCAAAAAAGACATACAGTCTCAACTAAAAATCTTGTTGCCTTGCTTCTTTACTCGACAGTCCTTTTCTTCTAATATTCTATTATATTTTCTCTTGTATTGCAGTATAATGTATTACATATTTAAGATTTTCACTAATAATATACATACAAAGTTTGTGTTTTAATATTAGCCCTTTTATGATAACAGTATCTATAGCAAAATCTTAATAACGATTAACGCTAGTAAAAGAAAAATAGAGGACTGTCACAAACATATTATATAAGTAATAATTTTTAAAAATAGATGCTGGCGCCGATTACTATCTCAATCATGTAAAGAAGACAGGTCGCAAAGAAGTATTGCCTGAGGATCTGACAGAAAAATTCGAAATGGGAGCCAACACTTTCTCCATAGAGCTTGGTGAACCGACTAAGTTGCCTCTAAGGCTGCCTGATGAACCTGAGGGGGTAATTTTTATTATTTTACTTTTCTTTTATAATACTTAAAATCCAAACAAACTAACAACCCATCTGTCGAAAATATGTCTCCTATACTTTTCATCAACTGTCAGTTACAATGTTCTTTATCCCTCATGCATTGCCATTCCTAATGATTATATTCTAACAATTGGAAACTTTTATAAATTTCCCAATTTTCAGTCTTAAATTTCTAATCCCATCTCAGCAGAACTTCCAGTAAAATTATTATGCTTGAAAAGATAGATATTACGTTAGTTGATAAAAGTGCTATAATTTATGTCATTACAATTTTAAATTCCTAATGTTTTTGCACTTTGAGAATATGGTAAAATTTTACTTCCTTTAGTTACTTATTATCTATTTATGCTGTTTTGAAGAATGTCTGTTGAATTGAAGCATCGCATGGCTAAAAATATGTAAATAATATAATACAAAGTAAATAATGAAGTTTCATTGCCTATTATCCTATTACAAATTAAAAAATATATTGAATTAATTTTTGCCCCTTTGATATAACAAAGTGACTTAGTTTAGTTTTTGGAACTTTAAAGAAAAATATATTACATTATTACATTACATTTCAGGAGGGAGATGAAGAAGCCGCTCAGAGAGACGAAATTGGTGAAGGGTTAGAAGAGGAAGAAAAAGAAGAACCAATGAGACGTAAATATCTTAAAACCTAAATTATTGCTTGCACCGATTAAAATGTAATGTGTAGTTCTTTAATGTTACGCACTGAGCATGGCATGTCTATTCAATTCAGCAGGTTATACATAATGAATTGTATTATGAGGAATAAATCGTATTCAGTTATGAAAGTACTACTAAGAATACAAATATGTAGCCAGTAAAACAAAATTTACTTTATGGTAACAAAATTATAATTGCAGAAATAAAGGATGCTCTCTTTAAAATGTGGTACGACCAAACGAAATCCACTTCCGTGGCCCTCCTTGTTGGTGATTACCATCAGTTAGGTGTGTGGATGTCGCCGGGAGGAAAGGTGGTCGCTTTCGACCCTGCTCCTACTCTAACCAAAGGATTACTCACACCACAAAGAATTAAAAAAGGTAATATTGTATTTTATTTTTCTTATCGTTATGGTTTCGCGTATTTTAATGCTTTTTGACTTCAGAAAAAAAAACTTTCGCAATTCAACATTTTTTTATGCAATAACTTCTCTAACGATTTTGCGATTTATTTCTTAACATATGTTAGTGCTGTAAAATATTTTATTGGAACAAAATCTAGTTATTTAATAAAATTATTTTACACTAGATTTTTGTAACTTTAGGTGATGAAATCAGACTTCAACGTTTGAAAGAAGAAATGACCGGTGAAGGTGATGATGACGTCGATGAGGAGGGTGATGAAGAAGCTAGTGGAGGTGAGTATACAATAACAATACTAACTGTATCATAAGTAAACGATGTAATAATAAGAGTTGATACTTTGCTTTTGGTAAAGGAAAACTTCGCTTCTCAATATCGTCAATTTAGAATTCAAACAATTTTTGTAATGTGATTTATGAAAGCGTGATTTAAAACACCTAAACACTGTGTCCAGGCTTATTAAAAGTGCTTAAAACTTAACAGTTTTACAAATTAAACTGTGCTGCCCTGCAAATTGTCACTAAAATTGGGCAAAACAGGTTAGTTTGCTTTCACGTGACCTGCCAGAATTTTAAAAGCTTTTTATTTATTTATAATTTATTAGGTACACGCAAATATTAATGATGATATCAGACGTTCACTATCGAAGAAGTTCACTACCCCTAGAGGGGTTTTGCCTGTTCTTCGCAGGCGGGTTAGTAACTGAAGCAATTAGGCTTTGATGATGTTTAAAGAGAGATGCTGTTGCCCGTTTCTCACCCATTAAGTTCCATTAGTCGCCTCTTATGACACTTACGGGGAAAAAAGCGGTGGCTTATTCTATGCCGGAAGCACACGGCAAATTATATTACTGTAATATAAATTATTTTGATCAAAGGTGTATATAAGTGAGTTTATCTCTGTAAGAGTCCTCATCCAACAAACCCAAAATAGAAAAAATTCTGGAAAGAACATTAATTAAGCTTGTCATTACAAGCCCCCGGGAGTTTTAAATTGTGCCTCCAAATTTTCGATATCTGATTTCTTTTAAAATTTTATACTGATTTGAGGATTAGGCAACTAACACATTTTCCTGAAACTTATGAAATATTGCTGAAACTATTTGTATAGTAATTATTTATGTTACTGTTATCTATTCAAATAAATCCTGAAGCAAAAATACTATCAACTTATTTGAATATTATTAAATATGCAATACTTTTTTCTTTAATCTACCATAGAAACAAATATGATCCACAGAAGGTGAAGAGACACCCGAACCGGAGCCTGAGTCTGTGCCTCCAGAATCCTGCCCAGCTTTGATGGTGTTCGCCAGTCCTGGAGAATTCATTGATAAACTAAGTAAACTATTTTTATATGTATGGCAGTAACTTACATAGTCCATGTTATAGTTGTATTAGCTCCAGATATCTAAGCTATTTTTAATAATGTTCATAATAGTAGCGAATTAAAAGCTATTAAGACATCAAAAAAGTCAAATTATTAACTTAATATATTTATACTTAATTCATCTACAATTTTTTTCTATGTTACACGATAACATGATCCGATTTTGATTATTCTTTCTGCAATACAAAAGTTATACTAAAATTAATTTTATAAAGCTAAAATTTCTGTTTACGGAGTAAGACCTTGATTGTCGCGAAGCAACATCTACGCATACTAGTTTTTAATATTTTCACTCTGATACATATTCTTCGTTCTGATAAATGTACTTCAGTCGTCAGTTTATTATGCTATGATTACAGTCGACTTTTTGAAGCGAAATGTTCATGTTACGTGTAAATATCTCAAACAATATAATATATGTATTATTTAGAAATTGTAAAATATTTCACCTAATCAGAAATTATATATTTTAACCATAGCACTTCAAGGCGGGCTCGATAAGAAGCAATGCCTAGCACCGTACAAATTATACCCTGTGAAAATAACCAATGAGTTAACTTCACTGCTCAAGGAAAAACGATCTTTACCTAAAAAAAGTGATGAAGAGGGTGCTGGGGATGAAGAAGGTAAGTTAACTTATAAATTAGAATATTGTATCGTAATTGTTGAATTTTCGTCATGCGACAGAAAAGAGCTTTAAGATTCTAAAAAATATTTCCGCTTTTATTTATATTTCTCATTATTGGCATAATGCTATCGTTATTAAGTCCTACTAATATAATGTAATTACCATCTTATATTAAAATATATTTTTTTTAACTATCATAGAATATCTTTGCATATTCTAAAGGTTGACTGATAGAGAATGCCTATAGCAGTAAGTTCGCATTTTGTACTACATTTTATTGGCCAATAAAGTTTAAATAAATAAATAATATCATAAAATTGTAACTAGACGATCTCTAAATAAGAAATATTAAAAAAAAATATATGAATAGTCGCAATTTATATTGAGACTGGCTTTTTGGCTTCTGCCAAAATAATCATTTTAGTGTTTTTATCTTTCTGTCTGTCCATATCCATTCTGGCATTACATAATAATTACTTGACTAAATTTAAAACAGTTTTCACAGTTGTGATGCTGAAGATCAAACTTAAAATCTGTTGCATGTTTTATTTCAATACACCCATTTTATATATAAAATTGACGTAAGTATTTAAAATTCATTAGACTGGCAGATATTTGTTTACCTAGAACGAACTGTTACAACTCTAGCATGTAAACATATTATTGCTGAATAGCAATATCGTTTATTTCTATTTTAATTAGCAGTATTATGCCTATATACATACAAACCCTAAATCAGTCAGTCAGCCAAATTACTGCCAGTTACGGACCTGGTTGCTGCTCGCCAGTCTGGCCAGTAAAATTAACTAGTTAGATTTAATAAAACCCGGAACCAAGAGACCCGCATGTCGCGAGTTAAGTGGACCTTTAAATTAGTTAAAAGTGTAATGTAAACTAAATAAGTTAATAATGTTATTTGTAATCCTCAGTTGATGAAGAAGCCTTGGTAGAATCACTAAACGATGTTGCTATAGGCAAGTATTTCACCAGACTCGGACGAGCAGTTGCCTCGCTACGAGGCAGGGTTGCACAAAACGAAAACTATTTTATGGATCAACCTAATAGAGATAACCAGGTCAGTCAAGTCATACTTATCCTCAAATTATATACAAACAATAAAAGAATGTAGTTATGACTTATAATTAAAAATACCAAGAGTCTGTACAAATTTAAACTGTAGTTTACATTTAAACATTCCATAGGATGTAACCAATTCCATAATGGGGATAGTTGTGGAACATATTGAACCATACATCCACTGGAAACCAGAGTTGATTGATGCAATACTTAAATATGGAGATAGACTGTACACTAGCTCATTACCCAAAGCTTCAGAGCCTCCTAAACTACAAACTACTGAAGTTGAAAAGGAATTTCATGTCACTAGCTTTAATGTAAGTATATATTGATTTATAGACCTTAAAACATTACAAATTGTTGTTCTGGTTTTATTATAAAAAAAATAAAATGAAGACTAGTAAGCATTGTTACCTCATTTAAAATTCTCGAGAAGGAGGTTCTCAATTCGGTTGTATTTTGTATATATTTGTTACCTCATAACTCCTCAAGTCCTAAGTCCGTCAAACTGAATTGGATTTTTTTTATCTAAAACTTCAGATGGGTCCCATAGAAATTTTCAGTTTTTTATGAGTCACAGTCATTAATTATTGATACTTCTTAAAAGTTTCTGACTGAAAACATTCCGGCAGTAAATTCACAGAAAAAAATTACGATGGAGAGAAAAAGGTAATTAATTCTTAAATGATAAACTCAACAGGTGAAGCTAGATGTAGAACCAAATGTCGTGAACGGTGATATAAAGGCAAGCGAGTTTGACGGGGTATTGAATTTGAAGAGAGGACTCAATAAATTCTTTGAAGCGGTATGTGGTCTCCAAATTTAGTACTTTATTTACACTTTATTGTGCATACTAATAAAACATGACAGTGGAAATATAATGTACAAAGGCCAACCTAACTTGTAAGAGTTCTCTTCCAGCAAACCCAAAATGGAAAGGAGCACGGAATACCTGTTTAGTATATTGTACCGCCAAAATTATTAATAATACATACAATCATACGTATTTCGAATTTAATTTTATACGGTTGAAAGAAACGACATTAGAAGCCCTGTTGCGATATTTAAGTACAAAAGGCAATTGGTTGCGGTTGGAAAGATTAACAACTTTAAAATGAATTAATAAGCTTTCTTGCTACAAAACTATTAACCATGTTTTATCGCTGTTCTCATAGAGAAATGTTTTTCTCCAGAACAAATATGGAGTACTTTGTGCGAAAAACTACTGCGTGGGTATATGGAGAGCAGCTGATGATAAAACCTACTGTCTCTGGGACCCTCACTCTGTAGGTCCGGGTGGAAAAACCTCTCCTGGAGGTGCTGCAGCTTTAGTGTTATTCTCATCCATTGACGAACTTGCGAATACTTTCAAGAATAATGTGGAAGGACTAGGTAGACCTGGACCTAACAGGTTAGTTGAAATTGTTGATTTTACAAACAATTTGAATAACAGTTGATTTCGAAATAGTTCATGGCAATATTTCTTTTTAAATTTTGTAGTTTTTATTTAGAGATAATTTCTTATAGAAAGACATTATCTTAACACGTGTTATTATACAATCAATAATTGTGCTTATATTTTATGGAGATGTTCCTACGATATGTTTATTTCTAGTGGTTGCATATAGCAGTTAAAATAGTCTTCAAAGTGAATTATTGACAGTAATATAGCCATTGTAAATTTAGAAAATACAGTCAACAGATATTAATAGTATGATTTGTCATAAAACATACAGGGTCAAGTTTTTTTTTTTTTTTTTGTAACACTTAAAAATAATGTTAAATCTAGTACAACGAGTTCTAAACGAAATGCGTGGCTTTTTAAATATTCGACAAATATCCGGATACAAAAATATTATTATTTTTCAGATTCGTAATATCCTCTGTCAAAGTACTTTGGGAGATATCTAAGACACCCGGTGGTGTAACAACACAAGGAGCTGTACCTGATGAAGGGTACGAGTGGAAGGTCCTCACCGCTTACGTAGAAATGGCGCGAGGCAGAACTATTCTGAGAGGAACAAGACCTCCAGACCTCGTCAAGTAATTTGTCAATATTTCTTTCAATATAAAATTAACTTTGTCTAAGATGAATATATATATATATATATATATATATATATATATATATATATATATATATATATATATATATATATATATGGATAGATGTTAAAATATCAAGAGTTACAATATCATAGACGAATACGATTGTTTCGTAATATATAGTCTTTAACCTCGCCGATATTGATTTTTACCATTAATCATGGTATGAATAATTAAGATTTTGTTTCACAAAAAAACACCGACTTTGATGTGAGAAAATCAGTTATTTTAATTTAAAAACTTTAACTACAAAACAGACTAAAAGTATATATATCCTTTCAGATACAAAAAGAATTTTCCAAATCAATGACGAAGTTCTGAGATAATAAATGAGAATGCTATATAGCATTAAGTCGGCCTTTTGTTCCAAAACTATTTTTGTAATGTTGACCGCATTACAAATTACATCTGAATTGAGAACCTCCTCCTTTTTTGAAGTCGGTTGAAAATATATGATAATTTTTATCTTGAATGTAATTTTAATTCTAAATTAGGTTTACTCGGGACGCTCTCCTTCAGTCTGCTTGTGGGGCTATCGTAGCAGCTTGCATGTCATACATACGTCGTCCACATCTATGGACCAGGAACACAGTGGATGAGATCATGGCAGTGGGGTGCCAATTGTTTTCTGCTTCATTAGCCTCTTTAGGATACGAGTTCCGACCTGGAGAGGATGTCTTGTTGCCGTTACAGGCAAGTTTCTTGACACCATTCTAGTATATAATGCAAGATTCAAAAAACAAATTTGTCGCAAATTGACACGTGAATAAGTTTGACTTGTTGTAATGACATAAACATTTCTACTTACACTGCGTTTTCTTAATAACGTTTTCAATAAGTATCTACGAGTAGATTTATTCTAATAAACTCATCACTCAAAGAGCTTTACAAAATGGCAGCGAAATTCTTTTCTGGTGTTCAATAATTAATACAAAATTATTGTACAATTATTGTATAGGTACAAGTGAAACAATTTTGTAAAAAACCTTATTATGTGACTCTACTAAAGGTTTTAACCTATTTCAAATTTCTCACAGCAGTTGCCCGAATTTATTTTATTTTTATCCTATATACTACATATGTATAACCTAAGTTGTTTGTAAGGAGACATAAATAAAATATCTACAAATATAGTCTCTAAAAAGTACATTGGGTGCTCTGTTAGTATTTTAAACTCATCTCTCCATAAATAAAACAACAGTAAATGAGTAAATGATTTATGGATGTTAATCTAAGTGGCCGGTTGGGTACGACATAGAATAGGTCACCCCTTCCCTTCCCGTGGATGTCGTAAAAGATGACTAAGAGAGGGCGAGGGATGGGCAGCGGCGTCCCTCTTAAAACAGCTCTAAAGCCTAAATATGATTGCCAATCCGCCTGCCAGGCGTGGCAACTACTGGCAAAGCCTCCCAAGGGGGAGACTTATGTTCAGCAGTGGACATTTTAAGGCTAATATGATGATGATGAATCAAAATTGCAAATAACATAATAATCTCACTATTATAATAATTTGAATATGCAACTGAAATTATAAAATTCGACAGGTGTTGAAGCGTTTTGTACTAGGTGTGAACTACGTTCGGTATGATCTTGATGCTGTGTACTCTGGGAAACTGGAGCAAAAGAATCCAAGTGAAATGACTGTTCGGTAAGTGGATTGTAAAGAGTCTATTATAAATATTAAGTACATTTTGTCAAATTGTTTATATTTTCAATCAGCCAAACTTTTTTCATGGGATAATCTTTATTCTAATTAATTCAAGCTAGTTGATTCCCTGGACTAGTATAGTATTGTATTATCTGTGCCCTAAGATACATCTATTTTGAAATATATCTTAGAAATGCCACATATGTACTCGTATATGTGTTGATTAGTCAAATAGTTTAAACGGTGGTAGAATCACATTTTGAATGATTGAATAATATCACACCACTTGGGCATATAGTAATTTATTGGAAGAGGCTTGGTTAAACCTATTTTAATCTACATTTAGTCCCATTAGGCCCAAAAACCTCTACTTTAATTATGTTTATGAATTAGTTTTATAAAAATAGATTCATATTTTCATCTATAAGTTAACGATAGTTCTTAAATTACATTTGTACAGTTGTGCATTAGAGCGTTTCTTCGAGTCTCACACCCACGGTATACTGTGGTCTGTACCGCACGCAGTCGCCGTGTGGAGAGTTACTGGAGCCCCAGCGTTTTACATGATGGAACCCCATGCTTGTGGTCCTACTGGCCTAAGAATAGATGCACAGGTGAAGTCTCGTTTTTAATTATAAATCTAATTGTACAAATTCATATAGGCCTACACATACCCACCGATACGACCGAGACTATATATTTTCACCAAAATAGAGTAGGTCGAAAAATATATAAGAAATTTTTAATCTCAAACCAATGTGGCACAACCAGTTTTTACCAAAATTTTACCATGTTATTAAACAGTAATTACCATGCTTAGCAGGCGGATTAACAACCTCAGTTGCTTTGGTGATGTTTACAAAGGGACACTTAAACAAATTTTAAGTTTAAACTTTTATACAAATTTACAGGATGACGGAGCAGCCTGTGTGCTTACGTTTACTTCGGCGAAGTTAATGGCATTCGCGTAAGATCTCTGTATTTTGGGTAGAGTATTGAATAAATTAATGAATGTAAAGGAATCTTATGAAGGAAAGAATGCGTTCTGTTAATTCTGCGTAATAAATAAAATAACAATTGGAAACGCGTATATTATCTGAAAGAAACATATTGAAATTAATAATTATTAGACAAAGCAAAAGAGATATCACACAATGATATACTCATCGTTATTACCAGTTTCCTAATATAAAAGAGAGTTTTTGTATATATAAAAGTCATCTGTGTGGGTACTTCTGTCCCATCCACATTTATGCCGCGAAACAGAGCTGCGCTTGCAGAGTTGTGATTCTGTTTGAAGGGTGGAATATGACTGTAAAATTATTGAGTACGGAGTCATAACACATTAATCCTCAAGAAAGACAACAGACGATGAGTAACCAAGGACGTAATAGTGTATTTTGAAATATCCATGGTGTTGTCTATAGCCTATCTGTCTATAGCCGATGGTGACCACTTTCCATCAGGTGGGGCGTCTGCTTTCTTCCTGTTATCAGTATCATAAAAAAACCTTGGTACGCTATCTACATTTTTTGCAGAATTAATAATAGATGGATGTCAATATGCGATGTGGAACTCACAGTTTTTTATCGTCAAATTCTTTGTATAAATCATAAAAACAGTTTAGCACTTAGTTATTCTGAGTATTACAATTACATAAATCTATTGTAAAATGCAATTGCATTGCATAAGACATAAAACAGGGTGCTTGGCAGAATAAATGTAATATCTAGGTATCATCAGAAATACCGTACAGACAGATCATTGTATATATACTATGATATTTGCACCACTCGCCATTGACAGGGAATTCATCCTCACACATTAGAACCTCAATAGTCGCATACAGTGCGGTTTCAGAGGTGTTTTCTTCCGCGAACGCTCTGTTAATATAATAAGCTTCACTTAATAACTTGTTTTTATTCTTAGTTATAGAGAACAAAATATTTTTAAGAAATTTCTAATTATGTTACTAAAAAACGTTTATTGATCATCATTGCAGCTACCTTCAAAATATACCAGTAACCGAACGTCCAAAGCACGACTTTCAGCTCTACGCCATGTCGGTAATGGTGCAGCCTATAAAGCCCATGGGTGGGCTTGAACCGCCATTGGTACAAGCGGTATCGGGAGTAAGAGTTGTGCCAGCTACTAGCAAGGTTAATATCTAAAATTATAGTTTTAGTATTCGACTATAAGTTTCTTATTCGAATATCATCTTATTAGCTATTTAGATTGCTTAGCAATAAAACCGCCTTTTGTACTACACTATACTTATCGAAAACTGTTCAACAAATCCTATAATGTTGGTGCAATAAATTCGACAATAGAATGGTAGTTTTCAATTATAATAATGGAATTGTAATCCCCGCTTGCACTATCGATATATGCTAACAGGGCGGCAGTGAGAGATGATAGGTAGATCAGTTAACTCATCGTGATAAATTCAACAAGAATTAACCACAATGGTTTCTAAGGGGACCCGCATGCATTACTTTTAGATACTGTCACTAACAATCCCTTTTGTCCCCACTAGAATTGTACTCTATGGAACCAATGGCTTTAAAGGAGTTCTTGGTGTAGTTTGTTCTGAATGCACTAAGAACTATGGATTCCTCGGTTTCGGTCTACTGTCTTAGAGACAAACTCTCCAATGACTTGCATTGGAACCGCACGGCACGGCAACCGCAGTTTGACTTTCAATGGTATTTTAAGATGGATGCTGCCGCCCATCCTTCGACCGTTAAGTTCTATTAGTCGCCTCTTACAACACCCACGAGAAAGAAAGGGTAAGGAAAGGAGTAATCTATCATAGTATCACACGGCGATATGGTCGTAGTAAGTAAATTAGTATTACTAAATTACTTATTACGAATTAAATACCCAGTATATTCGATGTTCAGGTTGGCATTGATGGCACTAAACGTCACGCGGATGAGAAAGACAGAAAGCATCCTCCAGGTAGCGCTACTTGCCTCGACGCCCAGCGAGCAGCTGATAAAAAGGACAAAGAACAACATAACCTAAAAGGTTGAAGTATAATCGTCACTAATATTATGAATATGAAAGTAAATTTGTAACCTCTTAGAGGCTTAACAGCTTAACCAATCAATATAAAATTTTATATACACATATAATTTTATATACCTCATTGGATTGAATGAAGAAAGATATACCAGTTTTTTATTTTTTATCCCAATCCGTGAATATATTCCGGTCACGCGGACAAAGACGGATAAAATGTAGTCGAATAATAATCGAGTGACACTTACGCTCTTCTCTGAAATTGCTCAACCGATTTTAATGAAACTAAGATTTTTAAGATAGATAAGAATTTGTCAAATTTTATTTAATACCTCTCATACGTTTAAACGTGATTGAATGATGAATTTAAACGTGAATGAAATGACAAACTTATAAATTCTCAAATACTTTTATAAATCCTCATCACGTTTATTTGTTAAATAGATAAGACTTTGATGGCTGATATTTTTCAACCAGGTCAAAGAAACACAAGCGGGTGGTTAGTCCTCAGTGACGGTACGCAGTTCCTATCAGCACAGCATTCTATGGCTTGTAAGAAATTCCCCTATGCATCCAGGGGAAATCAGGTATATTTTCTACTAACCATTTAAGTTTATACATACATACGTTCATTATGTTGCTAACTGCCAGTAATTAATGAAAGAACTATGAGACATTTATCTGTTAATAAAAAGGACAACACAACAAAATCCTAAAACATCAATTTTGTAAATAAAAAAAACTGTTGACAATATTCTAAATATAGTACCTACACGTTGCCCACAAGATAGGATACCTTGTGTAATGAATAATTAGGCAACGAATATCTGAAGGCATAACCCAGAACACCCAGACCCAAACCAAATCAGAAAACTTCGCTTGCTAAATTGTCCTCTACCCAAAGGTTGTCTGGAAGAGATTGCTTAGCGATAAGGCCACCTTTTGTATTACTTCTCATTAATATTTACTGTATTTGTTATTCTTTATTACTTGGTACAATAAAGTGTAAATAAATAAATAAATAAATAAATTGGAAACAAATCCAGGATGTCATTTACGCAAAACACGTCTCCGCCATGGAAGTCACCAAATTACTAATAAATATCACAAAATTACACCAATCGCCTGATCCTCAATCTAGCATAATTTATTAATAAGTTTTAATAATAAATACCTATATTAATAAAATTCAACAGGCTATAGCATGTGCTGTGATGGCCGTTGCCATGTCTCGCGTAGAAGATGTCTGCCGATGGTGCTCGTCGACTCTCGACCAGGTGCTAGAAAGTGGAGACCAGTTATACCAGGACAGCTACTTACACTACCACCCACCTACGAAAATACTAAACATGCAGCAGGTAATAATAAAAATCATAAATTAAAAAAATATCTAATTTCATAAAGGTTACTAATATTTTTTTTTATACAACTTAGAATGGCAAATAAGCTGACGGCCCAACTGATGGAAAGTGGTAACCGTCGCCTATAGATATGAGCAGTAGCATGGACATAACATATATACTGTTTCGCCCATGATACCACCCACCCATGCGTTGCCATTCCTGAGGACTCAAATTTTATTCTCTATATTTCACAGAAGTTGTATAAAGCAGATAGCAATATAACTGTAGTAGTTAAATATAAATGTCACAATAAATCTGGATGATGATAATAATGATGACGATGGGTAAATGGATCTTGGCAGTTTATATTCACAGAAATGCAGCACTTACAAAATTCAAGTTTCTTGTCCATGTTGTCTCAATATTCTCAACCTAAAATTTCCTTCTAAAATGGCAATAGAATAATAAAAAAGAAATTATTATAAATCAATTATGCTTAAATTTAAGGTAACTTTAGTAAAAATTAATTTTTATGCAAAAATGTATCGAATCTAGCTCGCCTTGCCATAATTCATGAAAGTAGAATAAATGTAGTAAAGATGACAGCTCTGAGAAGTATGTGTGGTATAACATTAAAAAATAGAGTAAGAAATAGTGTGATTTAAGATAAATTTAAACTAAAAGACGATGAAATTCAAGCCTCTACACAACGCCCCCGTTTTTTTCTGGGTCTCTTTCGGCCCTCTTTTAAGCCTGCAGCGTCCACAAAGAGGCGTTATCACTTTGGGAAAGGCTGACCTAAACAGATGTATGATCAAATAGGAAACGTGCTGAAGAAGGGCCAAATTAAAAGTACCCGTAACCAGCGAGCGTATATGAAAAGATTGATGAATGTAATCTACGAGGAACAAAAGAGATCTATTTGACTTAAAGCAAATCTCTGCAAATATCTATTCTGCCCACCCTAATGGGAGACAGGCGTGACAGATGTATGTAATTTATCATTAAAACAGAATAAAAACTAATAACTCATAAGGAAATTATTTACAGATTCTACGCAAGTTCTATACGCCTGGTAATTGGGTGTGTAGAGTAGTAATATACAAGCCTAGACAAATGGGAAATGTCGATACTGATCTCGTTCAGCAGGTAAGCTTCAAATAACTGGTTGTAATAAAAAACAGTAGAAACACAATATTGTATAAGTTTTATTTTGATGTATGATGAATAGCCAGTACGATCTATAACACAAGAAGCATAACGCTAACGCCACTATTTAGCTTAGGTATCTTCAATCGCCGAAAATCGATAACAAAAAATAAAAAGCTGAATGAAGTAGCCACAGTAAAATTGGTCGCAGAAAATATGCAACCATTTTAATGTTTAAAATGGGTCTTTTAAGGAAGTTGTTTTTAGAAAAATTCTATACATTGAAATAAAAATTATTTGGTTTCTATATTATATAAATATAGAAAGGAGATATGAAAAATAGAAAAATTTTCAGCAACTATTTTATAAATGTTAGTTAGAAGGTATTAGTCGACGTCGGTGTTATGATCGTAAATTCCTTACGTAGGCATAACAAGTGTATGATATACAGTGTATGAGCGACGAAATATTTTTCAGGTAACGGAATTCTTCAGAGAAGAAAAGTCTGGTGTATTTGTCGCTGGGAGAGATTTCGCTGTGGCGCTATTTAGAACTCCAAGAGGTAATATGTTAAGAAAGTAATTATTTAATACTAAACGTATCCCGCGGCTTTGTTTACGTATTTTAGTATATAATATATCTTATGAATTAGGATCTTTATCAGTATCATAGATTATCCACCTATATACCAAATTTAATTAAAATACGTTCACCTATTGAATAGAAAGTATAAATATCTAACAAACTGTTACATTTGTAATAAATATGATTAAGACTTGGGAATTTATGATGACATTTTGCGAGATAAAATAGATTATTAGAAGGAGATTTTATATTAAATGCCATATATTGTATGGATTTTTAAAACTATATTTCTTCACAGGGTACTATATGTTCGATCCAGCCGATAGGGACCGATATGGCCGCGCGGTGGCGCCACCCTGCCGTGGACGAGCGAGGGCATGCTTTTCACAATATCCCAATGTAAGCATTAATTCTACAATTCTTAGGCAATATATGCAATATAACAATACAATAAGGATCATATGGTTTGATAATTAAAATGAACCATGCACTCGTTAATTCTGCTAAGTAGTTTCAAATAAACTCGTGATACTTTTTTATTTACCTTCATATAATCAGAGCTAGGTACAGCACTGAAGTGTATGGATATATTTGAAAATATTTTAAAAATTTATTATTGTAAACTATTAAATTTTTGGTCAGTGTGTTTCAAATTGAAAAATTAGTACAAAATAAAATGACAAGACACTTCAATAGCTAAAATAGTTTTATAAGAGGTTTGACGTTTTTAAGAATAAGGGGGTTAATCTTTAAAGCAATAACTGAAATGGACAATTCCGGTTTGTATGGCATTTCACTGCCAGATTAGTCCGGATAAGGGATTGTTACTAATGTAGATTGACAACCTTCCTGGGAACTATTTCGGGTAATTCATGCAAATTCGTCACGATAAGCCTGCTGCTGCCCTCTTTGCCTATCATCACTCACTGGTACCCCACAAATATAAACCAATACCGCAGGCAGGATTAGGCGTGTTTAGATCGCAGGTTAAGAACAAGAATAAGAATAATTTATTTGCTCGAAATGTGGTACAAAGGTCTTAAATGGTAACTGAGCTACACATTTCGCCTTATCTAAAGGCATGCAAATTTTGTCTTAGCACATGTTAAGTAAAAATTTATCAATTACGTATGTCCAAATAATTATTCTGAATACATATTAATTGTTACATTGAATTAGTTAATTATGTCAACATTACCATTCCATAAACAACCATTAAAAAAATCTTAGCCCCTTAGGGATGGTAATACATAAAATGTACAATGGGCATCACACTTTTTTTACGATAATGTTACTACAAGGTCTACAAAAACAAGTCCGTCCATTTTTCTGTCATTCCGTCTAGAAAAAAAGGAAGATAATATTTTTTTAATTGATGAGTTAATTTTTTTTGTTTAATCATTCATCATGACTACAGCTGAATCTATAGGACACAAAGCCATAAAGAAACAATTCTTACTTGCCTTAATTAGTTACTTATTTAGGTATGTTTCTATACAGGTACAATCTCTAGTTGAAAAATTAGGACCCAATATACCGCCTGTTTTGAATGAAGTGACAAATGATAAAGATGATAAAGAGGTAAACGTTTCTATAATAGATATCAATATTAATAACATAATACAGTGAATGCTCTATATAGGCAACCTCTCTATATTTTATTCTTTATTAAGCAACATTCTTTATATTTTATTTATTCTTCTCAGAACATATCACGAACATATACATGAATTCAAAAACAAATCATACAACTTGCTGTATGTATAATGTAAAGCCCATTAAAGACGAACCTATAATGTTGAGCTTCTCGTATATTAAATTATAGCAAGCTGCCATAAATGGCGGCTATAATATATATTTAACACTCATTAGCTCTGCGGTTTACTATACCATAATGCTATATCTATCCACATATTTTGGTGGCGTAATAAAAACATATTTTGTAAATGCATCTATGGTTACTCGAAAATTAGAAAATATATCATAGTATGCCTTGTTATAATTTATATTGTTATATACTACAGCTCCGTTTGTGATGGGGTTAGTTGAATATTTTAAATCACAATTAGTCGATATGTCAATAGAATTGTAGTTGATTAATTAAAAATTTCCAAGTTTAACCGTCCCCATTAATCTATTGTTTTTAAAAAGGTACGCTTCGAAGAGTCAGCTAATTTCGCGATTTATGGTATGGACGTGACCAGCCTACGTAAACTGAATCAACACGAACGGTAGACTTATTTCTAAATTATAGTGTCTATTTCACACTAACGGCCTTGCCCGCCCGTATACGCACTAAGAATATGATATAAGTACACTACCTTCTATCCATCATCAACCAAGTACTTAGTCTCTGTCACTTGGACATTATTGTACGAGTATCGAACTAGTAAAGATATACCTGCAATATAAATAAGTTATATTCATTTTTCAATAGAGCATAGAAGAGCTTTCCTCTTCTATTACATAATATCCTACTATAATATTTCTTGCTCATGATTGACACCAGTGACTTAATTAATGAATCTTAAATTTATCAAGCTCAATTATAAAAAATTGTTTTAGTCCTCGATCCAATCAATATTTATACTTTTTGGATTTTAAATTTTGCATGCCTTGCAAGCGAAATCATAACAACATTAACATCTATATACTTACCATATTTCTTGTAAATAAATAAATATGTATTCTTATTATTCTTCTATTGAAATATGCGTAGGATTTTAATATAAGGTACCTATTATATATATATATATATATAGTATAAGGGTAATATAATTAATTCGCTGGAAATGTCGTTTAAAAAAATGTTTGGTCTATAGGTAAATTAGAAATCTCAATTTATATTATGATCTACCAAAACTCTACTTGATCTTGCACCGGGTAGCAAACGTTAGTGTGAAATGAGAGCAAATGTAACACTCTTAAAATTGTAATGTATCGTAAACTCGTAATGTAATTATGAGAAACTACGTTATTTGGAGCCCAAGTTTTGTAATAAAGTTATTTGTAAAGCAATTATTATGTTTTAATTTATAAATTTCTCCATTTTTCAACTCAACAAATAGGGTGTTTACTTTTACACCTTCAACTTGCTACTGCGGAGAAAGATATGACTAATAATGGAGAGTAGCAGCAACTTCCTCATTTCTCATAATTCCTGTAATTGTAACTCTCGTGGTTTATAAGCCAAGTGATCGGGCTTTATCTTCACATATCATCCTTTACTGGTACGTTGCTAGCGCATATTGTTGAAATAATTGTTCATCATGCATAATTACTTTAACAAGTAATACGGTAAGGTATAGGTAACATATACGGTATAGGTAAGGTACCATATAACCTTTGTCCTTAAACTAACATGCTACAAGTAATCAGGAATCGGGCATAGAGCATCTAGGTACGCAACCCAAAACAATTGCCTTGATCCTATCGGATCCCGGGACCTTATTTGTGTAAAACAACCACTACTACACCATATTAGGTCGCCAAATTGTACGTTTCCGTATATTTATATATAATGCATATATCTGTTGATCGATTTAGCTAAGAAATAGTGCAGTTAAAGTTTTTAAGGAATGAAAAGCAATGTTTATCTGTATGTTCAATATTATTATAAAAATGCTGTAAAAAAAAAATAAAAAATGTATTATTAAATATATTTTATTTCAGGCAAATCTGTTATCAATAACCTCATAATGATGATATGGGACTGGCTCTCTTGGCACAGGGATTGCCGGCAAAGGTCGAGTCTTGTTGCGCTGTTTGATCTTGTTATCACGCAACCGTCGATAGGTGATCCTCGCCATTACGGAAAAAACGACTAACCCAATTACAAATCCAGCAATGACACCTCCTGAAATTAAGTTAATTCATAATTAGCACTGGAATGATCTAAGTTGTGTACTTTAGAACACTAAATTATGTGCTTGTAGTGGGAATGAATTATTAGTAAATTATATTTAAGCCATAACTCTACACCACCGGACATGTCATGATCCTATTGCAATATCAGTCGTGTAATCAAGTCGACCTACACGCGGTCGCCCCTGGAAATTATCATAATTAATTTTCGTCACGATGGAACAACAGATTTACCATTCCATTCATATATAAAAAAATGCATGCTTATGTTGCTACTAAACCGACTGTGTTCTATTATTATATTGAAAAATTTATAATGTATACATTAATCTGGTTATTTTTCAATAAAATATTAAACTAATCAATTCTTGACAAATATACACGTAAATACTTCACTTCACCACAACTATACAGCAAACCACCGCTATTGCTATTTTATCAGAGAAAGACGGAATATTTATCTGCTTAGATACCTTTATCCTACGGATGTTTCTGCTACGCAACATTTGTACTTGCATGGCCATTTAAAAAAATATTACAGTGTGAAGGCATAGTTAATAGCAACACCATGGACATAATAATGTATTCTGTGGTGTCCATAACGCTATTCATGTCTATATGCGACGATTGGGTAGATACTAGTATCCATTAAATGGTACAACTTGTTATTATAATTATCATTAAACTAACAATACTATCCCACCAATCACCAATATTGAAAAATAATAAACAAATAACAGCAATTTAAAACTGGACTGCATAATTAAATTTGTTTTTGGAGATTTTTTTGATAATCTCTCAAAAAATGTGATAATTTGAAACATCATTTTATTTGATAAACTATAATTATTTCATATTTTTACTATGAAAGATTAAAAAAAGGAGTTTTACAATTTAAGTCAAACGAGGTCGAAAACTATGTGGCATAAAAAAATTGTCACACTTGTCTACCTTTTTTCCTTTTATTAAAATGTATCAATTACTTCAATAGATTGTTTTTAAGAGAATCAAAACACAGAAAACGTCAATACACTGCACCAAATCCTAATGGAACAAAGGAACGGGAGCAATGATGTAAAGAACAACATCATTTATCATAGTACTTATAAACATACCTTTAAAAGACTTGTTTGTCTGCGGATTTTCATTTAATATAAATCTAAATTTTTTAAAGGTCCTTAAGCATTTGTTTGTTTCTGCAATAAATGTACATGTAATTTTGACACAGAACAATTTCGTATTGTTATCATTTCTGTTCAGGGTGATGTTGTGGTCTTTTGATGAATATATTACAGATTGTATTATATTATTTTCTGTAAAAAAATAAATTCATTACTGATAATTATTATAATGAATTGAATTAAAACTTTTTACACTGGAATTTAAGTATTTATGCTATTATTATAAAGAGGAAAGATTTGCCTGTTTGTTACAAAAACTACTCAACCAATTTTAAAATTATTTTAAAATTCTTTCACTTATAGAAAGCTACATTGTCTGCCATTATAAGCTGTATATTATTTTCGAAAATTCTATCTACCCGTGTGAAGCTGGGCCGAATCTACTAGGTAATAAACGTAAGAAATTTAAATATTATTCAGTAACTTACCATCAACTTTAATCCAATACGAACCAATACAATTTAACAGAATATCTTTGTGTTCATTATAGTAAATATCTTTTACGTCCACACTTTTAGTTACATTATCTGCAATGTGAACTAAATAATTAATCTTACTAATAATAAAATAAAACCGGCTGACAAAAGGGTGGTTTTGCCAATAGTTGCTGCAATTGGTAGGCGGGGTAGCAACCACAATTAAGTTTTGGTTATGTTAAAAGAACGACGCTGCTGCTCATTCCTCGATCATTAAGTTTCCTTAGTCGCCTATTACAATATTCACGGGAAAAGAAGGGGTCACCCATTCTATGCCGGGACAACACAGTACCGAACCACTGTCTCTAACTATATAGTCTATGTTAACTTAGTATGGTGATGGGATCAGCTTAAGAAATTTTCATAAGAATAGTGAATATCAGACTCAGTTCCATCCTTATTATAATTATTATGCAATTTCTAATAAACGTGAAACGACTAATTCACATTCTGATAAAAATAAAATTATTGAATAGTACAAGATGTTCTTTACAATGACCATAACATTTTAATATATATTTTTTAATTTAATATTTATATATTTTTAACAAAAGTAAAAAAGCATAAACTACTACATGGCTTTTTCTTACCCGATGAAACAATAATAGTGTAATTTGACATTATCTGCTTACTGTCTGTATCTGTTTGAGAAACAGCACAGGAAAGAATCGTGTTATTGTCGAACTCAGTCAAATTCATGTTGAGTAATACTGGATATTTGTTAGCGGAATAGTTGAACGTTTCTGAAATATTTAGTTTATGAATTAATTTTTATTTATTCAGTTAACTCTTTATTCCTCATCACACATAAAACTATACAATGGCAATTAAATATTATAACACATTTAAATATTCTTAACTTGATGATGATTGTTTTATGGCGATATTCTAGTTATTTTATGAAGGTAAAACATTAAGGTCGATTCTGAGGCGCTATTTCTTAAACCAGTCTTTTTAATTGTATGGTTTAGCAAAATTACTTTTTTTAATGGACCATAACAAACTATATTTATTATAATTTTAACTTAAATCTACTGGAAATATAATTTATATTAGTCGTTACAATAAAAATTTTGCTGTAATATTAAATGGAAATTTCATTTTTAAAGATAGATTTAGAGAATAAACGTCTCAGAATAAATCATGTCAACTATTATATTAACCATTGATAATCATAGTAACTGAAATTTTATTAAATGAAAACAATGCCTAATGTAAGTTATACAAAGATTTACATTACGATCGTATTCATATTTAATTGATAAATTTGTGAGTTTCCAAAACTATTCTCTAGAGACGCAGTTATATTTTCAAATACAAATTGATCGAGCAAAAAATAACAGTTTTTTTTTCTTCTCTGTAAACAAAAATAACATCTATCGTCACAAGATTAATATCACGATCTCGTAGTCCTTAGGGCAATTTCCTTCGATATGGAACATGACCCTTGTACATCCTGTACATAAAAAGGGCGATAAGTCCGACCCTTCAAATTACAAACCAATTGCGATCGCTTCCCCTTAAGATGATGGAGCATATAGTTAACGCACTGCTATTAAAATACCTAGAGAATCACGATTTATTAAGTAACCACCAATACAGCTTTCGCCATAGTCGCTCAACTGGTGACCTCTTAGTATATCTTCGGCACCAATGAGCATCAGCCATTGAGACTTAAGGTGAGCGCTTGCTGTCGGTCTTAATATTGCAAAGGCATTTGACTGGGTCTGGCATCGGGGTTTACTATCGAAATTGCCCTACTATAGACTTCCCGACAGCCTGTGTAAATGGGTTGCTAGTTTTTTGTCCGGCAGACGCATAAAAACCGTAGTAAATGGTTGCTTTCTTTCTGAATATATTTGCTGAATGCCTTTACAGCTTCACCGGACGCGTATGCAAGGGCGAGTGCAGACGCCACTCCAAGCTCGCGAGAGGGGAGCGACAGAGGTGTCGACTCTTACTTGGTGTGCGCCTAAGGGCGCCAGAGTGGCTCGGCCTCGGCTTAGGCCACCACCGCACTTCGACCCCCGTCAAGGGACGGCAAAGGGTCGGTACGTCTGAGTGGGTGGGGAGTACAAAACAGTTGTTGTGCGCTCGGGCGCAAACCTGACTGCGTGCGGACCGTATGTCGCGTAGGTTCTTCGTCCCCGCCGGCGGGGACGGTGTAGTAAATGGTTGCTGCTCCGATAGCATGGATATTAACGCTGGTGTCCGCAGGGCTCTGTGCTATCCCCAACGCTATTTCTGCTGCATATTAATGTTATGTTAACCTTAGATGACATTCATTGTTATACAGATGACAGTACTGGCGATACCCATTAGACGGGTCGTATCAATGTCCCTGATTCCATTGTGGAGGACAATCGTAAACATCTTGTGTCTAAAATCGAGGGAACTAGACTTTCTGACTGGTAACGACAAACCTCAGTCCAGTTTAACTCCATTAAGACACAAGCTTGCACATTCACTACTAATAAAAAACATTTGCTGTGGCTCCACAATTCCAGAACAAATCTCTTAACATCTTTAAAAGCATTAGGATCCTTGGTGTTGACATCTCTAATGACGTACAGTTCCGGGATCATATCGAAAATAAAGTGAAGCTGGCATCCAAAAAACTAGGTGTGCTTAATAAAGCGAAGCATTACTTCACGCCGGATCAACGATTAATACTCTACAAATCGCAAATTCCCCCCATGGAGTGTTGCTATCACTTATGGGCGGGAGCACCTAGATACCATCTTGAACCCTTCAACTCAGTGCAACAACGAGCTTAGAGAATTGATGATGATCCCAGGCTTACAAACAGTATCGAACCCTTAAGTCTTAGGAGAAATTATGACTGTCTTTGCTTGTTTTACCGCTTGTACAAGGGGCTGTGCTCAAAGGAATTGTTGAACATGATGCCCACGGCCACTTTCTGCCACCATACGGCACACCATCGACAGAAAAATCACCCTTAACCCTACAGCCTAGATAGTCGCGTATAACGCGATTTCAAAAATGTTTTCTTCCAAGAACACTAAGGTTATGGAATGTGCCGAAGTTTTTCCATAAGACTACAACATGGGGTTCTTCAAAAAAGGGGTACAGAGGTTTCTTCAGGTTCATTGCAGGCGTTCATAGATATTGCAGGCGTTCATAGACTACAGTACCTTACCATCAGGTGTGCCGTATGCTTGTTTACCACCTCAGTGGTATAAAAAAATATAGAAAAACAGAAGTAAAATTAATCAATTGCAAATATTTTTGAAATATTTTTCTTCAAAATTATTATGATGATTCCTTGTTCTTTTCGCAACTTTTTGCCTATTACAACGAACAATGAAAAATAAACTTCGCCAAAACATTTTCTATTTATTAAAAATTTATTCAAAGTCTCGCCAACGTCTTTGTTAAAAATAATTTATAACAAAGTAATGTTTGTGTGCAATAAAATATAAATAAGTAAAAAGAATTCTCAAAGTACATAGATTCCAAATTGGCAAAATTTCCAAAGTAAACATAGCGACAAAATATATAAAATAAATTAGAACTACCTCCTTCAGGAAGTCGCTAAGAGTGGTTTTCATGAGTGGAATATAATATATTTATCTACTACTTCATAGAAACTTATACAAATATTGTGTTAAAATATTAAAGATACTCGTACCTAAATAAGCCCCATAATTTAAAATTTGGGACAGACGAACGAAACTTCCGTTGTTATTTGGATTCGTACATTTGTAATGCAGGCGTGACTTCTTTTTTATATACACTCCAATGTGCGGTTGTAACGGAGCTGTAATTAAATTTGATGTTTCATTGTTAAAAGTTTCGTAAATACCTACACATTATATTTTTATGTAATAACAACTGGATTAACTTACATGTACTGTAGTCGAGAAAACTTGACTAATTTCAGGACTATCTAGGATCCTTAGTCCTGAGCATCCGTAACACGAGCGCGAACTTAACCGTTTCTCTGAGCTTTCTCCATTAAAATATATATTTGTTATCCAATTGTTATTACATTTAAATTTCATATTAACACGACTGTCTATTAAAGGAAAGGTGTAACATTTGCAGTACATTAGGCACCACACATAAACATTACAGTCAAAGTATATAATATAATTAATTATATATATATGTGTGTGTGTATATATATATATATATATATATATATATATATATATATATATATATATATATATATATATATATATATATATATATATATATATATTTATTTATTAGTATATCTACCTTCTGTTGTATTCGGTTGAGAGTCTTTTATAATAAACCTAATATTTTTGGTTATTTGTCTTGAACATTCAAATATACTTTTGTCCGTTTTCACAATACAATTAAAATTTAAATAATACAGTTTCGTATTTTCATCCTTCTCTGTTAAAATCAAATTGGTAAAAATACTCGTATTAAAAACTAAAGTATTTTGTCTTGCTATGGCTATAATTTTCCCGTTAGCTGAAATAAAAAAATAAAAACGAGATATACAGACACTAAATAAAACTAAATAAGCTGAAATTTTCTTACAGATTTTGTAAATATATTTTACACAGAATTACTTTATATTTTTTATTTTATTAAATACTATACAAATATATAGTAAATTTTATTTTATTCATGTCTTGTCCATTGATAACGGTTTTTTATGTTAGGATCAGCCTCGATTCACCTCGAACAAATAATTTTATGTATAAAATCTACGCAACCAGTTAAGCGTATTAAAAAATATTTCTATAATAATTCTATAACTTAGCTGAGTCTATTTATATATATATATATATATATATATATATATATATATATATATATATATATATATATATATATATATATATATATATATATATATATATATATATATATATATCTCGATGTTTTGAACAAAAGCATTATTTCAATGAAAAAAATCACGACCAAACTCGATTACAATAATTATGAAAATTGGTATAAATAACACAGTACTCGTATCTGGTATGGAAAAGGCCTTTAGCTTCCTTCAACCTACTTAAAAAAAAGAGGAGGTTCTCAATTATGTTGATACTTTTTTGTTTGTTGTCCAGCATTTATAAATTGATTTGAAAAATTTCTTTTCTATATGAAATATTTTTAGTTTAGTCCTATTGATATTTTATCAAAATCGGTTTAGTAATTTAGTTTTTATATATTAAAATAGTTGTTTTTTCTACGTTTGAAATTAATGTTTTTCGTGAATCCAAATCTTAAAGTATTATTCTGTTCTCACAAACGATTCCGTCGGCATACGTAGTAATAAATCACTAAAACTCGTTGAATTCCATCTTACTCACTGTCAACGTGTACAGACATGTATCCAATAAAATTAAAGGTATAATTTTTATTTGGTACATAGTAAAATTCCTCCTCGTTCGTTTCGTGCAATAATGAATCTGAAAATAAAACGAAAAAATATACAACTAGGCAGACGAACAAGGTCGCTACATAAGGATTCCTTACCATGAAGTAATTTCTAATTTGATTGTAATATTTTTACGTCAACTAGTAATTACATATATAAAACTGAGTCCTAAACGTATATATCTGATGGAAAGTGATTGATTACACACATGAAAGCCCACAGGTGGTATTGAGCCCTTAAGCCTAAAACAAAACTTTGGCACCCCTTATGCGTTTTACTGCTTGTATAATGGGTTATGTTCTGAGAAATTAATTGTAATGATGCCCACTATCACCTATTATTAACACACCGCTCGCTATCGACAGGGAATTTATCCTCACGTACTAGAATTTATGTGGTCGTGTACAGTGCGATTTCAGAGAAATTTTCCTCCCACGAATGATCAGACTGTGAATAAATTCCCTACCTAAGTTTTTTTCTTAAAACTGTAGCGTGGGTTTCTTCATAAAAATTGTATTAAGATTTCTTTAGAGTCGACAATGCGCACGTGAAGACTGATATTGCAGGCATCCATAGGCATGTTTACCATCAGATGGGCTTTATACTGATTTGTCACCTTCGGAATATAAAAAAAAATAACAGTACAATAAAACAGACAATCCAGAATTATGACATCTAGTACACCCCACATGTGTTGATATTCTTGATAACTAAGGTGTTATGCGTCTATATCTACATCTACTTCACTTATTTATTATAAACATAGTTGTGTAGTCATTTCTTAAGAGTTCAATAAAAAATTATTACGTATCTACTATTAACTGAATTACACGATACATGTTTGCATGCCTAGTTTGCGATTCGCAGAATCAATCATCGATGTTAAAAAATATTTCATTTCATTTCAACTGAGTTACAAGCTTAGCTCAATGTTTTGGCACAGTTAAAAATACATAAGTATTTTTTTAATGTAATGGTAACCACGTCTGTTCTATTATGATCTGATATCCTACCAGTATATGCTGATAGCGATTAAGTCAGGTCAGGTAGCCCATTTTGACGAAGTCTCCAAAAATAAACCACGATGGTTTCTAAAAGGAACTGCGTGGATATCAACCTGACAAGCTACATTACTAGCAATGGAGTTGTTAATTCTAATTACTAACAATAATCTCTTCTCCCAATACAGCATAGAATGTTAAACAAACTGACGGTGGAAAGTGCTAACCGTCAGTTTTATGTAACAACAGCACTATGAGCACCATAATATGTACCACAACCACAGTAGCCTTCACTTATTGGCATTTCTGAGTACTAATGTTTGTTATCTCAAAACTCCGTCATTAATAAACAAATTTGGCAAAAAAAATTATCTGAAAGAATATATTTTCAAATTAGTTTTATAATAATTTTATCAAAATCAGTTCATCAGTTTAGTTTTTATTGAATCAAAATAACTAGTTTTACCATGATAGAAGTTGTTTTTTTGTGTTTTTATGTGGAACAAAATCTTATTTACTTATAAAACGTTTATAATGTTACACTGTGTAAAAGTATATGATAAACTTTTCTACATACCTTTCATAGAGGGCTTCACCAATAACAGTTGTGCAGTAGATGCAACTGTACACTGATTCGCTGAATTGCAAGTGTATGTTTTACAATCAAATTTTGTGTTATTATCGAAACTGTAGAGCTCCATTTTGTATTTAAATATATAATTGTCTGGAATTCTCATTGCAACCAAGTCTAAAATTCACATATTTTACAATTTATTCCATATTTCATTGTCAAGTTTTATTTTAAGATTTAAGATATTTTTATGCGACTTAAAATGGCAAACAAGTTGAAGGTCCATCTGATAATAAATAGTATTAATCACCTATAAACCTGAACAGACATGTATACATCACAGAAAATACCATGACACCCATGATACTCCTTTTCATTTGCGTCACGGTATTTTCTGTGATATTACCACTCTTTAAAATCAAATTCGTAAAAAATTTAAACGTTCACTTAATTAATCCATTTGTGATATATACTACAGTTGGCCATCGGCAGATTGTCATATAATTGAGTCAATTATTAGCTTATTTACATTTTTATCGAGTTCTGACAAAAATAATGAAAAATGTGAAGGAAGTGAAAGAGGTCTGTTTGAATCCCATTTGAATCCCATTCGTGTTTCTACCGTGAAGCAGTTGTGTTTGCATGGCTGTGTTTCGGTTTGAAGGGTGGGATATGGCGTGAATTTACAGGGTACAGAGGATTAACACCTGAGTCCTCAGGAATGGCAACACATGGGGGTATCATGGGCGAAACAGTACACTCTGTTATGTCCATGGTACTGCTCATGTCTATAGGCGACGGTTACCACTTTCCATCAAGTGAGCCGTCAGCTTGTTTGCCATTCTAAGTTGCATAAAAAAAAATCAAAACATTTGACTTTCTATTGTTTCTACCTATCCTATGGGAGACAGGCGTAACAGATATATATCTATGAATGTTCTATTGAAATAGACGATAGGCTAAGACTGACCCTGAAAATTCCATAACCTTACCTGTATCTTGACCAATATTAAGTTTTTGATAAAAGTCCACAAATTGTCTATTTTTCTCGTTACCTAATATACATGTGTGCAGATAACGTTCTCCAGCTATTCCATCGTTATATTTTTTTTCTGGACCTAAAAATGCAAATAAAATAATAAAGAAAAGTTTTATAAATATAGAACAATTCTTAAAAACTTCAAAAGTCATAAAATCAAACCTTTATATATCAACATTTTTTAAATAAACAAGAATAATTTTGTAACATAGGTATAACACCCAATCGTTCTGAACTGCGCATAATTTTTTCGTCTTTTTTCTTCGATAACATAAATAACTCACCTCTGCATGTATTATTCCAATCCAAGCTCATTTTGTAATGCAGTGTACCTGTAAAAAATCATTTCCAAAGTTATATATATTGTAATCTTCAAATTGTAATACAGATGATCAAATTTTTTTAGGCAACCCAGCATGCGGAATACCTCATAGTAAGTAAGTACCACTCATGAGCACCCGCAGTACCGGAAGAATTGTAGGCGAACTATCGGCCTTTTAAACAGAAATATAATCTTTTCTTGAAGGTTCTGACGTGACCGTAACTTCAACCTAGTCACTGAGACCAGGACATACTGATTGACCGTGATAAAAATCCTTTTGTGATGTCCTTGTCTCTGTTCTGTCTCTTTGAAAATGTCCTTTTTCATGGCATTCACGTATGCCAAATTTCATCACAATTCATTGATGGCCTGGCACATTAATTGACTGAGATACAAAGTAACCTATGTCCTTCTTCTTCCAAAATATTATCTGTATACCCAATTTCACGACGATTGGTCAAACTATATGCGGTCACAACGCCGCAAAAAAATAACAAACAAACAAATACATCCTTGTAGATAAATAGGTACTCTTTATTATTTCCTTACAAGAGGTTATAGGTACTAACTAGTAAATTTACTAAACACAAAAAAAATATTCCAACTTTGATCATTGCAGCAGATTGACGACGGACAGTGTGCATTGCTTATGAGAAAAGATTTAGGTAAGCAAAATAAAAAAATATATATTTATTTATTTATTGCATGTACCTTGTCGTATGTAGCAACGTTTCACTTGTTTAATTTTATTTATTAAATACACTAAAAAGTGTCCATTGTTTCAAACACTTCTACTAGAGGAAAATTGTGTACAAAAGTCGTCTGGATAGAGTACCATATGCTCATAACTAGAGATGGGCAACATATAGCAATATCTACATATTGTAGTAACAATATACTAGTACTATATATTGACACAATAATGAATCTATTAATTGCCACTTATCTAATATATAATATCTAAATGAAAAACCCGATCAAGATACATAGATATAGTTATCAAACACTAGTATGGGCGATATCGAAATGGTTTATGAAGTTTTTTTCAATATCATTGTCCAAAGGTATATATAAATATCGTAGCGGTACCGATATTACCTAAACCTACTCACAACACTATAGTCTTCAGGAACAGTAACGCGTATATTTTGAGATATCGATGTTGTTGTTTATGCATATAAATCCATCTGGTGGATCGTCGCTTTCTTTGCCATTCTAATTTGCATATATTTGTCACATAAAATTGACACTCGAACTTAGAACAACACATCGTAGTCGTGCGTTATGATACACACCATGTTACCACATTACAGAACAACGTATTTAAAAGATTCGAGCATTCCATTATCATTATCACTTGTGATTTTTATCACATGAGTATATTCTAAATAAACACGTATCTTTTTTATATAAAGATGCGTAATTATCAACCAATTTCAAAATGTACGAAGTTCTTAATTCGCACATGGCAATAATCGCACAGTGATGTTAAGGTTAGTAATAATAAAAAATACCCATTGAATCTCCTTCTTCGTAGACCAAAGTAAATATTACATGAAAGTCACATATTTGTCCATTTTTATATAGCAATACCACATTATACATGTAACCATCCCAACATGTGTTAATATCTTGCACAAACACTGTCGTCATATCATTACGATTATCGATTAATTGTTGAAATATTGTATTCATATTCCTTCCATTGGCCACTCCAACTGCAATCGTTATATTATTATATAAGTAGATAGTCAACTTAGAATATTCAAATAATTAATATTATCTTCCAAAAAAGGAGACATAAATTGTGGCAAAACCAGTTATTTTAATTTCAATACTAAACTACTGAACCGATTTCGATAAAATTTCTTTGTAACCCATCTGTAAGCATAGCCTTCAAAATAAAAAAGAATTTTCCAAATCGGCTCGCAACTGACAGTGTTATAAGGTAAAAAAAAATATAACTAAATTAAAAACCTCTATGAAGTCGGTTGCATTATAGTAATTGATTTAAACCATTAGCTTCCCCTACTACAATATTATTTAAAAAATCGGAAAGTAGGTATTTTTTTAAGAGTTTATTCATTATAAACAAAAAATCAAATCCTCTTTATTATATAAGCTAAAACTTCGAATCGAAAATTAATAGATATTACCATGTACTACAAAGACACAAGTGGACACACACACACATAACCAAGCAACAACTGAGATACAAATGTTGAGATGGATGTGTGGTGTAACTAAAATGGATAAGATCAAAAATAAGTATATAAGAAGATTTTTGAAAGTAGCGCCAGTAATGGAAGAGATGAGAAGTAATAACAAGGGATGCGTAGGAAAGAAGGGAATATGGTAAGAAAGATATTACGTTTAAATATGGATAGTTATAAATGCAGAGTAAGACCCAAAAATAGAGGATCGTGTAAAAGAGGACATGGTGAGAATATAAGTGACTAGCGAGATGATTGCAAATAGAGATGAATGGAAAAAGATAACACCGAACCCAAATAGATATAGGAAAAGGGCAGGAAGAAACAGAAGAATTAAAAAAAAAAACATTTAAAGCACCTACCCGATTTATAAGAGCATAACTCGAAAATTTTATGCCTATCTTATTTTTACCAAAATATAGATATATATATATTCTGTTTTAATAAAACATGATAAAAAGTTAACTAAGTTTCGTTGAAATAGTCATAGAACATTCTCTAAAGGAAATCATCAACGGTTAAATTTATCAAACAACAATTAGTTTTATTTATTAGTCGGCCTCAATTGGTCAGGACAATTATTATTTTATTGAAATTTTTATTAAACTCTATTTAAATATACTACTAGAAATAAAGATCAGAAAGAAAAAGGAAATTATAATATCTCACCAGTAACTAAAATGTTCCATGCACCTTCCGGAAAGTTATATTGCCGTAGCGTGACATTTAATTTGTTCTCGTTGCTGTAGTAAATAACATCCCCGCTACCTGTAATCCAGTTCACTAAAATTAATTACAAGCGTTTAATTAACTTGCAATGTTAGTTTGTTTAGGTCAAATCTTGCAAAGTGAATTGTAACCGATTTTTCCTGACCGATTTTGCTGGGTTTTTGCATACAGTTCTATTGAAAATACTATAATATATTACTCAATCTTACTAATATTATAACTGTAAAAGTTTGTAAAGATGTTTGGTTATTTGTGTGTACAGATTATCTAAACGTATAGAACACTTTATAATATACTGATTCAAATAGATGACGCCACGAAAAATAGCCAGTATTATAATATATATATATATATATACAATTAAAATTTAAATAATACGAAACTTTAAATTTTAATTGTATTGTGAAAACGGACAAAAGTATATTTGAATGTTCAAGACAAATAACCAAAAATATTAGGTTTATTATAAAAGACTCTCAACCGAATACAACAGAAGGTAGATATACTAATAAATAAATATATATATATATATATATATATATATATATATATATATATATATATATATATATATATATATGTATATATATATATATATATATGTATGTATATATATATATATATATATATATATATATATATATATATGCTTCTTGTTTATAAGGATAATTATTTAAAATATTACTAATCTATTATTGCTCCTCCTCCTCCTCCTTTTCAACCGACTTCAAAAAAGAACGTTCCTATTCGGTTGTATTATGTTTTTTATGTTTTTTACTTAATAAATACGTAAATTTTTATCGGTTGAAAAGTCACTAAGTGCTCTTTATGCATATAAGTTTAGGGTATTCCCATTTTTGTTTCCCCGTATATGTATATATGTTATCAGCTATGGATATGGTAAATTATGTTGTTAGGTACCTATAAGTATATTAACAGGAATATTAGATCCTATATAATTTTATATTATATATTTACGAAATTCGAATTATTAATTAAGAATTGAGAATATTAAGAGTTACTTTAAATACCTAGGGATATCAAGAAATCATAGATAATGTCAAATAATTTCAATGTAAATCAGACTGCCGCTCACGTCACGGCCACTTATGAGTAAGGGTCCCAGATGACCCCGAAACTAATCACCTTTTCTCAACTAAAAACATTTAAATTAAGCTAGTCATTAATACATTAAAATATAATGTGTAGTTACGAAACATTTAACGATTTTATTATATGTATTGATTATATAAATAAAACGTCTGATAAAAAACACTTTTACATAAGAATATGTATGTTTTATTTAATAACTTAATATATTTACTTTATATATAGTGAAACAATGTATATTTAAATATATAGTAACATTTTGTCACATTACTAGACCTTTTCGAAGAAACGAATTCATATCGTTATCTTCGTGGTTTCCTTAGTAGTTATATTTATACTGTACTATTCTTAAAAGAGACATATGCTACAGAGAACTTTTTTATATATCTATAAAAGGTAAACAATCATACCACATATTGTTTTGTTATATTTCAAACGGATTAGGCAGCGTTTTCGATAAAGGCTCTTAGTCAATTTGATTTCTTCCGACATCTTGAACAATTATCATCATATTTCAACAAATTAACATAAACCGATATTAAACTATACGTGTGAAACTTCCTCTTGAATTACTCTGTCTATTATTATATACTATTATTATGGAAACTGCATTAAAATCTGTTGCGTGGTTTAAAAGATCTAAATATACATACGGCGGGAAGCGTCTTTATATATAACGTGAATATAATATTATACTTACATAATAAGGTTCCAATAGATAAGTATGTAATGCAAATACATAGCAATAGATTAATTGTTAAATGCATATTTGTGTAAATAATTTTCAAAACATGATTTTGTCGATGCTTCTTCGTGGATGTAGTATTATACAATTGGCATTATGAGCCTTAGTGTTATCATGTTAACTAACCGCAATGTGTAACTATATATTGTGGACGCATTAAGGGTCTTATCGTAAATTTATATATAATTTATTTTATACTTTTATTTTTTATTTATAATTTATTTATGTATATAATTATTTGTTTACATCACCAAATGGCAGTCTAAAAGGGTCATCAGCAAGTGAAAGAAAACTTGTACATTCACACATTTTGACTATTTTTTTTATTAATTTTTTTATTATAATTTAGCATTGAAAAATACACACAACTTTAAATTTTTATCGTTTTACGATCAACCCCTGTATTTTAATCGCGATTTTTATATTTCGCAATAAGTGGTAAAACAACGTTTACGGAGTCAGCTAGTCTAATATATAAAATTCTCGTGTCACGGTGTTTGTTACCAAACTCCTCCGAAACGGCTTTACCGATTTTCATGAAATTTTCTATGCATATTGGGTAGGTCTGAGAATCGGCCAACATCTATTTTTATACCCCTCAATGATAAGGGTGACCCACCCCTAAAAAATTTTTTTAAATTTTTTTGACAATTTTTTTTATTTTTATTTTAATATGATTTAGCATTGAAAAATACATAAGACTTCAAATTTTCACCGTTTTACAATCAACCCCTGTTTTTTAATCGCGGTTTTTTTTATTCCGCTATAGGGTTGCAAGATGGCAATCTAATATAATTTTCATGTATAGTTTATAATTATAATTTGCTTTAATTATATCTTTTTTCTTAGTTTAAATTAATCATCAACCCTCACCGGTCGATAATTGATCAACTACTAATCGATCAGTTATATTACGAAGTAGGGATGAGGCGAAGTCGGCCTCCTTTAATGTATATGGCAAAACAACGTTTGCGGGGTCAGCTAGTATATATATAAAATTCTCGTGTCGCGGTGTTTGTTACCAAACTCCTCCAAAACGGCTTTACCGATTTTTATAAAATTTTGTGTGAATATTGAATAGGTCTGAGAATCGGCCAACATCTATTTTTCATACCCCTCAATGATAAGGGTGACCCATCCCTAAATATATATTTTTTATTTTTTTGACAATTTTTTTTATTTTTATTTTAGTGTGATTTAGCATTGAAAAACACATACAACTACAAATTTTCACCCTTTTACGATCAATAATTAAAAATATAGCTGCCAACAGCCAAAAAATTTATTCCACGTCCAAAATCAAAGACCAAGTTTATTACAAAATGGGTTCATTGCTACCAAAGCCAAACGAATCTCATAAATTTTTACTTTATTTTATGGGTGGCGAGGACTCCGAACGCACACTTGCCAATCGCGTGGTTTCACGTTACGACTACAATAAGCTCAATTCAACTTTTGCAAGAAGCATCGTCGGCGAACTGGAGGCTCTGTTAAATAGATACAATGAATTGTTGAAATTATTAAAATCACACATGTCCAAGCTACAAAGTGACAACCACGCTATTGTCATCAATACTGATAGAACACCAGCTGGAGAGCATATACGTAGATATAACGCACCTGTTGTTAACGACGTTGCTGGAATCATGGTTGGCGATCGTACAGTTACGCGACAAATCGTAATTCGAAGAAAAAATAATGATCATCAGCTCATTGCTGATACCCACCGTTCATATGACGATCTCCAATATGCGCTAATTTTAAAAAGCTAACAAGGGGGAAAAATATCCACACCGGGTCAGCTAGCTACTTTATTGTTTACAACGCTTTATTCCTCTTTCAATTATAATTACATCCCACACACTTATAGTGTTAGCTATTTTTTTTATTAAACTAAAGAAATATTTTCTACGAATGTATATGGTAAAACAACGTTTGCCGAGTCAGCTAGTATATATATAAAACTTAGTTTTCCAGTATTAACTAACTGACTTTAAAATGTATTTTCACATTTTAATCAGTTCAGAATCAGGCTTTATTTTATTCATACTTAAATACTTCGAGCTTATTTCGTATGTGGAAAAATGATTGTAAATTTTACATTTATCGTTTCTTTCTCTTTCACATTGCCAATTTACATTTTTTCATCTAAAATTTGTAACAAAGCGATTAAATGTCGAAATGGTTAGGGATCCACTGATTAGAGAAATTGTGAGTTAATTTTAAGCAGCAATCTATTAATTTTCCTAAAAATGACGATTTAAAGGTGAAATACTTCATTTATTTAATATTTTATTTTATTTTGTAATTAAATTATTATAATTATTAACTAAGGGTAAGAAGAAGATGATTATGATTAACTAATGTCAATTGTTTACTGATATCATTGCACCTAAATTTTGCATGCCATTGTTCTACCAAAACACGCATATTTATGTTTTTGAGCAAATAAATTATTATTATTAAATAACACCTAGTTCGGCAAAATAATTACAAAATTATAAATTCCTTCGAAATTTTAATATGACACAATACACAACGGCCCTGTCAGTTTTATTAAGATTTATTTAGTATTACAATAATATTATACATTAGACATACATTAGATGTACAATATTAACTAGTATGTTATTGTACGCGAAATTCTATTTAGACTCCAGAAGAGTAGGTTTTATAACTTTTTATGTGTTCTTATGTACCAAACAAGATATAAAGATTAAGTATTCAAAATCCTTTATTTATGAATCTTGAAATGACTAACAATCTGACCGCTCACTTGATAGTAAACGGTAACCGTCGCTTAAACAGCACCATGGACATCATAAAATACTGTTTTACCCATGCTATGCCTCATATAGTGCCATTTATAAGGACCACGGTGTACTTTTTTATAACACACAAAGCAAAAGACTATATGAATCACCTAATAGTGAGTAATTACCGCCTCCCACAACACTAGAAGAATTGCAGGTGTGCTGCTGGCCTTTTAAGAAGGAATTTGTTTTTTTCTTGATTCTATTGTACGGAAATGTCGCTGCAAATTGATTCAAAAGCTTGGTTGTGGATGTAAGAAAATGCTTTGTAAAGAGCATGATCACAAACCGCCTCTCATCCGTAACTTTAGAACTTTAGTCTGCAGCAGGTTATATGATGGTAAAATTCAGCAGCAGGTTTAATCTAACCTTGTACCTTGTAATAGTACTGCGAAAAAGAAAGATGGACAAGCTACTTTAAAAAAAAAGGACATACTTTTCAATTCATCTGTATTATGGGACGCCATCGTGAGTATCGTAAGAGGCGACTAAACGGTTTTAAATGCTCGAGGGATGGGCTACTGATATGAAAATATATTATATATATTTTTAATCACTTTGATACCATATATATATTTCAACTAGTGTCCTAACAAGATAATACAATACAAAAACTTGTGAATATACTACGTACTAATACGATCTAGCCCTGTCATCATTTTCCTAAAACGGATAGTACTAATACCTAATAATTCCTAAATCCATCGGCCTAATACATGTTTTCTTCTGTTTATCCTTATTCGCATTGAACCCCTTTTGGCCATATCAACTTTCACACAGTCGATCCATGCCATTTTATTCTACACTTACATCCAATTAGACGGTTATTGATTTTTTTAGAACATGCTCCCCATCGAAGAAAGTTCTCAATTCGTATTTATCGTAATTAATCTAAAATATTAAAAATGTCTGTCTTATTTAGCAAGTCGATTATTCGGTTGATTACATTTTCATTCAATTTTATTGAAGCTGGCCATATAAGGTTGCATATTATCCCTAGTTTGCGAACTCTTACGTTACTTACTTAGGTAATTAACGTTAGGTTATTTAACTATATTATAGCGTTGTGGAATAGCCTTCTAGCCCCTTAATCATATAACCTTGGATCCTTCGAATGAGTCGTAAAAAAACATTAATGAACCGGCATAATGCGTCCCGCAATGGGAACTCTTTTCGGAATGTATCCTCCTACAAACACTCAGATTATGAAATGAGCTCCCTGTCGAGGTTTTTCCAAGAGATTACGGCATTAGGTTCTTTAAAAAAGGGATAAAGAGGTATCTTAAAGGTTGGCAATGGCAAACGACAACGCGTGATGCCTCCTAGTATTGTAAGCGTTTATAGGTTACGGTAACCGCTTACCATCAGGTGATCCGTATACTTACTTGCCACTTCAGCGATATAAAAAAATATCTACAATAACATTACCATACCATCTTGATGAATGGTAAATCATCAAATCGAATTCGACGTTATTATTTAATAAAAAGGTATATATTATTATCATTGTATCTACATTTATTCTATATTTGTAACAATGAATAAAATGTTATAAGGAAAATTGAGGCGTTAGGCGACGGTCGTATTACAATTTTGATTGTATATTTAATTGGTTCAGTCCATAATTATGTATCTTGTGAATTTATTATTTATATTGATGGTTGAAAAAGTGTATACTTATAAAGAATATGGTAAGTGAAAAAATTTCTATGCAACACAAGTTAAGACCAATATATACGTATAGATTTATCTCTACGATCGATCGAAATGCGCAATCCATCTGTCTATTTACGTTGACTATAGCTACACACGTATGATACGATAGAATGAGGTGGCAAACAAGCATATAGCCTGTCTGATGGTAAACGGTCTCTGTAGCCTATGGACGTCTGCAACACTAAGGGTGTCACGTGCGCGTTGACGCATCCTATAAACATAAACAACACAATGAAAATCATAGAATCCTCAGGAATGGCTACGCATGGAGAGTATCATGGGCGAAACATTATACTCTATTATGTCCATGGTATTGCTCATGTCTATAGGCGACAGCTACCACTGTCCATCAAGTGGGCCGTCTAAGTTATTGTTATTGTTTGCCATCCTAAGTTACATAAGAAAAATAAATCTTAATATACCCCTTTTGAATAATCCCATACTGTAGTCTCTAAGAAAAGTCTCAGCAAGGAGCTATTCCACAGCTTGAGCGTTCGCGGGAGAAAAGCCCTTTGAAAGCGCACTGTACGCGGCTATTTAGGTTCAACCATGTGCAGAAAAAAGAAAACACAAAGGGCATATACTAGGGATTCAACATAGACCAGAATTGAGTCAATGGAATTAAAAAATGCCAAACGATTAATGATCGAATAATACGGTTTTAATAGGAAATTCACTAAAACCACGCCCTGTATTGAAAGCACAGCTTTATTCTTTACGCGATTTGAGATTGATTGGTTATCGATTCGACCAGCTATCGGTTGTTCTCTCAAAAATTTGAATGGTTGGATTAAATGTCATTTGCAGTAATTTAAACTCCAACACAATGGCAAAGAGCACTCACACAGACAGCCTGAGGCTGAGATAAGCACTTCACTAGTACGAGTAGATACCTTAAAAGTTTGAATGTTATTCATTCAATCTAAAAATAATACTAACGAATATATAAACAAATATTATATTGCTGAAAATGAAGCTCTAATCCCATGACTGACAATACTTTCCCCCGTTAGATTATGTAGTAGCACATACCTACTATTGCAATTCGTACCTGTGTAAAGTATGAATAGCAAAAATACTAAGTGCATCAGATGAAATGACCTTACGACATTAAATTTATAAGGGGAACCAAAACAACCACTTTCTAGTGGTAGCATTGGTTACTACTGCGTATTAGTGGCAGTACTAAGTAGATAGAATACATTATTATTGTCATTTCTCGTTTTCAGCCCCACCGCAACCTGAAACGGGATTCATATTACAAAAAGAAGGAAATAATTATATACATCAATGTAATGTGGCAATTAACTTAGAATGGTGGCACTATACGCAATGTGGGCATACAATTGGTAAGAGAACGATTACTCTGTTAACATCTCACTACTGGGTATGGACACTCCCACATATAAAGAATATATTAATTAATTTATAAAGTTTCTTGTTTTTACCCATAAAAAAAATATTAAAAATAAAATACCATCTATCAAGATTATTAATGATCTTGAACAGACCAGTCCCTACAAACAGCACCCGTTCACAATTGTAACATATGAAACTACTGTCAACGTTGTTACTACTCTAGTACCTATAGGCTTTGGGGGGAAAGGGATTGTTAGTGATGGAGACTGAGAATCCCATTGCTAGCAATATACCAAACCAGGTCGACCTCCTCACGGTTCTTCCTGGAAACTATCATGGTTAATCCCTGATGAATTCATCATGATGGGCTAACTGGCCTGTTTTCATTCTCATCTATCACCCTTCACTGGTGCTCCGCAGCGTATCCCGTTAGCGCAGGCCATTTTAGTTACCATACCATTTTCACCCATCAAAAAAAAGTAGGGTAGGGCGGGGCTAAAAGGTCCGCGGGTAAAAAGGTCCACCATGCCTATCTCCGAAACTAAGTGCACGTTAGACAACGGAGTGACCGGTGCGTGAAGGGGACGAGGGACGGGTGCGCATGCCGCCCCGCGCAGTGCATTTTCTAGAGCCGGCAAGAGTGTACGCGCAAGTGGTGCGAAAATTACACGTAAGTAATGTTTTAGATTTTACTTAGTTTTAGTCTCATTGTTCGATTTTTAAACTTACGAAACATAATTTCTCTGTATAAATGTTTAGTGGTATTAAGTTTCACGTAGTGCCATTGTTTTTTTGTTTGCATCACCTTGTTTTTCTACATAACCTAAAACAACAGTCCACCTACCATTGGGGCACAAAGGACCGCGGTGGACCTTTAAGCCCCACGAATTATTTTGATTCTATGTATTAATTTCTATTTTATTTTCAGAATGCGGAATTATAAAAAAACCACTGAGCGTGGTACGAAGTCCGTTGAGCTGATGAAGCGAGCGGCTGATTTAGTCGCAAATGAAGATAAATCAATAAGGCAAGTTTGTCGTGACTATGAGATTAGCAGAACTTCATTGAAGAGATTCATGGCGCGGTTAAAGGAAAATCCGGAGTCGCCAAAATTTGGCTACGGCACTCCCAGATTAGTGTTTAACCAAGAACAAGAAACTTCTCTCTGCGAGTATTTACTGACACTTGCACAAATCTTTCACGGTATAGGCCCTAAAGATGTTCGTCGCTTGGCTTATGAATGCGCTGTAAAATATAATTTGAAGATTCCTGAGGTATGGCACACAAATAAGATGGCTGGAAAGGACTGGCTGACGGGATTCTTGTCAAGGAATGACCGTCTCTCTATCAGGAAGCCAGAGGCTACTAGTTTGAGCAGGGCCACCTCTTTCAATCGAACGAACGTTTGTGAATATTTTGATAAATTGGCACACGTGATGGATCGTCACAAATTCAGAGGTTCGTCTATATGGAATGCTGATGAGACTGGTGTCTCGACTGTAAATAAACCTTCAAAAATAATTGCAGCCAAAGGGAAAAGAAACGTCGGGTCTGTCACATCTGCTGAAAGAGGAACTAATGTAACATTGTTGGTAGCTGTTTCGGCAACTGGATCTTCGATACCTCCAATGTTCGTATTTCCAAGAAAGAAATACCAAGATCATTTCGTGCGAGATGGGCCAGCAGAATGTATTGGTGCAGGAAATGCAAGCGGCTGGATGACTGATACGGAATTCTTGCTTTTTATGAAACATTTCATCACTTATGTGAAGCCAACTAAAGAGTCGCCAGTTTTGCTTTTACTAGACAATCACAGTTCGCACTTGTCAGTGGAAGTGTTGGATCTAGCGAAAAATAATGGAGTAGTGATGCTGTCGTATCCTCCTCATTGTTCCCATAAGCTGCAGCCCTTAGACGTGTCTGTTTTCGGGCCGTTTAAAAGGTATTTATCGTCAGCACAAGATTCATGGATGCGTGGCCACCCAGGAAAAACAATGAGCATTTACGATATCCCAGGCATCGTCCGAACAGCTTTACCTTTGGCACTGACTCCCAACAACATCTCGAAAGGGTTTCAAAAAGCTGGGGTTTACCCGTTCAACCGGGAAGTGTTTGATGAGTCGGACTTCGCTCCAAGTTTTGTGACAGACCGACCAAATCCGAACAATCCAACAACGTCTTCTGTACCTAATGAGTCACAGCCGCCTATGTCTACAGAGCCCCAGTTGCCTATTTCTCCAGGTTCACCAAGTTTGTTAATTTCTTCGCAGCCCGAAGTTGTAGCAGTTGTTTCAGCAAGTATATCTCCTGTATCTCCTTCTCAGTTGTCTACAGTAGGGCCTCAGTTGCCTACCGTCTCAGTTTTGCTGTCCTCAAGTGACCTAATGTTGTCTTCTACAGCTGCTGTTGAAAAAGATTGTCTGCCATTAAGGTCCTGTACAGTTCCATCTTCAAACATTGAGCCTCAACCATCTACGTCAGCTTCATCCTTGTTTGCTCAGCCATCAATATTTTCTCCGGAATCCATCAGGCCTTTCCCTCAGGCAGGACCGCGTAATGTTACCAGCAGGAAACGACGAAAGGCAGCTATATTAACAGACACACCTGAAAAGGAAGCGTTGTCTTTGGAACAAGAAAATAAAAAGAAGAAGAAAATGGTCTCTCGTAAAAAAGCTGTCTCGAAGAAAAATAAACAAGTGAAAAAAAAGATTTTACAAGAAAAAGATACAAATAAAAATAAACAAGTGAAAAGAAAGATTATACAAGAAAAAGATACGAGTTCGAGTTCTGAAGAAGAAGAATGTCTTTGTCTGGAATGCTGCGAGTCATTTGCTGACAGTGTTGCAGGAGAAGGCTGGATTCAATGTAATACCTGTAAAGGTTGGGCCCACGATAAGTGTGCCAAACATCACTCATCATCTCTTGCATACGAATGTAAGAATTGTCAGTCTGATGAAGATTAGTTATTAGTTTTTTGTTGAAAATACTTATTTTTTTAAATTGTTTAAGTTGCTAAAGATGTTACCGATTTCTTTTATGAATATGTACGATTTTGAGATACTACAATTGTTTTAAGATGTTACCTTTATCAAGATCAAAAAGACCAAAGACCTAAAGATTTGTTATTAAGACTGATTATAACTGTGCCTTATAATTATATAACTTAGTTACCAGTGCAAAATAGGTCGCAACATATCTGTCGATTAAAATATAATAAATATAAAGATTATTTATTTTTATTTATTTCCTACATTTGACCACAAAATATGATTTAGTTGTCGTGGTTCTTTTTACCCCAAGACTGGTCCTTTTTACCCCACCTGCGGGGTAAAAAGGACCATTTGACATTACATTTTGTATCGCCCATATTGGGCGCATTGGTAAATTCTGGCCGTATTCACCTATGGCAACTTATAGATGAAGGATTAAACTTTCTATTATTATTAAAGTCTTTCCCAGGAACCTTAAACGTACGTAGTTATGACACAATATACGCAAAATGGACCTTTTAGCCCCGCCCTACCCTACCTATAGACATTATAGCGAGTATGGCTTACTTCAAAATACTTAATCATAAATTTGCCTCTACAGTTACGTAGCTTTCTATTCCAAAACCTTTGGCGTCGATTCACAAAGATTGCTACAAATTACTTAATAAAATCGCAGTTTGCCGCAGGTTTCGCTTTCATTAATGAGTCATCGGTTTCGCTCGACTAACAGTGAAGTGTAATCACAACAGGCGGGCTGTACAGAGCGAGCAAATAATGACTTTATCACACTGCGTTAAAGGGTCTATGCGCTCGCTCTTCTCATAAAATTCATAATTCATATTTGACTTTCAATTACAAATAATATTGTGTGCGATTTTCAATCATGAGAGCTAAAATCATTTTTTTAATATATCACAGTTGATATAACTGTAAATAAAAATAGTAATATCACTCAATGGTAATGAATTGGATGTAGGTAGCTATAATTTCCAAGCTTACTTCGGAGACATAACACCTTAGTCCTCAAGATTGGTTACGCATTATGATTATCACAAGACATATCTATTAAAGAATGTTACTACTTCCCATCAAGTGAGACGGCAGTTTATACATAATTTCTAATTATATAAAAAATATTTGTTTCAGTTATGGGTTATATTATAATACCATTATAATACCATATCTCAACTACCAGACCAACGTACGACTAGTAGTCAAAATGGACATAGAGGCATTTGATAATAATACAAGCCTGAGATGTGGAAGGATTATATGGGATGGCTTTGTAACAACGAATATTCAAGAAACTACAGTATTACGAGTGAAATCTACAAATCTGAGTACGTTTTAGAATCTGCTTACGGTACCTGTTTATGGCGTGATTTGTTCTTGTTCCCCTTTACCAAAAGACGTTAGTTCTAGGATTGGGTTCCATGAGCGACACGACATGCAGAGGGAAATCGAAATAATTAGCTTTTGCTATAAACAAATATTATTGAGCTTTTTATACTAATTAGACAGCCAGATTACGATATTCAACTCAAAATTTTGCCATTTTACAATCCACATTTCTACGGTAATAATTAAAGATTATGTCCCACAAAAAAAACGAACTATAAAACCGACTCTGATAAAATTTCTATGTAATCCAATCTGTAAGTATGTCCTTTCAGATAAGAAAAGAATTTTCCAAATCGGTTTAGAACTGCTGAGGTTATAAGGTAATAAACATAAAAAATTCGATCGAATTGAGAAGCTAAAATAACAGTCCCTTAACAGAAATGTAATGATTACTACCATCAGACCTTTCATAGTATCGTTACTTTGATTATAACCTTATAAAATATTATTCTACGTTATTCAGCGCTCTAAACAACAGGGTTACATATTTTCAAATATCTATTCTATGTTGTTTTTAAACAATATTTATCTACTATGCTTTAGTCTAATATCGACAAGCCGCTGATATAACATACGAGTACAAGCAGGTAACGTTACAAATCTACCGCCCTTTATATTGTTACAGCTGAGGCAGAATACAGTACAAACACACAAATTCCATTGTGTATTATAGGCTTGGTGAAACATTAAATATATCGTGTAATGGAAAATACTTATATCATGTAAATGGTAAGTAACCTAACAAAACACTTTGTTAATTACTTGCTGACTGGACGTACTTAAATAAAATTTAGTAAGTTTTGGTCAAATAGACCAAAACCACCAAAACTTATACATTAAATTAAATTAATACGTCTTAATTCTAACTATCACTACATATTATAAAACAAAGTCCTCCGCCGCGTCTGTCTGTCTGTTTACGATAAACTTAAAACTACTGCACCAATTTTCATGCTGTTTTCACCAGTGGATAGAGTGGTTATCGAGGAAGGGTTTAGTATATAATTTGTTAAGTTTTTGTATACATTAGCTACAATGTAACAATATTTGTTGGAAGTGTCAAAAAAACGCTGCCTAAACCCTTTGTGATATAAGGGTCCGAAAGTTTAGGTTATGTATCAACGTAAATTAACATTATGCGACAAGGAAAGATGGATTGATTTTTGATTGTTACAATTTAACTCAAAAACTACTTATCCAATTTTACCGAAAACTACATCTCCTCTGAGTAGCATAGGTTATATTTTATATTTTCTGTAAAGAACCCGTGCGAAGCTGGGGCGGGTTACTAGTAGATAATAAACAAATGTTTGTCACATTTCGGAATTGCCAAAAACTTTGTCTATCTCATCCAGACTCGTAAAACTGACGTTGTGTACGAGTAGTTATAGTCTCTCGAAGAAATAGGACTCCGACAGCAAAGTTCTCGAGGAGTAGACTCAACAAATACAACTTACTTTTTTTTTCAGCGAACAACAGCATTACAAATGTCACAAAAATAAATTCATCCCATTATTATGTCATTAACAATAATATAATATCAAGAGATGATAATAAATCGATGTTATATTGTATTGATTTTACATGTATGCCTAGATATTACGATATTTCAACTTTCGATTATATAAATGAATGCAATAGAAAAATATTAAAAAAATATAGTTTAATAGTCATACATGATCTCAATAAGGGGACAAAAGGTACGTGATACTAGTTATGTAATAATTAAAATAAAAGACTAATTATAATTGAAATAAAAATTTTATATGCAATATTTTCTCCAAGAATTCTGCCACATGGGCAACTCAGTGTCACGTGATACTACTATACAAGCACATGTTTCTACTTTTAGTTAAATAAATATCTCATAATCAAGATTTAATTTATATTTCAGAAAGAACAAGTGTCATAATTATTACCTCGACGTGTACGGTGGGGGTATTTCTGTTCTCTGTTGTGATGTTACTAGTTTATTGGAAGTACATGTGCAGGCGAAAGAAAGTTACAGAAAACCATGTACTAACATATGATGTATGTTATTGTAAATAATTGACAATAATTAAGTTATTAACATCTGAAATTAAGCATTAGGCATGGTAGTGAATTGCTATTTTTATTCATTTGTAATCTGGTATTGATGATGAAGTATGAGTTATTGTGTTTATTTCTTGCCGAATTCGTCACGATAGACCAACATATAGGTACTGATAACGTAAGTGACGGAGCATTTCATTTGTACTTATGACAAAAAACTGTTCTAAAAAAAATTCCATTTTAACAGCCCGTCAGCTCACCTGCACCTGTTCCTCCGGTGTTACTAATGCTCATGAGCGGCAGTAGTCACTGGCCATCAAATGCGCCGCAAGCTCATTTACGGTCTATTTTATAAAAAAAAAAAAACTCTGTTACAGTCAACTCCTCAGTACGAGACCATCACTCACCAAATAAGAAAAGAGAATTTAAAAGACGACGTCTCCATGTATATGTCTTCACTAGTTCACTATGCAGAATTGAATTTGCAAGAACAAACAAATACAGTGATAGGTAATATTAGAGAGGATTCGCCTTACTATAGTGAAGTAATTGTAAAACGAGTAAGCTGAGGAAATGAAAGTAAGTATATTGTGCAGTGGCGGGCTAAAAGGTGAGAGAAGGGATGACCGGCGCAAGCCTTTGATTCTGAAAGGCCTCCAAATGTCACCATTTACCTTATACATATCCATATTATACGTATGTTTATTTAAGCCAAATTTAAGTTTCATTTGCAAGATTTGAACTAAATAAATAAAAAAAATAAACACTTATATATACAAATATGAATTGAGTAAATAGCTTGTAACATTACATAATTTCTTAAACTAGAAGCTTCATTCAGCTTTACCGCCCGGACCTCTGACAGACTTAGACCACCACTGATATTGTGAAATCAAAGTCATTAGATGATTAATTGTACATAAACTATGAAAAACTAAATTTTCCTTTAACTATTGGAGTGTTTCGTCACTTTTTTTATGCATCTTAGCAAACAAATTAACGGCTCACCTGATGGAAAATGGTAACCGTCACCTATAGACATGAACAATACTATTGACATTGCACAGTATACTGTGTCGCCCATAATACCCTTTATGCCTAGCCATTTCTGGTACCTAAGATTATATGCCTTCAAACCAAAACACAGTCGTGTAAACACGACTGCATTACGGCAAAAACATGAAAAAGACAAAGGTATCCCAACAAACAATTTATATACAAAGTTAAATTATGAAAAAAAAGAAATATTTGTATAAAAGAAAAAACAGATCGGTTCAATAGCTTAAATAGATTTATGAGACGCTGTACGTAAGAATCTAACCACGTTATAGAATATTAACGTTTACGCTGTTACGTATTGTTCTGGTCATGCGGACGATTGACCGAAATAAAAAATTACCTATATCCTATAGGTAATTCTCCATTCCATACAGTCTGTGTAAACCAAATTTTATGATGATCGAGTTAAAGCCGTTAAAGCGCTATAAGATAACAAAAAAACTTACTTCACATTTATAATATTAGTAAGTAAGTAAGGGTTGGTTGCAATCGAATTAATATTTTTTTTTCATGAAATAATGTTTAATATTGTAATGTAATAACTAACGAATTAACTTACGTGTAATTTACTTACGAAACTTTTAACAATAAGACATGTTTAATGACATTTGTAATAGACATACTAATGGATTCCAAATACATTATATATTAATACAATACCTAGTAGGTAATAATTTTCAATACATTAAGTATAACTGTAAAATAATAATGATAATAAATCTAATAATGAAAATTGCTGTACAATTTTATTTATTTCTTACTAGTTACCCAACTGTGGCGAAACAGAAAGGAGTATTTATTTATTTATTTATTCATTAATACAAATATGTGTACATGGCGGACTTAATGCTAAAAGCATTCTCTCCCAGTCAACCATAGAGAAGTGTCAGAATACTCGAATGCGGTACTACTAATTATTGATATACATACATACTAAAATTACATATATAAACGAATAAATATATATGAATAACAAATAATGAACACACATATATGATATATACTATATTATACACGAATTTAGGAATAATATAAAGCACTTACGGCTCGGATAAAGATAAAAAGTGAGCGTGAACGCTTTTTTTGAAAGAGTATGTGTTTATATACATCTGTTCCTTAATAACTTCTAAACTATTTATCACAATTTATCATATGTAGGTTATCGTTGGAAGCGTTCTGTAAAAACAAACACATGTTGATGATTAGATAAAAGTAATGGAAATTATACTTGTATGTACCGATTTGGAGAAAAATGTGCCATTTGGATAGAAATAAAAAATCGCATCTGGTAACGCTGCGGGGCTCAGCAAAAATACCAATAATAGCAAAGAGGTCCAAATCTAAACATTGCATCGATTTGTCCGAAGTTAAATTTTCAAGCTATTTATATTAAAATTATAAAGAGGTAAAGTTTGTGAGTTTGGATGCTTGGGGTAATCTCTGGTACTACTGATCCCATTTTTGAGAATTATTTCACTGTTAGAAAGGTATATTATCACTGAGTGCTATAGACTACTTTTATATTGGTAAATATATATTTTCAATAATAAATGTAATTGAAGTCAGTAAAAATTCTATAATATGGCGTGTGCTGCCTGAAAGGTTTGAAATAAAGGAATTAAATCTTAGCAAAGATAATCTTTACTTTGAGTTTTACAAAAAAATCCGTGACACCATATATCTTATTTTAATATATCAACTAAAATGATAATTTTTATTTTAGAAGTAAAGTAAAATTTTACAAGATTAAGTTAGAATACAAAATTTAAATATACTTTACAGTAAGACTCCCCACTAGATGAAGTGACATCTCAAATGCATTGCAAGGAGTCAATGGATGCAGGTGACCCGGAATTACCACTCAGAATAGTCTATGTAGAAGGCCTAAGTTCAGCAGTGGCCAGATAACAACTAATATGATGGCGATAAGTACAATTTGCTACACATAAAAAACAGCAACTTAATCATTATAAAAAACAGTAATGAAGGACGAGATGTTTCGTATAGGAATATTTTGCTTTACAAAAAGCAGATTTCTACTCGAAAAATAATAATTAATGATTAAGTCCTACAGGAAAACCGACTTCAATCATGACAAAGTTTTTTGATCTAAAAACAAAACTTTTGAACCGATTTTAATAAAATTTCTATGTACATGTAACCACAAACGTTACGAGCAATTAATTTGTTTATAGTCTTTTGCGAATTATTCCTCCAGCTTTCTTCAAATGCATTCCACATGCCCTATTGTGAAGTAGAACATTGTTCTCGCACGTTTCAGTCAAACTCCTCCCACAAAAGCTCTATAGGTTTAAGATCAAGGCTTTAGGGTGGCCATGTCATGGTTTTTTAACAATTTTTCTGACTATTTTCTGTCTAAATAGCCCCTACATAATTTTAAACTGTGCTTTGTATCATTATTTACTTGAAAAATAAATCATTTGCCGATTAACGTTAATCCGGAGGGAATAGCATTTTTCTCCAAAATTACTTTATAATGCTTCTTTTTCATAATTTCTTCAATTTGGACCAGATTTCCAATCCCATAACCTGAGAAACAACCCCAAACCATACAGATCCACCACCATGCTTGACAATCGGGACTACACACTGTGGCATTATCTTTTCTTCGGCAGAACATCAAACAAAAATTTCAAATTCATTTTGTACCGAATATTTCAAATTCCGTTCACCACTCAATAGCATTTTTTTAAATTTTCTTCGGTCTAGTCTCAATGGGCTAGTGGCCATTGCAACCGTTTTTTTCTTATTCTGCCGTTTTAGAAGAGGTTTCCGAAAAGCAACGCGACCAAACAACTTGGTGTCTCGCAATAGTCTTTGCACTGTAGACACTGACACAATTTTTTCCCGAGATTTGTTGACTTCAATACGAATTTCTGGGACTATTTTGTTTGCTGGTTACCACAATAAATTTGTTTTCACTAGAAGTCGTAGCTCTTGATCTCCCGGAACGCGGACGATCTTGATTACTGCCAGTCTGTTTGTACCGTACAATAACAAGTCTTCGATAATTTAAGTTGAGATGCAATCTCACGTTCATATTTGCCTTTATTATGGAGAACAACGACGGCAAATCGCGTTTCAATACCAATTTCGCGAACTTATTCCATTTTAGAAACGTCTTGACTGTAGGCATCGAAATGAAACTAACTGCGGATATTCGTAGATAATCCTGATTGCGATAATGCAGTAATAAAATTTTTACAATCAATTATCGGACTAGCTCTTCCCCGGCTCACATCAGGAAGTTTGGTAACAAATGTTTCTTTATTGCTCTTTTTTGGCTTATATAGAAAAGAATAAGCTTTTAGGCAAATCTTTATAAACAAAAGAATATGCAGGTGTGCAGATTACTTTTTATCACCAATATTTTTGAAATATTTACTAATAATAAAAGTTTTTATTAATGGTCTCAAACTTTTGACCGGCAGTGTATATGACAGGGACCTAACTTATTTATCATAACAAGTATATACCTAAATACATTGCTAATAAGAATAATCTTACATTAATACATATTACAATAACAATAAAAACCATTATTCACTTTATTACATATAGGGAAGTTGTGTATAGTGACTCGTGCAAAACAATGTACGAGTATATAAAATTTATATACTTATTTTTAATAATAACTGTACACAATGGAAGCACCGAATGCGGTGAGTAAAAAATTTCTACTTGAAGTTATGTATTATTTGCAAAATTCAATTTATTTATTAATTAAAAACTTTTTTAACATACTTTAAAAAGGAGCATATGTTGGAACAACATGTAAATGACTCCATGAGGGAACTTAATATATTATATAGGAGTGTACTTCTACAAATTTATATACTCTCTTAACTATGGGTCTCTTAAATACCCATAAAACAACACTGACCTGAATAAGTAATACAATACATATAAATAATCCAGAATGTTATTCGGTTTAAAGAACTTTATTTCAAATATAAAGAACATTGCATTTTTCACTTAATATTAGTTTTTATTAATATTTTTAGTAAAATTTTGATGTTTCCTTCTGCCTGGAGATATGTTAGTTTTCTTCAACAAATACTTTTTTATTTGCAAACTATTTATGAACGTGGAATATTTTATGTTTAAGTAATCTACATATTGTACAGTTGTACTTCCTCACACTCAACAGATTTTTTCCTATACATATTTCTAATGTTAGATAATTTTATATTGGTTTTAATTCTAATGCAATATTTTTATTATTTTTATTTTTATTTAATTTAAGACTGTATATTACCAGATATTTTCCTAATCAACAGGCACGTGTGAAAAGTATTAATAGTTTTTGTATGTGCGAGATAGTTACAATTAAAAAAATAATCATTCTTTTATTTTGTGCTCTTTGAAAATATTGTAAATATGTTTTTTTCTTTTTTTTGCAATTTGATTGATTAATACATTTTATGATGAATTAACGCATATACATATATAATAATATACTTAAAAAATTATACACAGATAAATCACTTACAATACAACGTATATAAATAACTATGAGTAATGGCATATTAATATTATAAATATATTTTGTCATTGTTATTCATAGAATAATATAGATTGTAGCTCTTCATTGTTGTAATAATTTGAAATAACGTTCACAAAAGAACTTTTTGAAAGAAAATTTGGTTAGCGACTTTTTGATATCAATAGGTAGTCGATGGCAAAAATGGTAAAAGATTGATAGGAGAAATTTAATCGGTTGGTGGGGGTGTACAATAAAATGTTAGGAATGGAGCCAAGATCACGAAAGTAACTAAGTTCTAATTAAGTACTTAAGAATTGGAACCTTTCTTTGAGATACTGAGGAGATTGTGAGTCATAAAGAATAGAAAAAAGATGGCATAGAACTCTAACACATCTGCGCAAGCGAATCGGAAATAATTTTAATTCAGACAGAATGCTGGCGCTCATGTAACTAGGAAGAGAACCATTCCTTGACTGTCGAGAAAACACGAAAACACTGTCTATGAACAATACTCCAATACTTTAAACAAAAATGATAATATAGATATCAGACGTAGATAACCAAAGGAAGTAACATTAAAAGTTTTTGGAAGAAGGAAGGCAAATGCCTTACGCCAAATGTTATATATTTGGAAAAAAAAACTAACAAACATAGCTGTAGTCCGAAATCGATTTTTAACAAGTGCATAATGAATGAATAATAATGAATGATAATGAATGAATTATAATTAAAAATTCTTCCACAAAAAAATCTACTTCAATTTTGATTTAACAACTAAAAGTAGTTTAGTTAGAAGTTAAAACCAAGTTTAATAGACTTTTTATGAGACCAATCTGTAAATATTTCCTTTTAGATAAAATATTAATTTCCCAAATCTATTTATAATAAACAGAGTTATGAGGTAACAATCATAAAAAAAAATAAACGAATTGAATCCTTCTTTTTGAAGTCAGTTAAAAATGGTAATGATATCAATCAGTCGACCACTGCATGCAAATTATTTATTTATTGACATAAATATGTATATATATGTATATATATTCTATAACACAGGGGGCAAATGACCATGTGGCTTACCAGACGGTAAGTGACGGTACCTGCAACACCTGAGACATTACAAGTGTGCAGCCGGCGTTTTTAAAAGCACACTTTTATTATGCCCTTTTCTTGAAGGTTACGATAATGAATACATATATAATGGATAATTTTGATGAATGTTAGTCTGGTTTTTACAGAATCTCTTCAATTTAACGTGACCACAGCAGTGGGTGACCACTTCGAAACAAATTGCACTGTTGATGAAGAATGCAAAAACGAGTTCCCTATAACTTTGACGCAAGTATTGAACTACGGGCAACAATTAAGTATAATCAATTTATAACCTACAAGTTTTAATTTATTTTATTTATTTAAATAACTTTATTGACCAAATGAAAATTAGGTAGAAAAGGCGGATTTAATGCTAGTAGCATTCTCTACCACTCTACCTTTGTAATGATACTTTGAGCCGCTTTTAAAAAAAAAAAAATTACACAAAAATATATATAGTTATAAATGATCCTTTCAAAGTTCGGAATCCAACAACATAAGATACCTAAACCAATTTTGTTTCAGGTTTATTTCAATTGAATGCTTATATAATAGATTTCAATGTTGTAATAAAAATGAATGTATATAAATTTGATGACGGTACAGTACTGAATTGCAACAAGACAATTAAAAATGAATATAACCAAACTATCGATGTACGTGTCATAAAGAAATTACTACTTAAGAAATCGTCGGTAGAAAGTAGGTACTCATTTTTTTAAATATTTACATTTAACATTTTCTGTTATTCTAATATTTGCCATAATAATTGTTCTTATGATTTTAGTAAAACGTAATACTCTATCAAAATTGTCTATAAATTGAATATTATAAAAATTATCTCTAAAATATAAAATGTGTCTAAATACAAAAAAAGAACTCATCAAGAACTTTGACCAATAGCTTATGATCGGTTATTACTATTAGAAAATATTGTTTATTGTTTGGTTAGAATTGGTGTCATACGTCCACAGGTATTGGGGGAAAAAGGGATTGCTGGCAATGGGGTCTAACAGCTCCATTGCTGACAATATACCCTAGCAGATCGAGTCGCAGTTCGTCCTGGAAACCACCGTGGTTAATTCTTGTTAAATTTATCATGTTGGGCTAACTAATCTGCTTTCATCCTCACCTATCGTCCCTCACTGATACCCCATCAGAGTATACTGACAGCGCAAGCGGGATTATGATTCTATTATCACCTATTAAAAAAGACCATAGGTATCCTCTGAACATCACTATGAGTAGGGCTGCTATCACCTAAATTGCCAACACCGGATAAACACGGCAAAAATCCCGGTCATTTGGGCGAAATATGGTTTTTTCCTCGAGATATTTTGCCGTGCCCTCTTGAATGTGGGTTATTGTGCATGAATTTGTAACTAAGATTTATTTTAATTGATCGCCTTACCTATAAAAAAAAACATTATTATTGTATATTACCTTTAAATTTAATTTATATTTACAGGTACAGAACCAAAACATATATACTACGATCCTGGTAACCTGACTATATACTGTGACGGACATTACTTGTATAAAGTGGACAGTAAGTTAAAATATTATTGTTATTAACGATTCTTTAAAAAATATTTATACAATTGAATGGCTTCGATATTTATCTGAACCACATGAAACTTTCAGTACCTACTGCAACACGTCAAAAGCACCAAACAATGTACATATTGTTATTTAATATAAATTTTACTTGTATATAAAGCAGAATTTTATTTCGTCGGTGTACACCGATTGCGTAAATAGAGTTTTGATCCGACCGGGATATGTTTATTGACCAGTATAAAAATTGGCCTATATCCTTCTCCATCCCATATAATACGTACGTATGTAATACGCACCTACAACAAATTTCATAGTGATTGATTAAGCCATTAAAGCTGTATAAGATAACAAACAAACTCACTTTCACATTTATAATATTAGTAAAGATTTGTGAGTAATAAATTATAATAGGCAATTAAATAAGCGAAATAAATAAAACAACAATACAAATACAGGTTCTCTGTCGGATAATTCTTCTTATTTATAAGACTGTTAAAAGTTTACATACATCATAGAATACGCGGGAGTGGTAACAATATTCTGAACATGTTTGGAAATAAATTATATAGTTCTCTCGTGAGAATGCTTGCCGAGAGGACAAGATCATCATAAGTAATTAAGTATTAACATAGTTTTTAAATTTAAAGTAAACTTACTAACAAAATATGGATTCAAGTTATCTGAAGTAAATAAATTAATTAATTATAAATTCGCTTTATATTTTTCAGCGACCAATAAAGTAACGGAATCAATACAATTGTTCGATAAACAAAACTGTATTACAATCGAATTAAATGATAAAGATGACAGGACCGAAATCTTTTGTATTAAATTTCACATTATACTAGATAATATGACAAAAACAAAAATATGCGAGCGTCAAGTATTGAATGTTTCCAAACTGCATTTGAAAGGCAGTGAGATTAGATTAGATTATGATTATAATAAAAGCACCGGTGAGTAACTACTTTATAATATACATACTTGCTTTTATTATTATTGTTTATACTTTATTGTACACAAAAAATTACAAACATATAATTTATATTAAATAAAAATGTACAACTATACATCTACTGCGATCTACTTTTACCTGCGACTTCGTCCACGTGAACAGGATATGTTTACTGACCAGCATAAAAAATAGCCTATACCCTTCCCATGTTGTTCCCTCGTATGTTCTATACTAAATTTCGAAGTTAAGCCAAATTATGGTAACAAACAAACTCACTTCTACGTTTATACTATTAGTAAGGATATATTGACTATTTACCTCGACTTTTCAGGCTCGTTCCTATGGTAATTAAATCTAAAAGTAAAAAAATATATTATTCTGTAATGATCTGTCACACTTTGTACGTATAAACTAAATTTCTAAAAATATTTAATGTGCCTACAGTTTAATGTAAGTACGCCATAATTTTATCTAAACTAATATTAATATTATAATAAAGAAAGATTTTTTTTATTTCCAAAGAGGGTTGACGTCCGGCAGGCGGCCAGTAGTACAACTATAAACCAAAAGTTTTTGTAATATGGATAAAACCATATTACGCCGACTCCAAATAATAATTGGTATAAGGACAAGAAGATGATGATGAGATGATGATGATGAAAGATTTGTTTTTTTTTTGTAATAGATAAATTCAAATAATACTTAAAAGCTTTTAAAAGTTAACATACCTGTATAAAACTACTCGTATATTATCAGCGAGTAACGTAAGCTGTATCCTATCAACCGACTTTAAAAAGAAGAAGCTTCTCAATTCGGTTGTATTTTTATATTTGTTATCTTATAACGCCGTCAATTGTTAACTGATTTGAAAAATCCTCTATGTATCTAAAATAATATACTTATACATTACAATACTCATAAAACTAATACATTTCACAGAATCACAATGTACAATAATCAATAATAATAACTTAAGAATCGTCGCAGGAAAAGTATACAAGCACAAATAAACGATTCAATAACTATATAAGTACAATCTATAATAATTCTTTAAATATATGTATACATATAATATACATGCATATACTCACATATAAAATCCTTATGTGCCTATATATACATACACATACATTTATAGGCACGCAAAAACATTAAGCAATCAAAAAAAAATTAATAAAATCACATTACAAAACAAAAAATAAAAAAAAAACAAAAAAAAAACAGATAAATGTAAAAATAAAACATATACATTAGTTCCATAGAAATTTTATCAAAATCAGTTCAGTAGTTTAACTTTTAAATCAAAATAACTGTTTTTTTTTACAACTGAAGTCAGAAGGCCTACCATAAAATGTTTTCAGAAATTTTGGGGTCGAACGAAACACAAATTTGATGTTAAAACTAAATACTTATTAAATGATATGTATCATACATATCATTTATTAAAAACTTTCCTTTGGGCTATTACTGTAGAATTTATGACGAACGAAATGGTAAGCTCCATTTACTGAGCCGACTTCGGTATGAACAAAAACACGAAAATGAGTCCGAAAATTTGGAATTTCGTTTCATAGTAGACCCCCTATTTTCCTTGTAGAACACAATCTTATTTAAAAAAAAAGTCTATCTACAGCCAAGGAGATCAATAGTTATAATATATATAGTTATATTATATAGTTACGGGTATAAAGATTTTTTATATGGCGTATTTTTTTGCAGACTGGATGAGTATACCATTAATCATATCTGCGATTGTTATATGCGTCGCAATAGCTATAATATGGGTGCAGTGGTGGAGGCGTCGAGACAGAATAGCTTCGCAAAACGTTTCCCAAACGGACGAAGATGTATACGTGAGTTTTTATGAACCACTTTTTTATGCGACTTGGAATACCAAAAAGGCCTGGTCCCTAACTAGTGAAAGTCATAACCATCTATAAATATAAACAGCATAATGAACATAACAAAATACAAATACACCAACGCTGATTTAAGAGAAATATCTAATCTGAATAAATGACACCATATTAATTTCTGTCCTAAAACAAAACAATAACTTTATAGTTTTTTCGGCCTGAAGAATATGAAACAAGAGGTATAATATTTTGGATGCCAAGGAAGTCGAACTCAATATTCGAACTCATACTATTAATTTATTTAAATAATTTTATTGATTGAAAGAAAACATGGTAGAAAAAAGCAGACATAATGCTAGTAGCATTTAATTTAAGTAGATTATGCGCAATATCGAATCGCATTTAGTTTCCGGGAATATTAAAAAATCTAAGAAAAAGACAAATATTTTTGGGACACCATTAATGAATAACAACAATAGTTTTAAGAAATGTATTACGTTCATTAATATACTGTATATGTATAATTAGCCGTGTGCTCCCGGCAAAATTGCGCCACCCCTTCCTTTACTGTGGATATCGCAAGAAGCGACTAAAGGAATTATTAAGGTCGAAGGATAGGCAGGCATCCCTCTTAAAACGTAACCAAAGCCTAACTACGGTTACTACCCGGAAAGGTGGCAATACCCCCCCCCCCCCCCCAAAGGGGAACCTATGTTCATAATCGGACAGTTAACGGCTGATATGATATTTAGTTAGTCTGGATTTTGATGGTGAAATTATATTTCAACATATTGAATAACCAAAATCTATAGTTATTAAGAGCAGTATTTCAGGGCACCTTTCATCCAGGGGGATAAAAGGCGCCCTGAAATACCAGGAAATACCCACCCCGGAATCGGGGCGGAGCTTTCGTAAGGAAGAGATATGTCTAAGAGTACGTTAAGCACCTTTTTCAAGAGGCCAAGTTCCCCTCAAAAATAATGTAATTATATGTTGACATTGTAAAATATATATGATATGTATCGCAAACCCTAATTTCAAATAATATCAAATAAAAATTTCAGGAGATACCTCATCCTCCTTATGTAAATCTTCACGGAACTGCCACGAACACCACCTCACCCGAAAGCGATTACGTAGATCTCTCATCAGAGGTCCAGTATGCGGATCTGGAAATGATGCAGGGCACGCTGAAATCTTTTGATGTAAATGAAAGATGCATATACTCTAAGGTTACTGGTATCTTAATGCCAAATAATAAGAAATTATAATTAATACGAAATAAAGTATTAGACTTTACCAACCATAATTATATATCAGCATGCATGGCGACTAGTGCCGATGCAAAAATCGTTCAATTGTAATGTCATCAAGTCGTATATTTGATTTATAATATTTTATATAGTTCATTAACAATTACTATAACTATTTAAATACTTTTTATGTAATAACTTACTTTAGTACGCAACTTTGTACGTATGGAAATTTAAAGTAGATAATTTCTAGACGGTGTATCTAGACGAAACATATGCCAGATTTTAAATTAGACCTTTAGGGACACAACTGTAAAAATCGCATCCAATTTGGTGCAGTAGTTTTTGTATGATACCGGAATAAACACTGATAAACTAAAATAGTAAAAAAAAACTATCGTTTTTAACTTCTATTACTCTAATTGAGAGCTTTCATATTACTTGTATTTAAATATTTTTATGTAATAAAACTATGACACATAATATTTTTAAGTAATAAAACTTACGAGAAATAATTCTCTTTAAGTTTTATTATATAAAAATATGTATTAATATAGATTAAGAATAGTGCCTGGCATTCTTTTTTTACACAGAAATGTAGTAGCAGTATCAATTTATCTACAATAAGATAGGCAAAGGAACTAAGCTATACAGCCCGCTCTTCAGTAGATTGTTTGTATTTCCATGTCTTAACAAGGCAAAGTTGCCATATCTTTTTCAGGATTTTTTAGAATTCCGAATGGCTTGTGATCAACAAGCCATACGGAAAATACGAATTTTCTTACGATTGATAATTAACAGGTAATGCCTACGAACGCCGATAGTACCGCAGGTACTACCCTTATCCTATGACGCCAATAGATAACTTTGAATGGACCTTTGATAACACTAATTTCGTTCTCAACTGGTCGTCATGTTAATTTTTATTAATTTACTAGTGACCCAGCCCGGCTCCACATCGGTACATTGAATTTTCGAAAATAATATATACCGATAAGAAAAGATTCTTGAGTGGTGACCTCGTACGGGCAAACGCTACGGACGACCCCCACTAGATAGAGTGACGACTTCAAACGCATTGCAGGGAATCACTGGATGCAGGTGGCTCAGGACCGTTCCTTATGGCGGTCTATGGGGGAGGTCTATGTTTAGCAGTGGACAGATAATAGGTGAAACGACGATGATGATAAATGTATAGCATATGTTACTCTTGATAATGTAGCTTTCTATAGATGAAAGAATCTTTAAAATTAATTGAGTAGTTTTTGAGTTTATTCAGTGTACTGTATCACCCATAATACCCCACATGCGTTGTCATTCCTGAGGCTCAGGTGTTATTCCTCTGTACCCTGTAAATTCACGCCATATCCCACCCTTCAAACCGAAACACAGCCAAGCAAACTGCTTTATAGTTTTTATTTTTATTTATTTATTTAGGTCAACAAACAGTAAACACAATAACAATATATATATCTAAATACATATGTATCTAAATATCAATAATTTTTGTGTCACCAACGACGTTGGCCACCTATTACTATAAAACAAAATATGCAAAATGGTTGTGTGCAACTACTTGTACAAAACTAAACATATACACATACAAATAGTTGAAACACGAATGGGACAGAGGTACCGAAGCAATCGAATTTTGTACAAAGTCTCCCTCTGGTGTGGGAGACTTTGGTTTCCCGTTATTTAATTTGAATACTTAGATTTAAGTACTCGCCGAAAAAAAAATATACATACAATTACCTATAGCTCGCTTTGAATTGATATTAGGTTTTTCAAAGTAGAGATTTGTTTATTTTTTTATTATCTTCAATTTTGGTAATGGCACATTTTTTGTAAAAACTCATAGTTTTTGAGTTATTTATGAAAAACCGCTTTAAAACATGTATTTTTATCACGAAAAATCATAATCTTTGATCTTTAATAACTCAGAAAGTATCGATTTATTCCAAAAACTTTATATAACAAATTTTGCTTAGAATTTGTCTCTCTATCGACTCCTAGGGTTATTTTTATTAATTTTCACCCCCGAGAAGGGGTGGCAACCAGCCCCAGGGCAAAAGCGCAAGTTTGCACTATGTCAGTTTTGTTTCTTAAGGTATCCTCCATCTATTCACCAATTTTCATGAAAATCGTTGGAGGTTCAACGAAATCGGAGGTGAAAACCTTCATTAACTGTACTATTTAATGTGTTAATAATATGACTAAATGATTATCAGTGACAATTAAATGAAACTACATCATAACTGTATATATGAATATCTATATTACTGTTCTTAAATCAATATTTACATTAAATTTATACAGGTGGTCTTTTCTTAGCTCTATAACCATAGACGATGGCGGCCAATAAATATGTCAATTCCAACACAGCACTAAATAATTTCTATAATCAAGATTATAAAATGTGAGCTAACAAAAACTTTAAAAAAAAATATGAGATCATATACTAGTTTCCCATTACATCCTTTTTTTAGTGTTAATATTTATAGTAAATTTAATATTATAACATTATACTGTAATAGATTGGCTGGAAGAGATCTCTTTCAGAGATAAGTCCACCCTTGGTCATAATATTTATAACTGTCTTATGTATATATATAATTTACAAATGCAATCAAGAATATACATAGTATCATTCATTTGATTGCCATCTTTTTTACTCCTATGCAGTTAAAAAAGGGTATAATGCTGTGTCAAAGGAGACATAGTGAATGCCATTTCTAATGGCACAGCACAGCTTGGCTTAGAACTGAGAGCGTTAATATAATTATTATGAAACTACTCGAGATCACAAATTGTAAGCTAATTGTCAGATTTAAGTCAAGCTGTACGTATTTATATGTACAATCACTTACAATATGCATATAAGTTATAAATCTCACTTATATAAAACTCATTATGAAATAAGTAAACATTTTTTTTTTATTTCGGTAATACAAACGAGCTTGGTAGTGCTATTAGACAAAGTATATATCAATAGTTCTATTTAGATTAAAAATACAGTGTACATATTTTAACGTAATAACTACCAATTTAGCTTACATGTAATAAGATTAAGAAAACTCACAGCCACTCATGATTAAGGGTCATGAAATGATGCCAAATCTAGTTGAGATTTCTTGATCTAATTAAACGCAGGTTAAACCGGTAGTTATTACCTTAAAATACAAAGTGTACATATTCATATGTACATAATCCATATACATATCCGACTAGCCCCTTCGGATATACATAGTTGTGAGTATATAAATAAATTTAACACATAATTAATACAGGTTGTACATTTGGCCTCTGGTAGATTACGTATAAAAAAAAAGTATTGAATAGATAAAAACACATATTTTATTTATTACTATGTTTTTTATCTCCAAATTTATACAAACACGAAACAGCAGTAGTTAAAATAAATTTACTGATATCCATTTATTCTTTAGTAATTACACAAATCGATAGTACAGACAGTATCGATTCTTCAAAAAGGGCGTAATAAGATTTTTTTAGGTTTGACAACGTGTTGGTTGTAGGTGTTGTAAGCGTCCATAAGCTAACTGTAAAAATGGAAACCAATTACTGAACCGTTTTCCATCAGATGGGCTACATATTTATTTGCCATTTTTGAGATATCGAAGAAAATACCGCTTAAAAATCAACACAGTTTGATAAAATTCAATAATTTTATATCAACGTCGTTTTAAAACTGCCTACCCATTATAGGAAATCTAATAAATTCGCATTGAATAATGTTTGCTTTTTTATGAACATATTATGTAAAGCAATATTATCATATACTTGTATTAATATTTGTAAGCAATTTTGACATATATTTTATGTTGTATAACTGTAAATGTATTTTATTTCAATAAATGGCATATATAAAAATCAAAATAAAACGGTTTGTGTTAACTGTTATGTATTTTCCATCTTAGTATTAAGTAAGGAATTTCGATATAAGTATATATTTGTGATTTTAGTAAACAATCAGATACATATCTGATTCTTTACTAAGAAAAAAAAACAGATCATACTAATTTTCAAAATAAACCTGATTAATGTATAATCAATAGATTCACGTTCAAAACATAATTCGTACAAAAGCAGCCCTGTATAATAGGCATTTGCCATAGACTATCAACATAAATGCATGCTTCCAAATTCCAGTCCCTATCTATGCATACATTATTATAAATTTCATTATTTACCCTTAATACCATCAATACAAGATGTACTGGTATTTTTAATTGACAAATAAAAAAAAAGTTACTTCTCTATATTTGAATCAGAATTGCTAATTAAAAAAAAAGTCAATGATTAAGGCATTTTATTCATTATGAGTATTCCAGATGCAAGAACTTAAATTATGCCTCAATTACGCATAATGGTGTTTACTGCTAAAACAATTTAAATCTGGTTTATATATATAAACACTTCTCACCACTCGAATACTGAATAGATAACGGCACATACCAACTTAGACCGTAAGATATCACCACTATGTATGTACACATGTCTAACTCTCGAGAAACAACTGAAACAAAACTACAAACATTAATTTCTTATTCATAAATAATAAAAAATTCTATCTAGTTAAGCTATTTTATTTTTGTCTTTTTATTTTGGACTAAATTTTTCTTTTGAAAAATGTTATAAAATAGGTTTGTAGAAACTTGTAATTTTTATAAATAAGATGATTCGACTGGTCTCAGTGGGTAATAACAAATATGACGATCCAAAGCTTATATTACTCACGCTGTCGGTTAATTAAATAACAAAAAAATTTAATGATAAATAAAGTACAGATCGCTTACATATCGAATGTCTCTAGAAAACATCTCATATATTTAATAAATGCGTTATAAAATTGTCTTTTTAAGTCATTAAAATGAATTTAAATAAATTTATCAATAACATTATTAAAAGTGTAGTTGCAACACGACGATAACGATTGTACATATACATCATACATAACTGGTAAAAATAAGTACACAAACATATTAAATAATCATAATTTGATCTGAGCGAGAGGCCAACATGCAGTAGGATCAAAAGGTGAGTAAATTCATTATAAATTGTAATTTTAAATACTAAATAACAGTAAATTGGGAATTAAACTGGTCATATGTCAAAATAATATTAAACTTTCGCATTGTTTTCACATATTTTCAAATACACAATAGGGACTTAACGCGATATTATTTACAGGTTACTTTTACACGTAAATAATACCTACATACCTCCTTCTTTGTTGCCGACATTTCGACGTGAATTGTAGCGTGGTCACGACAGGAGCGCGACGTGCAAGACGTACAAGCAGGTATGTGGGTACTATTTATCTGTAAAAGTTTTTTCATCGCGTTGAATCCCGATTGTGTATTTAAAATACATGTCGTACATGTGAGTGTGTGTGTGTGTGTGCGTGTGTGTATGTATATATATAACAAGAACTTGAAATAGAAACAGTTATATCATATTTGTCTTTTTTAATACGATATTTTATGAATACCCTATCACGCGATTTTGGGTGCTATCACACTTCAAGATAAACAACACAAGTATCAATAATAAAGTATTATATACCAGTTTAATACAATAAATGTGATAAACACCATACACCAATTTCATTCAATAATATATTAATTAGATTTATTGCAGCTAACATCTTTATTTTACATTTATTTAATATATTATATTTCTAATATTATTGGCACTGCACAGGTTTCTATTTTTCTGAAATTTAATTCAGAAGTGAGTTCTTTTTGAGAGCCCCTTCCGATAAGAAAGTGTTTCATAAATTGTTGTATTGCAAAACACAAAAATCTCTTGTATTGCATGGAAAGTTTATTACAACATATAAATACAATACATAAATAAAAAATATGTTTACACAGAGAATGATTTGTCAATATTACCATTTGGGTTTTTTATTGTCGTTATGTATTTAGAAAAAACATATTTTATAGTTTCAGTGCATTCAGCACAAATTTTTTACATCACTGCACTAAATATTAAGTGATAGATACATTGAATTTACAATGTAAAATAATAACATCTATAACTAGACAATAGGGATGTTGTCTTTCTTATTCGGGAGGAACTCTAAAATAATTCTTATAAATAAATCCATATGGAATATTAAACATTGTAAGGAATGCTGGAAAGCTGTGAATTCACATGTTGTTGTTGCGCGTTGTACACAATACAACATATGTTGTTAGCACTCTCGTCAACGAGGTTGCGACATTATATACAATTTATATTTCTTTCAATATATTGAAATAGTATATTTACAAAATACCAGCATTTGTATTCGATCATTTGCTCATAATTTCTTGCATACTCCTATTTTGTTAATGCATTGCATTTTATAACAGTCAAGATTGTTCGCTATGTCTAGTGTTTAGGTCCTTACAGGGACAGAAAATTTTTAATTATAAAATATTAGTGAAATGTTTCAGGTTATACCATTTAAGGCAGGGTATACCTTTAATATTGATATTTGTAAATTTGTTTTATGAACATAACTCCTTAACTTTAGTACTATAATTAATTTTGTAATGTCAAATTTAAATGGAAAACATCACAAATTTCATTATAGCCCTTTTGCACGACCGCATGCGTAATTTTCAGCGCTTGCAGCGTCACGTGATCACTTGTAGACATTAACACTTGTATAACATACAATTTCCACTTGATTACCCGATACTTGGTTGAGACAAAACGCGAGATGCGTCACTAAGTTCACATTTAAAAAACCACTGTGCATAGACAACACGGTATTTTATATTGACACTTAAAGACACCAGATGTCACCCGATTATCAGACACGTTAGACGCGTTACGAGATTAATCGGGCTCGCCAGAAGCGTCACTAGATTAGATGCATCACTTAACAAGTCGAACACTCCAGACTTCGATTGACCAACACGTCATCGGACTAGTCAGGCAGCGCGTCAACTGTCTATGTGAATATACCAGATGCGTCCCAAAACTATTCAGACACTGTAGACGGGTCACGAACTAGTCAGAAAACTGACTAGTCTAACGCGCCAAACGATTCTTGATCGGTCGAAAGCGACAAGCGAGTCACCCAATCGATCGAGCGCGTGGTACGAGTGCAGCGCGCACGGCAGGCACTAGAGGCGGTCGCAAGTGTAGTGTATGTCGACGGTGTGTGTGGCGACACGTGAGGCGCGCAGGGTGCACCGCGGGGGGTCGGGCCGCGACCCCCGCCCAGAGCCCCCTGCGACCCCCGCACCACCCGCCCGCCGCTAGGTGCGCGGCGCTACGCACGCCGCCGGCGGCTTAGGCGGCAGTCGCGGCGCAATGTTCCTGTATATGTATAATAAATAATTGAAAAACAAATATACAAATAGTCATGAGTTAAGTTCTTCAAAAAGTGCATCAAAATATTTTCCCTATTTGTATTATAATGTAAGTAATTCATAAGTAGCCACTTTAGGCCTTTTAGCAATTCAGCATATTTGTCCTATAATACGAATCAACCGTCGTGGTTATTTCCGTGTGTACTCGTTACAATGGATTCACCAGTGGCCCGCCAGCGTATACCAACAGGGCAGACGGGGATGATGTTTCATTTTGATACCATTAAAGTAACTACAGGTGTTTTACGCACGTGTTATTGTGATGCCGCCGTTGCAGTATGGTGGAGTGCGCGGGCCGCAGCAGCTCGGGCGCGGGCGGCGGGCGCGGCGGCGCGGCGGCGCGCGCCGCCGCCGCCGCCGCCGCCGCCGCCGCTGCCGCCGCCGCCGCCGCCGCCGCCGCCGCCGCCGCCGCCGCCGCCGCCGCTGCCCGGCGCCGCGCCCGAGCTGCCGCACGGGGACACGCCCGCGCCGCCGCTCGTACTCGCCGTCGACGACTGTGTGTTTAATAAACATAACATTTTAAAATTTAAAATAAAAAAAATAAAGAGAAAAGAACTAGTCGTAAATATCTGGTATGGAACCAAAAAATAATACATTAATTTATACATTAATGTATTATTTTTTGGTTTACACAAAAAAGTTGTTTCAAGCACACTTATAGTTGTGGTTAACCGTACCACGATTGATTTTCAGCTAGCTGTAACTCCCTAAATTATGATCTATAAGTTCATAATTTAAACGACTAGTTATCACTTGTGGTTGATATACATACATGAATAATAATAATCTTTATTTGCGAGTGAAAAACTTTATACAAAAGTCATCTGTATTCGTGCTTCTGCCATCAGTTGTGCTTGCATCACTGTTTTGATTCGATGGATGAGATATTATAAAGAAATTACAGGGCACAAAGACAGCATCATTGTCGTAAGGAATGGCAATATATGAGGGGCACAATGGACGGTACGGTCTGTGATGTACTGGGATGTGATGTGGATAGAGGAGGACCTTAAATTCTATATTAAAAAGGTGTTCATGTCTTTATAACAGACGATAGCTACCAATCAGCATATTTAGACTTACCAAATGTACAGGGGTAGGCGGTGCGGCCGAATCGCGTCGTCGCCGCGGCGGCAGAGGAGGGGGAGTACCACATGATATTGCTGGAAGAAAAAATTACTTCGCTGATTCTCTTATCCAATATTAATGGAATCGTAAAGATCGATCCTACACATAAGATTATTTTACAATAAAAAAAAAATATTAAAACTAGAAATAAGTAATAACTATATAAATCTGTTTGTTAAGTAATCACGTGAGTGACAAAACGGATTTCAAAGAAACTTTTAATTCACTAAGTATTATATTAGCCTCGCTTAAAAACGATTATAAATCAGAATGAGACACAGATTTGCGGATCCATGATATAAAATCACGTAAAGTATAGAAATTTTTGTTAATTAGAGTTTAAAAAGACGTTTTCTAGATGGTGTTAATGCTAATCAATATTGAATCTAATCAGGAATTATGTTTATTTAGACTACAACGCTAAGTAGATACCATAGTTAGTTGATTATCAAAACATATACTAAAACTACTTTCACTACTAGAATTGTTTCATCCTAATGACATACTATAAAGGACAATTTTCAACTTACTTTAAAAAGAAGGAAGTTCTCAATTTGATTGTATTTTTTATGTTTATTATCTCAGTAGGCCTACCATGAAATGATTTCTGAAATTTTGAGGACGAACGAAACTTCGTGTTAAAATTACATAATACATGCCGTATAAAATTATTAAAAATGTTAAAATATCGTTCCTATGGACTATTAGGATTTATGATGAACGAAACGTTAAGCTCCATTTACTGGGTCGATTTCGGTACGAACAAAAACACGAAATTAAACCCGAAAATTCGGAATTTCATTTTAAGACGACTACCAGTTTAGTCCATCAATAAAAAGACTTCGGAAATTATTTTTTATCTGGAAGAATATACTTACAGATTTGTTCCATAGAAATTTTACCATAATCGGTTCAATAGTTCAGTTTTTAAAACAAAATAACTTGTTTGTCATAATTGAAGTCGGTTCTTTATTGTGAGACACAATCTTTAATTTCAATAAGTTATTATAATGTAGTATACGTACGATGATGCGGCGTGAGGGGTGGCGCGGGAGGTGAAGGGGTGGGCGCTCCTCGCGAAGGAAAGCTAAACGCCAGCGACCTGGAACAAAGTCAATAAATCATTTATTTGCATAAACATAGGTACAGGTAGTTATTAATTAGGTGTTGTATAATATATAGAGCGCTGTTTTGCCGTCATTGGGCGTACAAATGTTATTATTACACGATATCCGTTATATTATAATTTTTACTTATAACAATTACAATAATAAATAATTTATGTCAATTTAATTTACTACATTTAATCATAAAAACTTCAACATGATCAACAAAATACCTAGTAATGTATTTAATATTTTTATTTTTTTTTTATTTTTAAAAATTATCATCATGTACTCATTAATAGAATAATAGGTCTTATGCACCTACAATTTCTTTCTTTCTTGAATATATGTGTATGATTTATATCCTTAATACATTCTTGCTATTTATTGTAAGTTTTTAAACCCATACAGAATATACTATTATTGGGATTATAAAGTAATCATGTCATTATGTTTTATGATTAAAATCCCAATGGGATCGGTCCTGATACGTTCTCTATCTCTAGAAGTGAAATTGTAGTTTGATATTGGAGCGAAATTTTTCTTCTAAGAATCAGTATGAACAATATTTATAAAAAAAAAATTAAATAATTCTACTGATGACTAGTGGTAACTATTGTCTATGGACATAAACGGCAATCTGAAATTCAATCACCATAAATTTAAAATCAAATTTTCGTTTTCGAAACAAGTCTAAGCAATGGCACATTAGAATCAACCTCATTGTTGATCAATACAGGTATTATAAAATTAACACAATAGTCCAAATTTCATAAGACATGTAAGAAGTTACAAAAGTAAACACGGCGACTGAAAAAAAAATTAAGTCTATATGAAAATGTTTATTCAGGTTCTACAACGCGTTATTTATTGCGTTTAAGGGTAAAAAAGAAGTTGTTGATTTCCTTATAAATAAATACATACCTGTCGGAATGTACTATGGGGCTGACAGGTGGCTGAGGGGCCGGAGATCGCTTAGGAGACATCGCTGGCATCCTTTAACAAAACATACACATTATTACATTTTTTTCCTTTTTTATGCATTTCAAAATGGTAAACAAACTGACGGCCCACCTAATGATAAATAGTAACCGTCGCCTATAGACATGAACAGCATCATGGACATAACAGAGTATACTTATCGCCAATGATAAAGGGAGACAGGGATCGATAGTAATGGGGTCTAACTCATCCATTGCTATCAATATCAAGTCGACCTCCACGAGGCTCCCCCTGGAAACCATCGTGGTTAATTCTAGCGGAATTCGTCACGAAGGGCCAACTGACCTGCTTTCATCCTCACCTATCATCCCTCACTGGTGCCCTGCCAGCGTATACCGATAGCGCAGGCACTGCTACCATTACATTATCACCTATTAAACCCCCTCCCCCCATGCGTTGCCATATCCTTATCTACTTTTTTTTAGATCAAATAGAACCTTACACTTGCTGTCAGTATGCGCTAGCGGGGTGGTGGACCTGAGGGTATTAGTACTAGGGGAGAGTTCATTGTCGTTAATTACTGCAAATAATTCTATGTTATTATGCACACATAACAACAAATATATTAACAGATCAATAAGAACAACTTTTTACGCCTACATTGCAAATAAAATTAAACAAATCACACATGAGAGGAAAGCACGAGGCTATTTTCCAGATTGCCTTATGTTGTAAACAAAAATATTTATGTATATTTTATTATTTTCTATTTAACAATTTATTTATAATCAATATTTTGTTCAATGAGGATTTATATATGTCCACGGCAAACAAAAATGGGAAATTTACAAAGTTTTATAAAGACGAGCCACAAAAAAAATAACAAACGAATTGAGAATCTACTCACTTTGAAAGTCTTTTAAAAGTATATTATGTAAATTACCTGAAGAGATCGTGATGTTTGGGGCTCGGTATCGGCCGATCGGGCGGTTCGGGCGGTGGGTCGCTACTAGACGATATTGCTGAAACAAAACATGCCAATGAGTTTAACTGGCAACATAATTATACTTTGTGAAGGAGCGACACCTGCCATATCTTTATGCCACTTACTTTTTGAATACTGACATAAAATAACATATTGCCATTCTCTAATATGAACAGAGATCCGCCGAGTGTGCCACATTACAAGAAAACTTACACTGCGTCGTTACCGATCTTCTATCAACCGAAGTTGCGTCATTTACGAAACATATATTGGCGCGAGTGTTTTGCAGCACTACGTCGACGTTACGTCCGATTTTGCGCGTACAGTAGCCGAGAATAGATAATTCTATGCAATTATTCTATGCAAAAAGACCAGAGGGAGACTTTGTACAAAAGTCGTTTGCTTGGGTACCTCTGTCCCATTCGTGTTTCAACCGTGAAGCAATTGTGTTTACATGGCTGTGTTTCGGTTTGAAGGATGGGATATGGCGTAAATTTACAGGGTACAGAGGAATAACACCTGAGTCCTCAGGAATGGCAACGCATGGGGGGTATCATGGGCGAAACAGTATACTCTGTCGTCCATGGTACTGCTCATGTCTATAGGCGACGGTTACCACTTTCCATCAGGTGGGCCGTTAGCTTGTTTGCCATTCTAAATTGTATAAATAAAAAAAATTGACGTATTGTTGTTCCGTCGCGGACGACCGGCGACCGAAGAACGGCCTAACGTGGCGCTTTCCAAAGCAGTTAACACACGTACAGTGCGGTGAGGAGGGCCGCGGAGGTAGTACTGGCGGCCGCTCGCTGTCGGCGCGGGCCCCCGCCCCCGCCGGCCCCGCGCCCCCCGCTGTCCCCGCACTGCTTCCTCGCGGCAGCAACGGAGGGACGAGTTCCTACACAGAGATAACAGACACTTATTATAATACTAGTTTTGGACCGCAACTTGGTACATGTGAATTTTGAATGTAAACAACCATTTCTAATTAACGTATCAATATAAAATATACACCAGATGATTGTAGTAATTTTTGTGCGATACCGAAACAAACATATACAAACAGACAAAATTCTTAAAATTGTTACTTTGGGTTCTAGTGCTCTTATTAAAATTCTCATATAAATGTTTCGTAACCCTTTGAGTGCCGACGAGCGCCATCGCGCTCGTGTGCATTGCAACTAAAAGTGTCACGAGCGTCATAGCGCTCGCGAAATCAGTCGCTGTTTAGCTTGCTATAAAAAAAATATTAAAATTGGATAATTTTTGGAGGAAATAAAGTTTTTTTAGAGACAAGGGTAAATGACATCAACACGACAAAGATTTCTTTGGCATTTTAAGTAGATATGAGTAAAAATCAATGGCACTAAAAAGGTTAAATATCTTCTATGTACAGACATCGTTAATGTGCAATTTTATTATGTAAGAAAAGTACCTTAATATGCTTTACAAAAAAATTACTTCACAGTTCATGATTTCACATTCACATTCCAATAAACGACTAGATATTTTGTAGATACACCACATTATAGCGGTGAATGATATATAGCAATATCTATCATTTTAATTACAATATCTAATAACGAATATGTTGTATGCGTAAAGTTTGTTATCCAAAAAATAATATTGGACTTTTAACATATTCAAAACCATCCAATTGATATGAGCGATATCGAAATAGGCGATGACCTTTTTTCCGCCATCAATGTCCAGAAGAACCCAATATATAGATATCAGAGCGATATCCATATTACTCATGCCTACCACATTTTAAATTTAAATTTAGAACGGGGAATCACTCGCTTACATATATACAAACCTAATAGCTAAAACAGGGGGGAAAGGGATTGTTAGTAATGGAGACTGAGCTGATTGCTAGCAATATACCCAACCAGGTCGACCTCCTCGCGGTTCCCCCTGGAAACTATCATGGTTACTTCCTGATGAATTCATCATGATGGACTAACTGGCCTGTTTTCATTCTCATCTATCACCCTTCACTGGTGCTCCGCCAGCGTATCCCGTTGGCGCGGGCGGGGTTACCATATCATTTTCACCCATAAATAAAATAGCTAAAACAGGGGGGAAAGAGAAAGTTAGTAATAGAGTCAATTAACCCCATTACTAGCAATATACCGTGTCAAGTCGACCTCCATGTGGTTCCCCCTGGAAACCATCATGCTGAGTTCCAAAGGTATTCAACACGATGAGCTAACTGACCTGCTTTCATCCTCACCTGTCATCTTTCAATGGTGCCCCGCCAATGTATACCGATAGCGCAGGTGGTTACCATTCCATTATCATCCATAAAAAAGTAGCTTAAACACCCCTAAGCTAACAAAATGTAATGGGGGGGAAAGGGATTGTTAGTAATGGAGACTAAGAATCCCACTGCTAGCAATATACCCAACCAGGTTGACCTCCTCGCGTGTCCCCCTTGAAACTATCATGATTAATTCCAGATTCCAAATTCCATCATGATGGACTAACTGGTCTGTTTTCATCCTCATCGATCATACTTTACTGGTGCCCCGCCAGCGCATCCCGTTAGCGCAGGCGGGGTTACCATTCCATTTTCGTCCAATAAAAAAAAAAAACAGGATATAGTGGTAGTTGTAAAGGCGGACCTGCTCGAGCCTGCGGCCGGCGAGGTGGTCCGCGCTGCGCGAGTAGAACAGCTCAGCGTCGACGATGGCGCCGCGCGGCGACAGCGCGGCCGGCTTGCGCGGCGCCACGCTTTCCACCACACCCGCCGCACCCCCCGCACCGCCCACGCCACCCTGCCCGCTGCCGGAGCCTTGTCTGCACCAATCACGTACGGATTTCATTATAATCTACTACTGTATACCACAGTGTATAAATTATCCTATATGCTAAGTTTCTTTCTTCTTTTCCATTCCCGTGGATGTCGTAAGAGACAACTAAGGGAACTTAGAGATCAGGGGATGGGTTGCAGCGGCCCTTATAAAACATCATAAGTCTAATTGTGGTTGCTAACCTGCTATGTTCAATACAATTAACGGCTGATATGATGATGATGATGTGCTAACCTACCCGCGTACCAAATTTCATCCAAATCCGTTCAGTAATTTTTGCCTGTAAACAATAATCATCCATCCATCGTTACAAAATTTTCCCTTTAGCAGTGAACTATAAAAAAATGACAAAAGAAAAAAACAAATTCATACAAAGGTGTTACAGGTTATTCTGCCTAAAAAAGTCCGTCTGTCAATAATAATAATAATAATAATACAAACTCTCGCAATTATTATATTTATTTTTATATATTTGGCACAATTACTAAACTAAAAATGTACGTCAGAAAAGTATTTTAAAGAACTGATAAAAACAGTATTGTACAAATGTTGTATATTCACGTCATTTATGACTTAATATAGGGCGCAGAAACACTTACCTATCGTGACGGGGAGAATGCCGATCTCGTGGTGACGGTGGCTCATCTCGACTCGAACTTCTGTAATACATATAACATTAATATACAAGTCTTGATAGCAATTAAAAACTTTCTGATAGGAATTTATCATCTAAGTGATGATAAATTCCTATCAGATTCGATCAGATGGGATATAGCTACTTTCAGCGCATCTTCGATCGGCAACTGAGATCATCTATGATCGGCAACTGAATGTAGCAGTTACATTTAATATACCTTTAGTATCCTATTATCGATCCCATGAATACCTACTTACAAACGCGACCATATAACGTGAACATTTGCCGATGGTATGGTACATCACATTAGAAACCACACGGATCTTCAACATAGTGTAAATGAGAGTAGCAAATTTGATTCTATTTGATATATTAGTATTCCATTGCGGATGATCAACGACCAAATACATGCTGAATGTGGCACTGGGGACTTTGTACAAAAGTCGATTGCTTAGGTACCTCTGTCCCATTCGTGTTTCAACCGTGAAGCAGTTGTGTTTGCATGGCTGTGTTTCAGTTTGAAGGGTGGGATATGGCGTGAATTTACTGGGTACAGAGGAATAACACCTGAGTCCTCAGGAGTGGCAACGCATGGGGGGTATCATGGGCGAAACAGTATACTCTGTCGTCCATGGTACTGCTCATGTCTATAGGCGACGGGTTACCACTTTCCATCAGGTGGACCGTCAGCTTGTTTACCATTCTAAGTTGTAAAAAAAACTGGCTTTAGTGTGATCTAATACATAGTATTTTCACTTGGGTAAATATATTATTATAGCTTATTTCTATCATGAAGCAAAATATGCCTAAGTCTAGTTAAAATATAACGCAACCAAGTGTCCATCTCTCTCCAAATGTCCAACCATCTGTAATAAAAGAAGTGTTACAGTGCACTTCTGTCCTCAGAAGTTACAATGCAAGTAGAATTCACAATGTTTTGTGATGTTCATGTATACCATATACCATCAATTTGTTTGCCATACCAAGGTGCATAAAAAAAATAAAAATGATGTAAGTACTTGTTATGCGAGCCGGCCGCCTGCTTGCGCGAGTCGAACAATGCGAGCCCCTTGTCGAGGAGACTCAGCGGCGGCAACTGTGAGAACGCACGCTCAGGCCGCGGGCTCACCACACCATCCTGACTACCGCGGCTACCTGCGAGGGAAGGGACGCGTCATTTAAAAAATATTCTCACCCTGTACTGTTTATAGTCCAGCACAAACGAGACACATTTTATCTGTAAATAAAATTTCCATTTATATTCGCCTCATGTATGTAGAACAAGGCTTTATATCGTTTAAAAAGAAAAGTTTATTTATACACATAATATCCATCGTCTACAGGATACATTAACGAAATTAATTTCATGCTTGATAAACCTAATTTCAGGAAAAATTTTTGCGTTTCGATTATGTTTACAATTAATTCATTGTGTGATACATCAATTTGTTAATTAAATTTAAATTTGCAATCTGTTAATATAATTCATGTGAAAGTTTCGTATAAATAAAGCAAAATAATAAATCATTCAGTACCGATAATCTTCTGAACCTATTATCTTGCCACCTCATGCAAGTACCATATACTCGTATAAAGTAGACGGGCTACAATATATAAGCGATGCGTACCTCTGTGATCATCGTTATGATGCAATTGCAGAGAGGAACCGCTGGTGTTAGTGGTATTGGCAAGCGTGGAGGACGTTATGGACGCACCCGATCCGGCGCTACCGTCCCACGAGCCGCCAGTTGGAGACAATTGGGACACACCTGCAAACACACGACTATATCATATCTCAGAACTTAGGCCCTTTAAGGGAGAAGAGACTCTTAATTATTGTTAGCAACCCCATTGCTAACAATGACTAAGAATCAATAGCAATATATCCTATCATGTTGACCTCCACACAGTCCGAGAAACTATGGTAATTAAGTTCTGGTGAATTCATGATGGGCCTACTAACGTGATCTCATCCTCTCCTATCATCACTCACTGATATCCTGCCAGCACAAACGTGAGCGAATCAAACTCGCGACCATTAATAATGTAATATTAATGGTACCATTAATAAGGTAATTCGTTAAATCGCTACACCACCAAGGTCATCGTAATTAATATTTTTATAAGCGAAAGCTTAAAATAAAAAAATGATAATGTAAAATACATACTGAGATTATCGTCAGCAGGCGCGGCGGCGGAGTCGTGATGAGCTCTCCGAGAGACCTTCACCTGCTTCAGGGATAGCTCAGGGTACTTGCGGGGCTGTGGGAACATTAAATGTTTTTTTTTTTTTTTTTTTTGTCGGAAACAACAAACATAGTAAGTTCATAAATTTATACTAACCCCACACATAAATCGATTTATTACTTTATTCAAACTGCTTATTTTGTTGTTTAAACATGAGTTTAAACAACAAATTAAGCAGCATCTAATAAAAATGTTGAAACAATCTAAATTCCAGCTACAGTACTTACCTAACTGAACATCTTATAGAAGCTTCCTGGTTGGATACAGTTACTCATATTATAAATACTGTAAGTATGAATCCTTCATTTTGAGTCTTTTTCATTAATTTTATGATCCCTTTTTTGTTTATTAATTGTCCATTTACCATAAGACCATGATATTCAGATTATGTCTTAATTCAAATATGTATGCAGTGTTTAAGTTGCTATATAATAATCATTATATAACCGTTGAGGAAACTAAAAAATAGAATAATATTACAAAAAGACACTCACAAATTTAGGCATCTGTTTGACTGGCTGACGCGGCTCGATCTCCAGACTCTTTGCGTACAAGTAATTGGTGATCTCATTGTCGTCCATGCCCGGAAACGGATCCAGGGACTCCAAAAACGCCTGTAAGAAAACATTTGTACTACTAGTAATGATCGAGCGGTGACGCCCTCTGACGTAAGTGTGGGATGTACCTTACTGGATTAAGAGTAACACTTACGAGCCTTCCGAAGTATGAAATAACAATTTTTTTAATAAATCTAATATTATCCTATACCATTAAATATATGAACAGAATGATTTGAATTAAGTGATGGAAATACTATCAGTTTTTTTTTATCTATCATATCTTAAAGTAAGCACCTACATTAGATTTTACTGTATATAAAATGTTGATCATCATCTTTGAATATTAGATAAAAAAAAATTATAGATAGATAGATAGATAGATACTCTTTATTGTTTCCTCCAAAAGATTACAATAGTAAACTTATTATAAATATAAATAATTACAAGAAATAATCACAATGAGAAAACAATGGGCGACCTTATCGCTAAGAGCGATCTCTTCCAGGCAACCTTTGGATGGAGAGAAGTAATTATAAACAATTTGGTAGGAGGCATGATAAAAAATTTTGTTAGTTCTAGATATGGGAGATGTAATACATATAATAATATAAAAATTATATTTAATAATATAAAAAAAATACCTCTCAGTTAGAAGTATTATGAATTATTATCCAATAATTATATGGAGTGACTACATTTTTGCGCATGATACCACACGCAACGGAAAAAATTTATACTATTTATTTGAAATTAAACTGTACAATATTTAGATAAAAACTGTCCGGATTCTTTATATTTTTAATTGCACCACTATAATAATAGAAGTTTCCAAAAGCTATTCTATATAGATATTATTTTTCCAAAAAAATAACATAAAATCATATTAAACAATAAGCATACCCTCGTTTTAGGCTCGACTGTGAGACAGTACGGCTGATTCTGGTATTGCTGTATCTCGCCGGTGATCTCCGCTACTTTCCGACGTTTGGAAAAGTTGATCAGCTCAGAATTAGGCAAGTAATCTGTGGATATAGAGAAATATTTAAATACATTATTTAAAAAAATATATTGAAGTAATGTAGAATGTCCTTAGTAAGTCTAGGTACTTGCAGTTCTTGCACTCCAGCGCATTCACTAGGTAGTGTGTGAGAATTGACGAGGTTTATTCATAATACCGGCAAATTTCGCGAGAAATCTGAACCAATAAAAAAATTCCGAAAAAAAGCTAATGTTTCATTATAAAACTCAGGACTCCTTTCTACACAGTCTTGCAAAGTTTAATCGAGTAGTATTATAGAGTAATATAAATTAATCTACAAAAATTATATGACATTATTTTACTCATAATCTCGTATTGAGGTCGATTCTGACACGCCATTTCTCCAATCTAATCTAATTATCGTTTCATATATCATTATGGTTCAGTTTTTTACTTTTTATGTTTGTCAAATTTTACGTACTCATGTTTCTTGCAAATAAATATTCACAAAACGTGTCTCTTAACCTAATATATTAATTTAATAGTTTCGCGAAATTAGTATTTTTTAGAGGATCATCATAAACTAAATTTATAATTTTACTTAAAACTAGTAGAAATTTAGTTCATATTGATCCTTAGAATCAAGATTTCTCTGTGGTATTTAATGAAAATTTTTACATTGGAGATTTTATCTATAAATTACGGCTGTACGAGTATTTCTATGTATAATGTGGCAGATACTCAATGAAAAACGTACCAAGATTGCCCTCCTCGATGTGCAGTATATTGGTCAGGTACATTCCGAAGAACGGCACGCATGGTGGGTTGATGGAGCGAAGTCGCTCCTGGTAGCGCCGGAAATGGTCCGAGTTCAGTTCCCGAAACTCGTCTAGGGCACGAATGAGCCGTATCGGTACCAGCTGTATGTAAAATAGAACATCGTAACTTCAATACTAAAACATCACTCAAAGAGACCATACAATTAGTGAAATTACAATAAGTGTAATGAAAGTGAGTTTGTTCGATACCTCTTAGTGCCTTAACAGCTTAACCAATCACTATGAATTTTAGTATAAACAAGTAAGAAGGGATAAAAATTTATGAGTATGTTTGAATAATAAGATGATACAATATAAAATTTAATACTCAATTGTGCTTGATGTCTAAGCTTAGCTAAACGTTTTTGAATTTCCAATAGTTAACAAATAGACGACAATCCTAGATTAACACACAATACTCTTTACATTCACAATAATATTCACACAGGCTTACCTGGTCGCAGATTATTGTATAATGCAGTCACTCATATAGAATGTAAACACAAGTGATGGAGTCATCACGTCACGCAACTTACAATAGGTAACAAATCGATGTCCCATCTGATAGAAAATGGCAATCTTCACTTATAGACATGAGCAATATCATGGACAACACAGCATACACTATAGTTCCTACAGTTCTAACTTCACTGCTTAGTTGAAATATATGTACCAGTACTAGGAGCTAAACTAAAATGACCGTATATGCTTGGGTGGCGTGGTAATAGGTGTCATAAAAGTATCTTAAACATCACTAAAGCCTAAGTGCAGTTGCCAACTCGCATAGAAAGCGTGACATCTACTGGCAAAACCCCCCTTATGTGGGAGAGATCTACATTCAGTTGGACAGTTCAGTTCACGTGAACAGTTAACGGCTGAAATAATATGCTTGGGGGATATCAAAATATAAGTGAATCCAGTACCTGAAAGGTAGCTTTCAGCCTGTGCACACTAGCGCTACCGCAGGCAGCGACCACGGCGAGCACTCCGTTGAAGTTATTGAGATCCCGCAGCGCCACCGCCACCTCTAGCAGTCGGCACACCACCCCCACGCGCTCCTCCAAGTTTTCACTCTCCACTATCCATTTCTCCATCCATCTCGTGAACTGTATATTGAAAATAAAGATATATCAATTGACAAGTCTTTCTTTATCTAAATGTCATATTATCACTTAATTGTAATATATTTAATATAGCAACAATATTTTACATATATGAAAGTGTATGTTTACTAACATAATATATGTTTTTAACTGTAATTAAAAAAGATTCGTATAATATTATTTGCGTAAATAAATGGAAAACGTTTTATTAAAGATATAGCACTTCTTTAAGAGTAACTACTACTAGCTACTAGCATAGTAAACTCAATTCTGAAGCACTGTTCTCTGAAAATATCCCCAAAATTAAAATCTCGATTCGATATCACAATATAAACCTTATTTTATGGATCAGTATATAGAAAATTTTCAATAATGGATTTTAGACAAAAACGTCAAAGTAATCAATTAGACGATGTAAATTGTGCTATGTCTGCAATATTAAATTGGTTTACAAATAAAATTTACACTTCCTAATGTAAGACTAATAAATACACAGTTATTGCTTAATGACGAAATAGTAAATTTTGTTAATGATACAGTTTTTTTAGGTATAACAGTGGACTCGAAATTACAATGGGGGCCCCATATTTCAAAATTGGCCAATCAGTTCTGCTGCATATGCAATTAGAAGAATTAGGCAATTAACAGACGTGGCGAAAACTTGTATATTTTAGTTATTTCCATAGCATAATGTCTTATGGCATACTGCTGTGGGGTAAAGCTATAAATACTATATTTGTTTTACAAAAGAGAGCCATACGTTCTATTTATGGTATGGGTTCAAGAGAGTCATTACGTCAGTGCTTTATCAAATATCCTCACAGTTACTTCACAATACATTTATGAAAATATTATGTATACACGGAAGAACTTAGCGAGTTTTAAAAAACTCAAAGACTGTACAAGTAGAAACTTACGCAATATAAATAAGCTTATTTTACCTAAATGCCGTCTGCACAAAATCAGTAATTCATTCTATGGTAATTGCATAAGATTTTATAATAAACTGCCGGAAATTAAATCTGACAGACAAATCTTATATTAAACAATTTTTATGTAAGAAAGCCTTTACAGGATAGACGAATTCATAGATGACAACATATCAAGTAAATAATTAGTTTATTAGCATACAACGTTCTCATTGCTTTCTTGATTTAATTGATTAATTTTAGAAATATGAAAGCGTAATTAATTGCAATTCTTATGTAAAATGTGAATACTATAACTATCAGATGGCAATTGTGAGTTTTGAAGTGTTTTGAGTTCATGCTCACTAAAATGTCCAGACTTGTGGCGGCGTGGTGGGCCGGGTCATTGGGCTCCTAAAATATGGTCGAGCGCAGTGATGGCTGGCTCATCCGTCATACTCGTGAACGGGTGCTGCTTGTAGGGACTGGTCTGCTCTAATCACTATGACTGATTTCCTCTTATTAATTGTTTAACCAGTTGGTTATGTATTCAATTTTTTTTTTCTTTTTGAGTATTTAATTGAATTAGTGCTAATTGGTGGTTTGTATTCACACAATTAAACTTAAAAATGTAAAATAATAATAAAATTATTTAAAAGAGCATCACGCAAGTTTCTTGCTCGTTCTTCTTGTGATGAGACAGCTTTCCGAACGAGCTGTAAATTAAAAAAAAAATGTAATGACTTTTCAAAAGTGCTTCAATGTAAGTTTATTTGAATAAATGATTTCTATTCTATTCTATTCTATTGCAATAAACTGTAGAATAGCGCTTCAGAATCGAAAATCATTATCATTAAAAACTCGACAATAACGAAAAAAAAATGTGATGACTTTTGGCAGATTTTCATCAAAGCTAAAATCATTCGATTAATCAGTATTTCAAATGAAACATTTAAAATTGAATTAGTCAGAAAGGAAACAAGTTCATAAAACTAATTACAACTTACATTTGTGGTGTGTTTAATTATTCTAAGTAAATTGGGGCTAGATTTTTCTTTGTCTTTCTTGGTCCATACTGCACCCACCAACTCTGAAGGACGCACCTGAGTACACAAAAAAATACTAATATAGTACATTACTGCAGCGGCCAGCAACTGAGGCATTGATGGACGAACGTACAAATGTGGGCCGAGGTGTAACCGAGGCACACATACGTGAGTCCAGCAATGTCTAATTGTGGCCAAGGCTTGTATAGTACTTTTCTCAAACAATGCGCGGAAATAAAAAACACAATTTTAGTTTTTAAATTCAATGACGAATAACGAACAATAATAATTTTTCACGCGCCATAATGTTCCCTTGTTTTTTTTTCAATAAACAGCTATCTATTTGCAAGCCAGTTCGAAATTTAAATAAAACCTTGTATTAGTTACCTCCTCGGTAGCCATGTTTCGAAGTAAAAGGTCATTCCATTTTTAAATTACAGGACAGATATGAGTTTACATAGTAATTTATTTGGCCGCAAAACACGACAGATATGGATTTTGATATAACTTTTGCCGGCCGCTGCCCGCATTTATCTTGGCCAGTACGGCAAGATTATCAAAATAATGCTCACATTTCCAAGCATGTTTGAGAAATAGCTATTTTCTGATAAATGAAATGATAAACAAGCAAACGGCTCACACAATGAAAAGTGGTAACCGTCGTCTATACAAATGAACGGGACAACATACATCGTAAAATATACTGTAACACCTATAGGACAGATAATACTATACTTGTACCTATAGCACCGTTCAGCATTGCCATTCTTAAAAATTATTGTTATGCATCTATATCCTTTTATTTCACTGCCATATCTCACCATTCAAACTGAAATGGTACGAAGGTACTGTTGCTCCATGATAGAGATATGGATGGAAAAAGGGTACCCAAAAAAAATACTATTAAATTAAAATTTTGTGATACAATGTTTTTATTTAGATATGTAAACATACAGAATTTACAACAATATTATTTTTAAAAGAAGCAAACCTACAACAAATGTAAGAAACTTGTACAGTCGAATATCTTGTCAGTTATCTGCTAAAAATGCTTCACCAATATACTATACATGACTAAAAAAATATATGTTTGAATAATGGATATTATTGTTTGATATTACATGGTGAGGATCAGCCTTTTAACGAGAATAACGGACAGACCTACACTTAAATGAAAAATATATAATATAAGATAAATCTATAATTCTCAATGTCCAAGAATTGAAATGACTAACATATAAATTTTTCTATTTTTGCAACATCACACACAGATTAATATAACTGGTTTTTTATCTGCTACATTTCCAGTTGTATCAATACGTGATTATGTTTTACTATATATCTATGATTGAATCTGAGATTTCTGAATCTGGGTCCCAGTTCTACTGATTGATTTTTATTCAAGTTCGATTCTTTAAAATTAAATATCTTGCAATTAGTATGTGATTACCATAAATTATTAAAAAATTACTCTCAAAAGTGTTTATAATTACTCTTGCAAAGGTTGTGTGGAAGAGATGGCTCTTAGTGGTGTTATCTTTCCTTGCAATTGTTTGCAATTATAACAAGTTTACTACTGTAAACCTTTGGAGGAAACAATAAAGATAGATAGATAGATAGATAACCTTTATTATCAGTATTAAAAAAATAAAAAAATTAAAACAACAAAGAGAAAAAAAAGCAACTAATGTTGCTGGTAATAGGAGCCGTCTCAGCTGTTGCTATATATGTACAGCTCCAACGAGATGTACCTATATAGCGCTGAAGTATAAAGTATATGTATGTATTTATATGGTCCCACCTGGCGGTAGAGCTGGAACTCGAGCAGCGTGAGCTGTCGCGCGAGCTCGAGCGGGTGCAGCGCGAGCGGGTGCCAGGCGTGGCGGTCGGGGTCGGCCACGTGGCGCACGACGGCCGGCGGCGCGCGGTTGAACACGTGCGACACGTGCGACACGTGCGACACGTGCGACACGCCGCCGCCGCCGCACCCGCCGCACCCGCTAGCACCCACGCCGCCGCCGCCCTCCGGCTCCACGCTCTGTCCGCTCTGAAACGGACACAGCTTATTAATTTCTCGTTGGCTTAGTAGAGATTTTATAAGATAAAAATGAAATGGTAACCTCGCCTGCGTTATCAGGTTACACTGGTGGGTTACCAGTAAACAGATAAGTGAAGATAAAATCAGGTCAGTTGACCCATTGTAATTTGTAATAATAATAATAATAAATAATTCTTTATTAAGATTACCAGGACCCACTTTTTATATTTGACAAATTATTATAATTATATAGTTGGGTTCTTTCTTTTTTTTTTTTTTTTTGGTGTGTATAAACCAGAAATTAACAATGATAATATACAGGAGTCACTTGATCGTAAAAAAGTACGCGTACATTGGTAGCAGAAATCCCTATTAATCCTCATTGCTAGCAATCTCTTTTCGGGAGGAAAGGAAAATAGAGGAAATTGATAATAATAGAGTTTTTTTAATGAATAAAGATGACTTGTTACACCCGCCTAAGCTTATAATACAACGGCTATGCACCAATAGAAAATAAAGTGATGATGTTTATCATCAAAACCAAGTCTGATTGACTTGCCCATCATGGCAAATGTATTAGGAAAAAGTTATGCATCAGTATATAAGGTATCCTATATGTTAAAATTAGAATACATATTGCACATGTACCAAATGTAACCCAAATCCATTAAACATAATTATCTAACAACATACAAACTTATTAATAATATTAGCTTCAAGGATAAAAATGTTAAAGTCGTCCTGACAGGGCATATTGTTAGCAATGACAACATTAGATCTATCTTTCCTAAGAGATTAGCAACACTCTCTAACCTGTCACATTAACACCCTCTAATAAAGCAAGTCATTTTCATACTTTTTATACTTAATACTAAACGGGCCTATATATATGGGCCTACAATTATATCTTACATAAGGAATAAAATTTGTATGTTCTAGTTTAGGCTCCATATTTTAGCTCAGAATTGTGCAACACTTATTTACAACATTTTCAATCCCACTGACCTTCCTCTGAAGAGTCTTGAGCACACTCTGGACCCACTTCCTCATCGGCTTCCCATCGACCGACTCTAAAAACTCGCGCAGTCGTTCCAGCAGCGCCGGCTCTCGCTCGAAATCATAGAAATGTTGATCCACCCAGTGTCTCAACACGTTGATTACTCTGAAATATTATACAAGAGAATTTTTCATTAATACAAACAATATGAATATTTTATACAAACAAATACGTTTGGATTTTTTTTTATACAACTTAGAATGGCAAACAAGCTGACAACCCACCTGATGGAAAGTGGTAACCGTCGCCTATAGACATGAGCAGTACCATGGACATAACAGAGTATACTGTTCGCCCATGATACCCCCCATGCGTTGCCATCCCTGAGGACTCAGGTGTTATTCCTCTGTACCCAGTAAATTCATATCCCCCTTCAAACCGAAACACAGCCATGCAAACACAACTGCTTCACGGTTGAAACACGAATGGGACAGAGGTACCCAAGCAATCGACTTGCAACAATACAGCAATTTTAATTATGACAAAACATTCATATAACATGTTTTGTGGATTTTGACAAAGAAGAAAACTATATATATCATCACAAAATTAATATAGGACCAACACACGAGTACTACTTGTCGATTACAAACAGATTTAACAGAATTAACTTATTAAAGATTTTAGCAAAATCAATATAGACCATGTTTAAAATAATACCCAATGAAATAAAATAGAAATATGGAAATCAGATTACGTTTGCCGAAGATATTGCATAAGATACAAGAAAAGTATTAGCATTGCCTTCAAACGCTTTTTAAGCTGGCTATTTTTTTATACAACACAGGAGGCAAACGAGCATGCGACTCACCTGATGGTAAGTGACTATCGCCGCCCATGATCACCCACAATTGTATTTGTACAAATTTTATTGCGCAATAAAGAAAAAATATATAAAAATCTATACTCACCGAAATTTGACAGGTTGTTGAAATTTTTTCCTATACCTCTTCCAGTCTTCTCTAGCTGTGTTTTTACTAAGCTTCTCTGCATCACTACTGCCAATGCATTCGATCCCGTCTGTAAAGGAAAATGTTACTAGTTAAGAATATTCATACAAAAGTGCGGCAACGTGATCGATCCTGAGGCGCCATTCTCTAAACCTATCTCTAAAATTAATCTTTTAATTTGATAGTTTTGCAAAAATACTGTTTTATACACCATCATAACTAAATTTATAATAATTTTGAATTAAATCTATTAGAAAATTAGTTTATATTGTTCCTTAAAATAAATATTTTATATATTTATAGTAACACCAACAGCGTATTAACTTGTGATATGGGGCTGCCATTTTCATTTTACAAATAGGTTCAGAGAATGTCAATTGTCAGAAAAACCATTCTCAATATTTCTAAATAATTATTGATAAAGTTATCCCAAATTAATCGTAGAACAACTTACAACTTATTCATTATGACAAGTGATAAAGACACGTTGCCAGTTTTGTGGTGTAAACCCTCTTAAATGATGTAGTTTTAAATGTACCTAAAGAGTATATATTTCCTCTTCAGTTTAGTAACCATTACTCTCTACTTAATACAATATACTAAGTCGTTCTTTTTTATTTTACAAGAGAGACGCGCCTTATATGGCGCTCCAATAAATGAAGTCTAATTCTGTATATGACAACATCAAGTTATGTATTGCAAGTGAATACTATTCGCCATTACACCATTGTCAATGAAATGTTTTCCAAGACATAACACTAGTTAGAGCTAAGCTAGTCCACACTGCTAGTATAACCGAGAACATCAATCGAGGGGGACTTCTGCGTCTTATCTTTATTAGTTCTTCAGGTAATATGACTGGTCTCTTACCACAACAGTTTGCTAACTACTACAGTTTTTCTGCAAATGGCTTTGTTTAAGATTCTGACACTTTGTATTTTAACCGTTAGAGAACGGACTTTAAAACAATAAGGACAAAAATATATAAAAAAGTATAGTAGATAAAAATCTAGAATTATTACTGGAAGATAAAACTTATTAGAAGAACAATACTGCATAACAATAAATAGTGGAACAGAGCTTAGACATATTATGAAAAATAAAGCATATGAAATGAAACTACACACAAGTGACAAATATAATTGTATAAACTAATAGATATGCAGACATAGCCATCTCTTTAATGTGTTTTATAGAGCAATCAACAACTTACTGAGCATATAAATAAAAAAAATAAGATAAAATTGGAATTTCCGATGCCGTACAACTTCACTATACCAATTCAAATCGATTTAATTTGAATACACTAAAGGTAATAAACATTCACAGAATGAAGTAGAATTAACAGTATTTCACCTAATAGAATGTACTTAATTAGAATTAAAATTTCGTAATGACCCGCCACTGTTAAATCAAACCGTGTGCTTGATTTAACAGTTTATAATTAGTTAGTTAGTTTTAACAGTTTAGTAACATTAATATCATGACGTTGGCATTAGAAAACGCAGTAATATTTACCTTTTTAAATATGATTAATAAATATTAGTTTTTAACCTCCGATACAAAAAAAGGAGTATTATAAGTCTAAGGCATCTATTTATGCTTCCTAAAGAATGGACCGATTTTGATGCAGTTTTTTCCTAAGCTGATGTAATTGCGTTGGTTCTTAACTGTAACCTATGAAAAGAATGAACTGATTTTGATGTAGTTTTATTTTCTTCAAAGCATATCTTCAGGCGTTTGAAGGCTATCAACTAATTTTCTTCGCGAAGAAAAGATTGCACCAACTTCCATAAATCCGATTTCTTTGAAATAAGATGAACCATATTTCGACTGGGTTTCCAAGACCTGACGCTGAAGCATCAAGTAGTTTGCAGGATACAACTCCTTAGCAAGTTACATCAGATATAGCGTGTTTGGGCTCACTACAATGGTCTACATGAATACATGTTAAACTAATAATAACCGAGGCCTTTACTTTTTATAGATACGTTTCTGCCGGGGGCTTTTACAATTTTTAATACATTTATCTTCTTGTCCTTAATGATAGGTTTTTCTTTATAATGTTCTTTCCTTATATTACGCAAAGAAATGTACGAAATGGAAAACTGCTGTTTTAAATCTTTTTTTTTTTTTTACCGCCGAAATAATGATTTTTATAATATACAAATTACTATAGTCTATCAACTTCATACGCGGCACTTCTTAGTGAGATCGCGAAACATGCCAACGACAAGGTAACAAACGCTTACGGCTCTTTGTCTATGATGTAGCGTGAAAAGAAATCCAGCTCACACATAATAGGCATAATACGATATAGAAATCTCCCCGCAGGAGTACCGTGCACGCAGTTGACGAGCTATAATACGTTACACATGCAGACGCACACATGCACCAGATCCAACATCTACATATACATTACCAGCGTAAATGTTTAGCGATGAGTTGGGACTGGCGTCCTTCTTCGTCTTGATCCGCGCGACTAGCGTGCACAGAGAGGCAGTTATGGTGAAATGCGGTCCGTGGGTCAAAACACATTACTCAAACTACCCACAGCCAAGAAAGTATTAAAAATCAGTTTAATAATATACCACCAACACCTGCTTGGATAGTGAAAGATTTTGTTTCCCAAAAACAGAAAAGTTTATTGTTACCTGGTAATATTTTTTTAATATTATTATTTTGTAAAAAGAACGCAAACTTTTTTTCATATATTCTTTTATTTAGCCTAGCTTTGTCAAATCAGCAATAATTACGCGCCAAAACATAAAATTCGTTACAAAGAAAATTATATTTTCGAATTATATAGATTATTTTATTATCACTATTTTAGTAAAGTAAAAGTAGGTCATAAACAATTTGATAGATATTAATAGTTAAAATTAATTTAAATACCTACTTCAAATGACGACGAGTAATTAAAAAAGTAGATACGACGAGAGAAATCATTTACGTTGTAAATAACAGATAAACTATATATAATCAATAATCTACATTACAAATTTCTTATTTTTTTAAATAATACCAAATCCTACTTTCAGTGTACTTAAGCCCATGACACAATGTGTTTTGACCCATATTATTAGTGTCATTACTATGCCAAGGCAATGTGAATGATTATGTATCAGCGCAAAGCGACCATTCAACTACTCTAATCGCGATGAAGCGCTGTAGCGGACGAAAGCTCATTGTGACTAATTTTATATGTAACCTGGAGTCATTAATATAATTTTTTCATACTTTATACATAATTCTTTGTATATTTTATAAACATTAATTATTAACAATTATGTTGTTGCATGTATACATATGTGTATGTAATGAAAGCAAACATATATACCAGGATTGGGGTAGATGGCGCAGCAATTTTTGAAGCCTTCATGCCCACAGGGACAATAATGGGAGATACATTTATTATATTTTTGACCAATAAAGGATAGCCTGATAACGTTATACGAATGTTGCAAATTGAATTATTTATGTATTTCAATAAAATTTAAATTAAATTAGACAGCTGTTGAGCCCGACTGTAGTCGTGGCTAAATCTATTCTGGAATTATTGTAATTAAGCAATTTCCATTTATTTTGTACTCTTTAGACAAATAACAAGTTTAGAATTAAACTACTTAAAGTTCCAATAATTTCGTATATACATAATATCATATGTGGAGCAAATTATGCCTCTAATATTAGGTTAAATACATCTTCTGGGGTTTTCGAAACTTCCCGCGGGAATATTATATAACGAATGAGGCACGAATGTGTGGTTTCCTTCTATTTAGTATACTGTACTAACCAGGTCTCGGCGCGTCGTACACCTCGCTCGGCTCCGGTATGTTGAACCTCTCGATGAGCAAGTCCAGGAGTTCCCCGGGCGAGCAAAACGAGCGGTACGTAGTGAGGAACGTGCGGACTAGTTTCAGGTCCGCGTAGATGTGATAGGTCAGACGCTCCACCAGTTTTAAAAGAGTTGCACCCTAGAAGAACGCAATTTATCGGTTCTTTTAATTAATGGTCTAAGCAGATAAAGGATATAAAAATATGCGGACAAAATTTTCCTTTATATTTGCCTCGTCTGCTCGCAGTTTTAAATCCGACGAGATAATCCTCAACATACATTTTAATCCAATTATAATAAAACACCAGAATTATCGCCGCAGAAAATGTGGCATGAAATGTGTGAAATCTCCTAAATTCAGGTGTCTCAAAATCCAGATTTATTCATACCCATCTGTCATCATGTAAATATTTGTTTTTTTTTTTATTTTTCAACAAATAAATAAATACATTAACATTTTATCTATCACTCTCGCCCCATGAGATGTAACCTATTATTACTATGATGAACTGGCCAGACTAATATAAAGTTTTGCATCCAATTTGTTATAAAAAAGAAAAATTAAATTATTCAAATTATAGATCTCAAAACCAGTATTACCTTAATGAGTGGCGGTGGCGCGTTGTCGGACTGGTGTCGCGGTGGCTCCTCGAGTATAATATTCTGTGGTGAGTCGGGCACTGCGAACCGGTACAGCGACACTGGTGGCAGCCGCAATGGGTGTCGCCTCTCTAGGTCTAACAAGATGCTGCAACCAAACCACTAAACTGTACCTATCATTCCTTAATATATAACCTACTAGCTTTAACCTGCAACTTCGTCCGCATGTCTGGGATATATTGTACTTAAGTTTGTACAAGTAAACTGTACTTTATTACTAGTCGCCTTTTACGATATTCTGGAGAAAAAAGGGAGTATTGATAGATTATATTCTTACTTTGTCATCATCCAGAAAAAAATCCATGCAGTAAAGTTTATTTGTATGATTTTTTTTTTATAAGTACTTATAATTAGATGCTTTATGTATTCTAAGACTTACGAAGTGAACAGATTTGTTATTTTGTACTCACCTATCAAGTGTGCGATCGAGCATTGGCTTGGTGTTGAGCATGACGAGATCGCACATCCAATGCCGCTTCTCCGCGCAGGAGGCACAAGCCAGTAGCACGGCGCCGCCCACGCGTGGGCATAGCTCCACCAGGTGACGGCCCTCTGTACACACCCACCACACTTACACTCAAATCATATACATTTCAAATATTTTTCACATCGGTAGCTTAATAATTGAAGGACACAAAACCGTCAATGATATTTTTAAATTTTATATTAGTGACAATAATAAACAATTAGATGGAAGGCGGCAAACATCGCTTACTGACATGAATAATTGCCACTTCTGAGGATTCATATTTCACGTTATTTGCGCTTGACTATTTTATAACAAAAGAAGTCAACACAAAAAAAAACCACCACAAGTATCCAAATTTCTTTGTATTGGTTTTTTCTCGATCTATCAATTCAGAGAACAAAAATTATCAAAATAATAATAATAGAACTAGATACTGTAGTTTGTGTTCACTTTTAGAACAAGGCAATAAATGAAATTATCTTTGAACATTTTTTTATAAAAACAATGGTGAGGTATCAATATCATCTCAGCCATTCATTGTCTCCTGCTGGTCTTCTTCCCGTCTTTTTTTTTTATACAACTTAAAATGGCAAACAAGCAGACGGCCCAACTGATGGAAAGTGGTAACCGTCGCCTATAGACATTAGCAGTACCATGGACATAACAGAGTATACTGTTTCGCCCATGATACCCCCCCATGTGTTGCCATTCCTGAGGACTCAGGTGTTATTCCTCCGTACCCAGTAAATTCATGTATCCCACCCTTCAAACCGAAACACAGCCATGCAAACACAACTGCTTTACATTTTTTACACGAACAATGGGACAGAGGTACATCTCAGCCATTCGATTTCTGTACAAAGTCTCCCTCTGATCCTCTTTGTTAGTCGTACAAAACCCGCAAGTTATTCAATGTACATTTTATGTACATTGAAAAACTCACAGCTTTAAACTTCATTTATGTTTATGTTATGGTACACTTGTCTCCTCCCCCTTGTCTAATCCTACCCTGGTCTAGTCCCCGTAGACTCACCGTCAGCGTCGTTGCGATCGACGAGCTCTAGTTTCCGTACATGCAGCTTCTCCTTGAGCTTGAGCTGCGCGGTCGCCCCCGCGGTCAATGCACCGCCCGCGCCACCCACCTGTGGATTTACATTTTTCACAATACGCTAACTATGGCTACAGTGTAAGGAACAACCAGCGGCACACATTCTCTAACTTGTCCCATGAATACGTGACAAACGTGTCCGTTAGCCAACTGGTAGTTAAAATTTATTTTAACTGTGACACAGCTGGTTGCACTCCTACGGTATTCAATAATATCTTATCGTTTTAATAAACTAATAACGTCGAAATAGAAATATCCTAAAAAAAATTGATTTATTTTGAAATAAGTAATTTTTATCACACAAATTATTTATCATTTTATTTATTATCAATATCATACTTTATCAACAATATATATTATCAATGTTATACTTTGAAGCTGGTACACACAACTCAACTAAACAATGCGTCATCCACCTTACTATTTTTAGCGTGTTTTAGGTTTAAGTATTTTATCATTGATACACATAAATTCCTGAGATCCCCAATACAATCACTAAAAATTATATACTCCCTCCTACTAACCAGCCAGTGGTATTTATTGTAAAAAATGACAAAATGTTTTTTTTAATACCACAAAGGTGGTAAACAAGCTTATAACCCTTCTGATGGAAAACAATCACTGTAGTCTATGGACATTTGCAACACTAGGGGTGCTATATACGCGTTGACTTAAAACTGTTCTCACATATTTTGTAATACTAATATTTTTTACAGCTTAACAAATTTTTAATATATATTATATTTTGTAAAAACAAAATTATACTTCAGCAATGCACTGTCCTAATCGTCCTTATTATGATAACAACTTTATAAAATTTTAATTATAAGTTTTATGTATAGCTGTATGGGAATGTAAGTACATGGTATTATATCAATGAGTCATATCATTATTCTTATAAAAAAATCGGATACTTGCTACATCAGTCAAGGTACTGAGTTAAACTCATATACCAATATGACCTAGAATGGAAAGAAAAGAAAAAACTAAAACATTCATTAGCGAACAAATCAATGGACAGGTAATTCATCAATACAAACTTTGAATAGGACTTCTATTTGAATTTCTAACAGAAATAAATGAACTCACCAGACTGGTGATTGGCTTGCACAGTAGAAGCAGACCGTCGAACAGATACGCGCGACGCTCCGCTATCCGCTTACCGGGTCCGATCTTCGACAACGTGTCCTCTGAACAAAGATCAAAGCAATCAATATAATCGCAAATACAGCTCGTTTGTATTATATTCAATTATTGTATGTCCATATTTTTGCCATAATGTGAAGTCATGATGAAGAAATAAACAGAGCGTCGAAAGATTTGTTTTCATTGTAGAAATGCTATAAGCCACGTGATGATGAGAGAAAATAAATATGTATGATGGCTATAAATGATAAAACTTCACCGATTATTCTTTAAAAATAAGTAACACATACATTTGTATGTGAATAATGTTTCTTTTTATTGTATTTATTTCAATATTTGTACATTTTATCGCTAAGTATTTTTCTAATACATATTTTTCAGAAAGAATTTATATGAAATCCATAAGTATTAATCGTACTGACCTCGTATGAACTCGTTGCAGCACTGTCCGATGTCACGGTTGTCCCAGTTGTCGACGAGGCGCGCCAGCTCGTTGCACTTCTCTATGGCGAGCTGCCTCCGCGACCTGGAAGCCATCCGCAGCGTCGCGTCCCTGCAACCCATCCACGTCATCACTAATTTCATCTCACCATAATAAGTCATTGCCATCCCTGCTTGGTACTGCTCTCTCCAAATAACAGATCATCGTAAAATAACGTCATTTGAAAATAAGGGGAGAAAAGTCTTGCCATTTTTACATAACTACAATATATAAGAGAAAATAAATTCGAATTATTTCTTTTTTGATACTTACATCTTCGGCCCATTTCCTAATGCTTTAATTAATAATTTTTTGATTGGATGCAAGTTGCACTCAACCTGCAAATAAAGTTAAAATAATTACTATTTTTGTCTATCAATTTAGGTTAAAGAAACAGAATGTCACAATGCACATAAAAACCTTTTTATAATAGAAAACGCCGTTAGGTGTTATATCCGCCATATGTACACTTACTTACGTTATGCATTGAAGTTTAAATAAAGTTATTGAAAGATAATAATATAATTACTTTACCGTCCATAACAACCCTCATGTATAAAATGTTTATATCTGAGATTGCAGTGACTAGTATAGACCTGTTTAAAGCTCTCCCTGTCCTCCGTAGCAGGAGCTATAGGCAGAAGCTCTAGCACGTAGTTGTGGTAGAGGAAAACATGTGCGATGGGTGCGAGCAGTAACTTGGGCAAATAGTACTTGACGGCTAGCCGGAACCCGTGACCAGCCGTGTCCAGCCGCTCCGACAACTGAGGAAACAAATGTTCTTTACTATATCCTCATATTTTATAGTCTATTTCAACAGAACTTAATGAAAATATAACAAACTTTGATGAAATTATCAAAGAAACACTCTAAATGAATTTTATAACAAATCGAAAGAAATTTATTACTTTTTTATTTATACTAAGTACTACTGGACATCAGCAGCAGACAATCTATGGTTAGGTCAGTTATTCATTTGTTTATATGTTCATTAAGATCTATTGAAACATACTATAATAATGGTGGTATAGAAGAAAATAAAAATAATTTCTATTCAAGTAAACTTCAGTCAGCTGAGAAAAATTGGCTATAAACTCAACTGTGGTTTTTTCAAACAATATTTTCTAAATTTATAATCTTCTGTAAAAACAAACTATCAAAAAATTAAACTGGAAACCATAACTGGAGGATTATTGATAAACTACACAAGATATAACTAATTAATTGATAATACAGAAAATTATGAAACTATATATACATATGAAGTAGAAATGGGATTTATTACAATTTAAGTAAGGAACTATTTAAATGACTGATAGTTTGCGAAACAGAAATATCTAGATTTATGATTTAAGCACAAAATAAAATGAAATATAGAAAATTATTATAATGTCCTGTTGAGTGGCTAGTAATTAAGTAACTCACGATTGGATCATCAACGATCCGCTGCAACTCATCACGTGACTCCTTCCGCGTTACAATATTCGCGTAACGTACATACGCGCGAAATTCCTCTACTTCAGCTAGCTCTGGAAGAAAAAATATTTTAATTAATATACATTTATTTATGTTAACTAATTACACATTAAATAATGGTACTTGGGCAAGCTATATACAAGGTATTCTTTATTTTATTTAGTGACTAACTTGTCCTACAAACACTAACCTACACAAATACAAAAATACTTCAATTAAAATATTTCGAACGAATGCACCGCCACTGGGTCAACATTGATACAGTAACTTGCAGTGCATAGTAGTTTCATTAATATAGAATAATAAAATAGTATTCATAATAATCAAGTTTTATTGAATAGAGTCAATGTTTTATAATTTTGTACGCAAAACTTAAATAGTAATAGGTCAAGGGATAGGTTTACAACTAATTTTTTTCATAATAGAATTTTATAGTATACAGTGTGACGATGTGCACGACGCACCTTTTTAGTTTCTTTTTTAATTTTATTAAAAAGATGTTCTTTTTATAATTTGAAGACTGTGTCAGTTTAGGTTTTGTTTTTGCGTTCGCTTTTTTTACTCCGTTGGTTTGCTATGTATATTAATTATATAATTATATTATCTTTCTAAAACACCGTGTTTCCATACCAGCATACAGTCCTTTCGCCCACATTTTTATATATTATATATATATATATATATATATATATATATATATATATATATATATATATATATATATATATATATATATATAGTAACAACAATTAAATAAAGCTATAAGTTCGAAAAATAAAGAATTTATTAGAAATAGTTTTAAAAACTTTGAAATACTTCTAAAAAATAGGGGAATTAGAAATAGTTTTAAAAACTTTATATTACGTATAAATTTAGGACTTCCTCTTTTTTTTTAATTGGGCGAAAAAATAACTAATAATCTGAGTCCTTCTCAAGTGACGTATTCGAAAAACACCAACGAAAATCATTTAACTTCTATTTGTATTAATATAGTGTGAATACCGTTTGCATGCGTTAAGGACATACCAACTTATACAGCAAGTAATCCGTGCGTAAATATTCGTAAAAAATCACCTTCAAAACAACTTCCAATATAAGGGGTGGGAGAGTCCTGGGACATTTCCATCGCATCCTCAAGGTTCCCCAGTAGTGTGGTGGTCAACTCATAGATGTCGACTATGTTGCCGAATATTAATGATATAGACTGCAAACAAAAATGTGGATTAGAATATTAACGTACAATAGCAGACAAAAACCAAATGTTTGGTGCAAACTAAAACACTACTTATTATCTAGTGAATAGTGACCAATTTGGGCATAACTAAACTTAGACTTTAGATCTATCAGTTAACAAATTATAGAGCGACTTATTATATGTATTGGTATACACTGTTACTGAAACACTATGCAAGTATCCTAGTGATACCCACTTTCTTTATACTCTCAATAGGATTAGATTATACCAATTAAGTTTCATTTTATCTATAATGTCTCTTACACATATTTTTTTTATTGCTAGTGGAATATTTAAAAGCGAATCATGGCAACCAAAACTAATTTGGGAAAAAGGTAACAGAGACTAGCAACCCCATTACTAGTAATACATCCCCTCGAGCCGACCTCCTCACAATTCCCTCTTGAAACCATCATGATTCTTATGAAATTCGTCATAATGGGCTAACAGGCCTGTATTCATCTTCACCTATCACTACTCACTAGTGCCTCTCCAGCATATATCGATAACGCAGGCAGTGTTACCATTCCATTATTCCATAAAAAAAACTAATTATGATGAATAGTAATACTATTTAGCATTATAACATTACAATATAATTTTTACATCATCTACTTTAATTATTAACTCACCCGACTATCCTTATCCAGAATCTTCTCCAGCTCATCTTTAAACACCCTAATGATAAGGTGCAATTCCCTAAGGAAGTGCTTCTCGTCGGTTAACAGATCCCTCACCAATTCTGCATATGTTAGTGACCCTCGCCGTCCACGCTGTTCAGCTGTACTGCTGCCAGCTTCAGACGCCATCTCAGATTCTTGATAGAACATATCCATGAGGACCTACAATCAAATATTGATGATACGATTTGTGATCAAAAGTGTACTTATAATACATAAACATCAACTATATTTCTATCCAAATATTACCTGGAAGAGATCACTATTTAACAAAGAATCTTAACCTTTGTTTTTTTTGTTACCTGTTTCTCGCTTGCATATTTATTTGCATCCAGTAATACTGTTTTTCCATATAATATACTTTATACATTTTTTTTTGAGAAATTATATATAAACAATATTAATTCATATTATCCAAATAGAAGAATTTACCAGTAAATAAAACCACAATACTTCAAAAACACCCAAACTATCAATCACTCACCTTATCAGCACACATAGCTGTCTTTATATCAGAGAGTGTAATAGTTTCATAGCCAGACTTCTGGGAGATCTTCTTTACAAAATTCCCAGCCAGCTTCAGTATATCAGAGCTAACATACTCGAGTATCGCTGTGATGAACACTGACACTGACATATCGATTTTGTATAGTAGAACCTCCTGTGAATGAAACATTTGTCATTATTATGGAAAACAAACCTGACTATTGCTTATTTCAAATATACAATATGTATATTTTTAAGTTTTATTTCTGACGTAGATACAAGAATAACAGAAAGTAATGGAGGTAAAGGACCTAAATTAAATCATATCTTCAAGGTGATTCTGGCCCTCAGCATTGAGGATATTAATGCAAAAAGTAGGAAAGCAACAGCAATACTAAGCGAATCTCTAGTCAAAGCGGCAATAAGAATTAGGCATATAACACTTCACGTAAAGAATGAGATTCTATTTTTAATAATAAAAAAAAACTGCAATGTATATTTAAGAGACATATAATGGTAAGCAACATCATGTATCAGCATTGCTGCAGGACTATATCGTGCTTTGGCGACTTGGTATTCTGATCAAGCTTTCAAGTCAATTCGACCTGTGTATACTTCTAACAATGCCATTGCTACATCCCAACAATACCTTACCCCTTAAATCAATTGTTAATCTACCTTCTGCAACATGTGGTGTAACTTGTCGAGTGGTAGCAGAGCACGGCGGCGTCGTTGTGCTGCCGCATCCCTGGCGTCCGCCAGTGCCCATTTGTCAAGCGGCGTCGGGAATGTTCGCGCCACTCGCTCCTCCACATCCTGATTTTTGTTTACAGATAAGGTTAATAAGCAATCTTTGAATGCTAATTTACGAGGCTAAATAACTCAATATAGTGTGACAATATTTTGAATTAAAAACCCTGAAATAAGGTTATAAGCTCATTACAAATTGCTAATTCTACATAAACAAAGTTATAAATAAAAGCTAAATTTACCCACCTATATTATCACTTACCTATATTATTTTATTCCCAAAAACTCTAACTTCTTACCTATAATTTCTATACTGAAATGCTGTATATGTGTCTTTATTATGTAATGAAAAACTTTATTGAAATCATTTGCCACTTCTAATATTACCACTAGCTACAGCATATAACTAGTGACTACACTATAATATTATCTGTGCATCTAATTTCTCTTTAGCATAATAATATAAGTAAGCCACTGGAGATAAATGGTATAGGATCAGAGTTCATGGCAAATTATGAGGGTAACCTACATTCAAAAGTAGATTTGGTAGGTCACAATTGTAGTACTTCTATAAATATTCCACAGATGTATACCAAATTTCACCAGTGACAAACATTCTCTAGCATCAACAGAAGATGGACAGGTTACAATAAGAATGAATATAAGCACACACCTGTACAGTAAGTGGGGATGGCACTGCACAGAGCATGGCGAGAAGCCGCAGACACAAGGATTCCACATACTGCAGTGCACTCTCTTCAGCATTTAAAGTTGGATGCACTTGGTCTAGCACCTATAAAATAATAAAAATTATATAAAAATAGTAATTGACAATCTCCTAGTTAACAGAGTGTAAAGTGTAATATATACACACTATGAAAATCATTAAAATGTGCTTTATACCAAAAAATGTAGTGCCTTAAATCATATACCCACAGAACATATAACAGGTGACTTATTCTTTAAAGGCAAATATTTCATATCTTTTTTATGCAACTTAGAATGGCAAATAAGCTGACAGCCCACCTGATGGAAAGAAGTAACCATCGCCTATAGACATGAGCCTTACCCTGACATAACAGAGTATACTGTTTCACCCATGATACCCCCATGCCATTCCTGAGGACTCAGGTGTTATTCCTGTGTACCCTGTTAATTCACTAACATATTCCACCTTTCAGACTGAAACACAGCCATGCAAACATAACTGCTTCACAATAGAAACATGAATGGGACAGAGGTGCCCAAGCAAATGATTTTTGTACAAAGTCTCCCTCTGGTTAATAATGATAGATAAAGATAGAATAGCATAATACTCTTCACTTATTTTCATATAACTTTTTTTTGGCACTAGTGAAGAATGATAGGTTAGAATGTAAAGGCAGGTCAGTTAGCCTATCATAATAAATACAACTGGAATTCAACACAATGGTTTCCAGGGAGGACCATGTCAAAGTCAACCTAATAGGGTATATTGCTTGCAATGGGACTGGTAGTCAGCATTACTAACAATCCTTTCCCCCCTAACCTCTTTTACTATACAATAGTGCGGCCAGGTATGTTGGCCTATTATGAGAAATTCACTAAGAAGTAACTACAATAGTTACTTGGGGGAAATGGCATGGAAGTAGATCAGAGAATGATTTCCTCCTTCCTTTCCCTTTAAATAAACCAATATTCAGTATGTATGTATGTATGTATATATATATATATATATATATATATATATATATATATATATATATATATATATATATATATATATATATATATTAGTAACAGAAACTAGGGCCTATGAACCCAGACAATATAAACATATAAACTAACAAATGGATCTTCACAGTATTATCATTATTTCTTCCCCCTGGAAATATCATAGATAATTCTTTATGAATAGGTCACAATATGCAAACTCATCTGCTTTTATCCTCATCTATCATCACTCACTAGTGTACCACCTTCATATAGAAAAATAGAGCATGTTTTCTTTTTACATAATAGCATGTCATGTAACTACACCATCCTGAACAAATACAGGGACATATTGGTTTATGAATGCAATCAACTGAAAAGAGAATGTTCTACTCTAAATGGCTAATCACACTCTGAGCTCATAGTATTATAATACAATTATCATTTATTTAAAACCTACACAAATCTGTAATTGGCTTATGTTTTAATAGCATTTATATATTATTTTTAAAACTTATATTCATTTATTTATAGTAAAGCATTGCAGCTATTAGTTTTGCTATAATAAAATAAATATATTGCTCCTTTGCTTCTAAAAGTTGCATGGTAGATTGATTTTAGCCATAAAGCCACATCTTATACTTTTTCTATATTACTGCCATTTTTTTGGAATGCACTATATGCAATAATGTAATGTAAACATTTAAATATTTTTAAAGTTGATAATAGTGTTTATTTATTTATTTTTATGTATATAATACATGATTAGAAAAAATATTGATGACTCAATAAAACACTGAAAATCAAAATTATACTTAACATAAATTAATATAAACTTAAGTTTGTCTAGTTATTTTTGTTTGAAAATTGTTAGGATATTTTACACCACTTTACCCATTGACATTAATGCTCCTTTCTACTTTAGGTTTGCTGGAACAGTCTTAGAGTTAAGCGCACCTATGTACATTTGTTTACCTCTGTCATATTTTTATGTGTGTACAAATGTGTGTGTACAAAAAAGTATAAATAAATAAATTCATAGTAATAAGCACAAATTATAGGTCCACAGCAAAGCAGAGGGACTACTATGAAGTTTTGTGAAATTTCAGTACTAAATGAAACATAAATTTGATATTAAAATCAAATAATACATGTCACTCAAAATATTAAAAATGTTAACATATTAGTCTTATGGAATTTTATAGTTAGATTTACAATGAACGAAATGTTAAGTTCTATTTACTAAGCCGATTTCAATATGAAGAAAAACACAAAATTAAAATTAGGAACTTCATATCATGGTAGACCCCTAGAACCTTTTATGCATATATTTACTAATAATATATAACTTGGAAACAAAAATTCTGACTGACAACCTGATAAAAAATAGACCAATCATTACCTACAGATAAGACATCAAAGAATACTTATAAAATATTGTGATGGTATAATGCCATTAGGAATCCAAAGCACAGGTGATATATCTGCAAATCCTATATTGTCACTGCTATATTCCACATTTTAAAGTAAAATACAACTACAGAAGTACAACTGTTTAGTGACAGAGACACATGGTCCCATAAAGTGAGCAGTCAATCTATTTGCTATACCAGACACAAAAGAAATTTGCGAACCAAGGCTACCTAGTGTCAAAAATTACTGCAAGCATTAATCAGTATAAAGGAGTTAAACTCTTGCCTCTTTCATAAAAATTAGTAATATTAAAACAAAAACCAAAACAAACACAATAACATAAATGAAACTATAAGACCAGTAAAAGTATAATAAATAAGTAAAAGTAAAGTATAATAAATTCACTTTCAACTATAAATGATATAACAACAACTGGAAATATATTAGGTGTCAAGTCTGCACTAATCTTGTGATAATTGTAATCTTTGTAAACAGCTGGACGTGTATATGTTAACATTTAGTGCAAGAAATATTCAATTACATGTATTTTACAAAAATATATTAACATTTCGCTTACACTCAACACAATAAACGTAGATGTAACACGAAATTCAGATAATAGCAGTCATAAACTTTTGTATACAAACCTTGCGCAGTGAGTTGACGAAGAGACCCTGCCACTTGTCCACATTCTCTGGGTCCTGGAAATCGTAGCCGCGACTCTCCTCCACTGTCGGCAGCATCCTAACGACCTACCCCGCGAATTCATGTATAAAGAACCCAGTTATCACTGTAAAACAACAGATACACTCATCTTGCCTCTTTTGGAAACTCCGCAGCTTCCAAAGATGCGACCGGTGTCTAATTGAACAATAAAACACAACGCGAGCACAATCAACCACTTAAACATGAAAAAGGCTGAATTAAAGAAAGAAATCAATTGATATATAAATTCTCAGGTTCATTTGATCGGCAAAACGACGCCATGTTCAATATATTTACTATTGATGCGTTCTCGCTATATGAATTTGTATATTATCATATCAGAATATTCGCGTTCAGTCAATTTTTTATATTTTAATGTTATTATTATGTAATAAAGATATTATAATTAACAGTTTAAATAATATATGTGGAGTATAATTTTTTATATATATTTATGTATTATTATTTGTCGTAGGTAATCTGTGTGATTCTTAGGTATCTTAATCTATATGGTTTAAATACATTTTTTTTATACAACTGAGGTGGCAAACAAGTATATAGTGAAGAGAAGGGATTATTACTACATACATTACTAATAATGGGGAGATTGTCCCCATTGCTGTCAATATATCCTATCAGGTCGACCTCCACGCGGTTCCCCCTGGAAACTATAGTGACTAATTTATCGTCAAATTCGTCACGATGGGCTAACTAACCTGCCTTTTCATCCTCACCTATCACCTCTCACTGGTGCCCCACCAGTGTATACCGATAGCGCAGGCGGAGTTACCATGTCATTTTCACCCATAAAACAAGCATGAGGCCCACCTGATGGTAAGCCATTACTGTAGCCCATGAACGCCTATAACACCAAGGACCTTACGCGATCGTTGCCGACCCTAAAGTAACTTCTTTATCATTTTTTTTAAGAACCACATGCTGTAGTCTGATGCTGATTCCACAACCTGAGCGTTCGTGGAAGAACATACATGAACGCATGGATGCACAACGAACACGGAGAGACAAAATTTCTCCTAAGATTTAAAGATTCGGCGCCACTTGTAGGCTTGGGATCATCGACAATTGTCTTTTTTTACAAATACATAGCATATGGCGTTAACTAACATCCTTAGATTAGTCAGTGATTATCATAAAAAAGATAATTGTATATAAATTTCAAAATTTTTATCATTAAAGAATCGAACTTTAACAAAGATTCAATCAGTAGTATTGATTTCAATCTATAGATTTTGAAGTTTCATTTTTTTTTACTTACTTCATGATCTAATATTTTATTTATAATAATTTCGCGAAATTATTCTTTTATGGATTCCATTATAAACTTAAGTATTTGTCTTAAAGATAAAGATTTCACTGACAACACCGAAATGAAACTTTAATTTCACGTTATAAGTGCCTCGTTATCATTAATATGGGTAAGCACCTAGTTATCTAGGAATAAAATTACGAGACTCAAACAAAATCCAAAATGTTAATCAAAAATAAATAGTCAATAGCAAAGATTTTTGATTGCTGAGATTTTTTTGGATTTATTATTTATACACATTAGGTCTGTGTCACTCAAAATAAAAAAAAAATGGTATGTAAGTATGTTACCATTCCTAATTTATATTGAGACACTGTGTCCCATCATGATCAACTTGAATAGTCATTTCAAATGTAGCGCTTCCTCTGTAAATACATATTATTTTTTAATATTAAAATAACTAATTTATATTTAGAAAAATTGCATTGTTATAAATAAAGATATAAATAAAATAAATTTATGTTAAATATAATAAAAAAAAAACAAACGATGTTTAGCATGACTTTCAATATATCTGAACCAAAAATAAACAATAAAATTAACACAGTTAAGTATAAATAAAATTTTGTATGAACAATCTAATTATTTCATTTATTCATTCATGTAGTAGCGGAGCTAAATATTTATGCTATTTTATCAGTACTTATGAATTTGTAATTTAATCAAATTCGATTAATTTTTTTGTTATCGTGGTCCCTAATAATTACCTATAATAATTATACTCACATTATAATCACATGTAACTAAAATAATAACATATAAATAGCTTCCCTATTTTTGTTTCTTTATATGTGTATCTTTTTTTTATTTTATTGGATGAAAATGGAATGGTAACCCCGCCTGTGCTAACGGGATATGCTGGCGGGGTACCAGTGAATGGTGATCGATGAGGATGAAAACAGGCCAGTTAGCCCATTATGATAAATTCATCTGCAATTAATCATGATAGTTTCCAGGAGGAACCGCGAGGAGGTCGACTTGGTTGGGTATATTACTAGCAATGAGATTCTCAGTCTCCATTACTAACAATCCCTTTCCCCCCTTTTATATGTGTATCGTCATATTAGCCGTTAATTATCCATTGCTCAACAATTAAGTATTTGTTACGCTTGGCAAGCAAGTTGACCCGTTCCTTGAGCATTAGTTCTTTTAGTCACCTATTACGACATCCATGAGAAAGAAAGGGGAAATTTATGTGCATATAGATGTATACCTATTTTTTTTAATATGATTAGATGTTTATTTTTTTATATTATTTGTACGTCGCCACTAAACTTCTAGATTTTCTTTAATGCACTAAAGAGAATTTGCATAAATATATAGATTGTCGCCCTTAAAAAAAATTGTTTATAACTAAAATACAACAAAATAAAGTAAGATGTGTTATTGTATTTTTTCGTAAAATACGAAAATTTTACATTATGATATAGCTAGGTCTTTTCGGTCTTTTACAGTCGATAACGATATTTTGGACGGAAGCATATAGATAGTGGTACAACACTATTAACGTTCATTTATTTCATTGTATTCCGTAGTTCAAAAAGGTAACATACATTTGTTTTTCTGATTTTATGAATTCATGGTCGCTGCTTACTCTTATAACCAGTAGTGACAACTTGCTCTGCAGTAATGAGTGATTCTTCTGATTGTCTTGTCATTTTAATCTTCATGTAATAATAAACAATGATTTTTGTATTAATTTTATATGTTATTCTATTTAATGGGACTGGTAATTGTGTCCTTAATAATTTATACCATTTAAATAATGGGACTGGTAAACAATTTATTTACAACACGTAAGTACTGATAACGTTAAATGTTTTTGTTGTTATATGACTAACATATTTATTTTTATTGAAAATAAACGAATTATGTATAAAAAAAAGATATTATTGTTGTTTTCTCTACCTACTATTTAAAAGTGGGGTACGGAAAAGTAAATTCAAATAATGTTCAGAAAACGTAATCAAAAACAAACTTTTCAAATAGAAACTCTTTAATATAAGGGGGAAACATCTTTATTATGAGTCCTATTACTAATATACAGATGTAGTTGTTTTTTATAAGTTGAAAATAAAAGAAGAATTCCACATGGTACATGCTTGTTGGGTACCAGTGTGAAATAAAGGATGAGGATGAAATCAAATCCTTGATCTATTAAACCAAATTCGCCAGGAATTAATTACAATGGTTTCCAGTGGGGATTACATGAAGGTTGACAAGGCAATATACCCATATTGGTAGCAATATGACCACTAGACATCATTGCCATTTTTTCAGATAAAGTGGGATTTTGAAACCTTTTGACTAAAAAAGTAGGATTCCTTTGTTGAAAGCAGAATGTACAAAAAAATTATATAATCAGTACACTTCTAAAATATATGGCAATAAATAGCCAAAATTTTAATAAAAATTTTGTTATTATACTATATTAATAACTGTCTAGTTTTCCTGTAGTTTGGTATATAAATCTTCAAAGGAATGTAAATTATGTAATATAAATAAATAAAACTATTTGTGAATTATTTACTCATATGTCTATGAAGACTTAACTTTTTATAAAGTTTCCTTTATAAAAACTTTTTTATAAATTTTTTCTTTCAAAAAGTTGGACTGAGTCTATCCCATGTAGGATATTAAATTTTGGACTAAAAATCGAGATGTTTCACCAAAATCAGGATATCTTGAGATTTAAAAACCTGATCAGTTGCTGCTGTGATATAATTAGGTAACATAGTCTTGTGTGTTGCTTTAAAAGACCTGCAAATTAAAATATTACTGACTATAATTTATTGTAGGTACAAATATGGCACCATAAACCGAGTAACTGTGAACAACTTGACTGAACAAATAATGGATTTTTATGAGGTATAGTATTAATTTTTTTGCATATAACTTCAGAATGACAAAAAGTAACATGTATGATTATTTATTTTCAATTTTTACTTACTATTTAGTTCAGTCGCTATGATGCTAAGAAGTAACAAAATACTCAGATTCACATTTATAATATTAATAAGGAACTAAAAAAGTCATTAGTACTTTTTTTTATTGATGAAAATTAAATAGTAACCTTGCTTGTACTGTCATACACTGACAGGGCACCACTTAAGAATGTTAATAGAGGATGAAGAATTCATCTCAATGATTTCCAAGGGGAACCATGTAGACGTTGACCTGAGAGACCTTTATTTGCCCCATTATTGCTTATTGACCCCATTGTTAAGGCAGTTAGACCACATTACTAACAATCCTTTTATTAAATGTATGATAATAGGTCTATATATCATTAACAGTATGATCTAGAGATGTCTAATACTTTTAAAATAGTATAATTACTAATTATTTACTAAGTTGCCTGGCCAGTGTGATAATAGTAGGTTAATATCCTTATCTTATTAAAGAGAGCCAGGTCCAGGAGTCAGACATTATTGGTAGTATGTATTATGGACTTAATTGGTGATTAATAAAATGAGTCATAAAACAACTACTATTTGCTAATCAATATTTATTAATTTTGTAGTTTTATATGAATCTTTTGATAATAAACAAATGTTTAAGCCTTTAGTCAGATGTTACAGAATAATTACTATAAAAATAAATATTAGAATTATATTACTAAAATTACTATGCAAATTACAATATTCATATGCATTTAATTAATCATGCATATCATTGTCAATAATTAAATAAATAAGGTTCTGCCTGTTTGAGGACATTCAAGTATTATGTAATGCATACTTTAAAGATTTTTATCCCTCCCCCCATGTATCCCCAATATATTTTTCAGCGCCCCTTTCCCTCCCTAAACGTTATGTAACATTTTTAACTAAAAGACACAACACTAATGAATACTCATAACGAAAACAAAATAAAAATAACGTACAATACAGTCGAGGGATTCCCCTTAAAACATATGGAAGGGGTTGCCAACATAGGGGATTTTAATTCCCTAGTTTATTTAAATAAAAAACAATGTAACGTAATGCGTTGCTTGAATCCCTCTCTTTACAAGACCACTCCTTCGCCCAAATTGCGTTACGTAATATCTTAACCCCTCCTTTGTCTCTTAGCGTAGGCCTCTTCTAACCTCTTTCACGCATTTCTGTCCAGAGTGATCCTATTTAATAGCGTTCCACCCATTCTCTTCAAATCATTTCTTCATCTTTTGTTCTGTCTACCTCTGACTCTTTACCCAGCTCTTGGTCGCCAAACGGTGACTCTATTTGTCTATTCTTTTTGTGCCTAATTATTTTTCTGGCTTTTTCACATACATCTGTTGTAATGTAATGTAATGTAACAAAGACTCTGTTTTCCGCACTTAGCCTCTCATTTGGGCCGTTGTGCGTGTGAGTCGTGGCTAGTACAGCCAACCTAGCTCCGCCCAGAAGCGCAGAAGCTTCCTGGGTACATACATCTGTTATTAATGTAATTAAAAAGCCAGAAAAATGGAGATTAATCTATTAATAAGTCATAAAATTTATATACATTATCTCCATTTACTACTTGTAATATTGAAACAAAGTTATAATATGAATAACCTTTTTTTTTTATACAACTTAGAATGGCAAACAAGCTGACGGCCCACCTGATGGAAAGTGGTAACCATCGCCTATAGACATGAACAGTACTATGGACATAACAGAGTATACTGTTTCGCCCATGATACCCCCCATGCGTTGCCATTGCTGAGGACTCATGTGTTATTCCTCTGTATCCTGTAAATTCACGCCATATCTCACCCTTCAAACTGAAACACCGCCATGCAAATATAACTGTTTTACGGTTGAAACATGATGAAAACTGATGAAGTAGTAGTTATTATAGTATAAGAGGCCCTTTATACCACATTATACTTGGACAACAAATGTTAAAATTTCTAAATACTTTTTAATAATCAACTTCCAAAATATCAGTCGTTGATTATTAAAATTGAATTACTCTTATTTAAATAAAATTTGTTTTACTGTATTTAGGAGTATGATTACTGGCACGGTTACCCAACACGCGTGCATGTGTCCAGTAACAGCTCAATTAATACTGAATATCCAGTCTTCATAACAGCTGTTCAGCAAAAAGGTGAGGTTTTATTTTTTTAGATTAGATTTAATTTTTTTTAGATTAGATTTTAAATTTAATTAACTTTTGCCACTAACTTTACATGAACTATTTTTAGATGGTATATCAAGATATATTCATAAAATGTTGTATGCACTTTCACTGTTTTACCATGGTCTACATCAGGAACACAGCTGTGTGAAACTGCATCCAACTTGATGGAGCAGTTTTTGTGAGAAGTGTGATGTCAGTTTAAATATGTCTGCACTCCTATGTTTGTCAGACAAAAGAAATATCTAAAAACTACTATTTTGTTTTGCTCTTATTAAAAACCTCTTGTTAAATATCTATTCTGTACAGCCATCATCTAGTTACGATTTTATTATACTAGTAAGATGGAAGTTCTTTAGCAGTGCTGTGCTATGTACTGTAGGTTATGATTAATAACTTGGCATATTGTGATAAATTTATTAGAAATCAATCACGGTAGTTTTCAGGGGAGCCGAGAGGTGGTTGCCCTGACGTGCTAGTAATATCATATAGATATTACTAGCCAAGAAGCCGCTTTATTTAACTCTTAATTGCACTAACAAAAATATACAATGACAATTGAATAATTCAAGTGAAATACAAAATTTGTAAATTTTTCTCCCACTACTCTGCTTAGTTTAAGACTAAGTGATCCAGTGTGATATCTCTAAAGTTTTTTTTCTATATTATTACAAAAACGCTTGTACTCTTCCACGATTATTATTTAATTATTTAATTTCGCCGTATAAGGTACATATATAACTATTTTTTTCTTTACTAGGTGTATTATCATGGGAGTTACCGCTGGTTGTGTCAACTCCTCACACTGCAATGATCTTTACCGATATGGGCAGGACTTTGTGTCCCCATGATGCGGGCCCCAGTAAGTTCATATTTTTAACATGTTTTTATAATTTTAAGTTTTACTTAATATATAAACATTTTAACTTTAGACTAGTAATAGTAATTTACCTGTTACTTTCGCTTGGATTTCAGTAAAATTTTCATTAATTCTTGATGGCGCATGAAAATTAAATATAGGTACACCATATTTTAAGTTAGTTAGACCTTCAGAAACACAACTCTGAAAACTGCATCCAATTCAATGTCGTACTTTATGCGTGATACCAGAACAAATATACAGACAGACAAAATTTCTAAATATTATTGTTCTGGCATCTACGAGTATTAGTCTTATTAGGACCCCTCATATTAATTTTCCCTATATATTTATTATTAATCATCGTTTAGTTACAATTTCATTATATTAATAATATAAGAAACTTCTCAATTTACTATAAAATTATGAATTGATATACAATTATTATTAATTATCGATTTTTTTTATCTACTCCCATATACTTTGAAGTTATTCAACTATTTAATAATTAACGTTTAAAATTTTGCGCTGCATATTTTATGGTTTATAAGAAACGGGAATTAACGTCGAGTCATGACTTTACTTGTAACCATGATCAGAGTAATCTGGTCAAAATGTAATAATTTAGCTAAATTATCATAATTTACCTAAATTATCGGGTTAATTCCAGATTCTTATTTAAACATCTTAATAATTATTGAAATATGATTTTCATTTTTTAAAAACGTTAAAAATTAACGTTATAATCTCCAAAATTACTCAACCGAGATATTCATTAACACAAAGTAAAAAATAGCCTATGCTCTTCAAGGACATCCATTGATCATGTGAAGTTTTTTTTTTATTATTTGAACTACAATTTACATATATTTATTTTTTTATTATAGATATAACAACAGTAAACCGGCCACAACTGCAAGTGACTACCTTCAGTCCTACCAATGTTTCACTGGACATCAAGCTGCGAAGAGTCGAGGATTTTTACATCGAGCTTGATAAGGTAGCTATTGTTTATTTTTTAATTTCTATCAACAATAAAAATATTATCCACATAAAATGTTTTAACAAGAATTTAAATATTGAGAGCACTATTTCCATTAAATTATTTAATACTCTGTGATCAGAAGGCATTTTCTAGTGTCGAATTTCTAGGCCGCCTTCGTAGTAGTCGATCAATCGATACTATCATTATAAAATAATAATACATAATCCATTATTTCAATTACTGAATAAATCTACACAGTGCACTTAATAATAAATAATTTTATTAAAAAAATGTGTTGTCGTGCAATTGCCAAGTCATTATGGAAGTAAAGATGTCTAATAATAATCGTTCGGTTACTATAAATTTTCATAGGTAATTGATTAGATAACAATTTATAACACAGTTGGTGAATAAATACTTACATGGACACTAATTAAAATAACTGACTTGGTCTTACATGAGTTCTCGCAACTTTTTGTAATGGAAGAATTTTGAGAATTTTGTTGTAAGACTTGGCATTTTTTTACATTTTAGGTTTTTGATGGGATATGATTTAATGGGCGGCGGTATTACGTATTCCACTAAGTTCTAAAAGGGTGACAATAATTTAAAAAGATTCAATCATTTGAAAATTTAGAGGATTGAACTATGATTTGATCTGGTCATCACTTTTGATATATTGAAATACCTAATATTGAGAGGATGAACGATCTAAAATTTAATTAAAACTGAGTCTTGATTACAAGTGATAAAGCACAGTTTTGTTAGTGTACAAAGCAAATTAATTCAAAATAATAACACAGTTAACAAGTGAGACTTGTCAAACTATCATATTATTGAAAATTTAAATAAATTTATATTTATTTTTATTATCGGTTAATAAAATATATTCTGGTAATCGCTCTAATATTCTTTTAGTTTATGCTTTTTAGATTTATTTATGGCAAGCGATTTTTTTTCATGCAGGAAGTAAGTGATATGTGTAAGGATGACACTGGGTTCTCTCTACCTACCTCGCAAGGGTCTTGGCGTGAATATAGATACATTTTTTCGTTTTATTTATAATAGATTTTCTAAAATAAAACTTTCTACTTGATTACAAGACGATACCGCTGGTGGCGACCCCTAGCACTCCCAAGTACTACTACTTCTCATTTGACAGCTCGCCACCTGAAAATCATGGAAACAGGGCCACATTACATGGATTTCTGCCTAGGTAAATTTACCTTTATCTATATTTTACATTTTATTATTTGTGATTACATTTTAAATTATATTTTCTTTTTATATCCTTGGAGTAAAGTATTAAATTAGATAGATAGATAGATAGATAAACACTTTATTTAATTATAATACAATATTATTAAACAAATTAGTAATTAGCAATCATTGTGCTGGCCGTGTACTCCATCATAAAATAAGCTACCCCTTGCTTTCCCGTGGGTGTCGTAAGAAATAATTAAGGGAGGGCGATGGACGGGCAGCAGCGTCCCTCTTAAAACGTCCCTAAAGCCTAACTGACAAGCGTGGAAATTACTGGCAAAGCTCTCCCAATAAAGGGAGGTCTATGCTCAATATTGGACAATTACAGCTGATATAATGTACATATACATACACATAGTAGTATAATATATAGTATAGTAGTATAATAGTAGTAGGATAGTACATATACTTACAATTGTTTCCCTATTCAGGTTCAACTACACAATACCAAAAAGTGTGATTCTCATTATAGAATCTGACAGCAGTATTTGCGCTACAGTCTCTATCCAAAATAACTCGGTAAGTATAATCCATTAAAATCCTAAAACAGTGTTTTTCAAAGTTATTCGTATTTGCAGCTGTGATATGATATCAGTAATGTTAAAAACTTCTTGTTTCCAACCATGTACAAGATATAACTGTATTGTAAATGAGACTTGACAGCCAATTAAAAAAAAATTATACATTCTTAAATAACAAATACCAAGATTTATTTTATACTACTATGGTGGCACACAAGCATAGAGCCCGTCGGATGGTAAACGGGGTTAACGTAGCCTATGGACGCCTGCAACACCAGGATGTCACTCGCATGTTGCCGACTCAAAATTATTATATATATTTAAATAAATAATTGATTTTTTTGTTTAATAAAAAAAAATACACCGATTTAAATATTTTTTAACCTATAGCAACCTACATTTATAGTCAGCTAGTAGACAGCTAGTAATATGGTTGTATTTTATTAAAATAAAACCATGCAAGGCCGCAGTTATCACTAGTTGCACATACATTTATGAGTATATAAATCCATGTATATACAACATGTATACATATAATAGTATTGATGTAAACATACTTGTTGTTTTATATAAAATACCTACTTGTGTAAATGTTATTACATGATCGCAAGCATTAAATAAAAACCATAATAACCTGAAAATAGATGACGTAGTTGCACGTGGCTACATTTAATATTAATTCCAATTCACTGAATTAATAATGTGTCTTTTCAGTGCCCAGTGTTTGACACAGAAAATGACGTATCCTATCAGGGTTACCATTTAACTATGACCAACAACGGCGGGATTACGCTCACTGTGAGTATGTTTTGTTATCTATATATGTTCATGGGACTGTTATGGAGTACGCAACTAGGTTTAAGCGGATGGAAAGAGGATGCCAGTAATGAGGTCTACTAGCCAACAATATATCCTATAAAGTTGACCTTCACACGGTTTCCCCTGGAAATATGTTTACTTCTTGTGGAATTCGTTACCATGGACCATCTGTCCTGCTTCATCCCCATCTATCATGTCTTACTGATATCATATACTGATAGCGCAAACGGGATTCCTATTCCATTTTCACCCATTAAAAATTAGGCCTGAGCCCAAAAAACGTTTGCACATTGTGTTATGATGAGGAAGAAACGCCACATCACGTCATTTGTAGTTGCAGTCCATTCATGTATAAACGATATATCGTCATAGTCGTAGAATACTGACGGATCTAACAATATCGAATATTACATATATAGATCCGTCAGTATTCTACGACTATGACGATATGTCCTTTAGATAATATACCTTATATCCCGAAAAGATAAAGGACATCGCCTCTAAGAACATCCTAACATTCTTGTCACTGAGAAGAATTAGCAGCGAACTCTTAAGAAAGATCGAGCACAACAGAGCTCAGAGGTCGCAGTGTTACAAGTTTTTCTGCGTGACAACGCCCATACTTCAATAATAATAGTAATACAAGGTGGGCAGACTGTTGTGTAGACCCGGCATCTCTATATATAAGCTAATGCTATTAAGTTACAGTTTAGTTATGTTATTTAAAAAAGACGTTGCATCTTGCTCTCATACTCGAGGATCGTTTAAAAGAAGCTTTGGTGTAATAATTCATAAGCTGGTAGAAACTAGTTCAAAATATATTTTCATAGTTTGACCTATTGTAATGTCCTTGAGAAATAAAGTCACTAAATACTATCTATCACTAGATTTCAAATAGTTTTATCTGCACCCTATACAAGTGGCAAGCGAATCTATCGATAGAATCGTTTCGGTTCACGCTTACATAAGAAAGAATAAGACACCGGATATCGGCATCTCATTCTATCTCGTGGAAACGCTAGCGATAGCGATTCGATGATAGATTCGTTTGTCACTTATCTAATTTATGTTCGTTTTAAATATGTCGTATATCGTTATACTTGTAGCAATCAATGTTTCCGGTGGGTTTCTACGTGGTGTTCATTGTGAATCAAAACAACAAAGCTTGCGGGGGAGCACCCCTACAGGACAATCCTGGCGATAGAGTCAAGGACTTTAGGTAAAAAAATTAGCCTGACAATAACAAAAAAACCCTAGAGAGTTACTGATAGTTCTAATATAGCTACTTAATATCATAATAATTATTATATATAGCACTATAGCACTGCAATTAATACTAATCTAACAATGCTCCATTCATCTATCAAGTAATTTAGACAATATGTCGTTTAAAGGTACATATGACTATATATATATATATATATATATATATATATATATATATATATATATATATATATATATATATATTTTTTTTTTTTTTTTTCAAACTGATATACGGGAAAATATGCCTTGCAGAAATCAATTTAAATAGAAATTTAATTTAAATAGTCTTATTGTTAATATGGCTTGATTTATACAAAAAATCTTTTAACTATTCAAATATTAATTGCCATTATTCTTAATTGTTCACGTTCATGATGTCGATTCTATTAGGCAAGCTGTTATATTCCATCCATGTTGATAAAATAAATTTCGCCATTTAATTCATCAAGAAAACAATTTTGAATGCTCACGACTGGTCATGAATATGTAGGTTCCGCATCATCGCGACCATATCGTACAAGGAGTACGTGGTGGGTGCGTTGGTTGTTCTAGCACTGTTCTCCCTCGTGGTAATGCTCACCGTACTCGTCCTGCTGCCCAGCTACACGTCCCGTTGCACAGGTATGTACAGTTATGTCTGTCTCGTTCTCTCTGACACTAGCAGAGAATGATTCTTTAGATATAAACGTAAATTTTTCTACAGGCCTTCAATAATTTCTTATTTCTGCTTATGAGACAGAATGTTCGAGAGATTTCTTATATAACAATGACTATAATTTTTGTGCCAATAATAATATGAGATTTTATTCTATGAAAAATTAATAACATCTACTCGTATCGTGACAAAAATGGAACCAGAATGAACAGAATTACGTAATAACGTGTGTGTGTGTGTGTGTGCGTGCGTGCGTGCATGCGCGCGTGCGCGCGTGCGCGCGTGTGTGCGTGTGTGCTTGTTATCCAATGTGGTTCGATTTTTTTTTACAGTGTAAACATTCTTTTATTATTTTGCTTTGGCTTTTGGATGCAGACTGAATATGTTTTTTTTTTTTTGCAGTTGAAGTGGTGGTGATAGAAGAGGACCCGACGCCATCCACTTCTCGCGACCAGCGTCCACTGGTAGACGAACGATCTGACGAAGGTTATGGCGCTTCTTTTTATTAAATGTATTTTGCAGCTTTGCCCACATGAAACAGTGTTTAAAGCATCCAATGTTTTGTGTTAGGATATGACCTGCCTGTATACCAAATTTCATTAAAGTCTGTTCAGCTGTTTAACACTATAAACATCTAACTGACAAATATCCAAATAGCTTTATAAAATTACATATTTATTATATTCATAGAATGTTTTTATTTTTTCTTTATAGACTCAATAACAGACTCAATACGGGAGTGGCCGATTCCTACAGAGCCGTTGACAGTCGCTGGCCTCAGTAAAGCGCGGCCGAAGGCTAACGCGCGTCGTTCAGATAGGTGATACCTTCCCTCTGGTTGCTTTTATTACAAATTTTTGTTTATTTATTTATTATTTGCGTAATCAAAGTTGTACACGAGTTAGATGATTAGTGATATTATGTATAGGTTTTCATTAATTGAAAATAGTTTCACAAAAAGGTTTCTATTTCAGTCGTGTAGTTAATATGGAAACAATAAAATTGAAACGATCAAGTTAAAATAGAATAAGAAAGTTTATAATTTAATTATTTAAAGAAATATAGAAAGAATTTATTGCAACTCTGGCCTTAAGAGGCCTACTTATTTTCCACTGTCATTTTTTTTTTCAAGTATTCATTTAGTACTTGTATGCCCCATGGCAGGTATTTCTGGAGCGCTTTGACCGTAGCCGTCGTCTACGCTTTGCCAGTTGTGCAGCTGTTGTTCACTTACCAACAGGTGAGTATTATTAACTTTTAAAACTTTCGTGTTACATGATTTATTTACTGCTGACAATAATAAATAATAAAAAAATCATCGCCTATAGACAGAAACAACACTATCACGATGAATTGTTTGCTAACAGAAAGTGACCAGGCTCCAATGATGCTGCAAGATCACCGAAAGATTTACCAAAACTTTTTTTATGCGAATTAGAGTGACAAAAAAAAGGGTTAAAGGGCCTACTTGATGGAAAGTGTAACCGTCGCTTATAGACATGAACAGTACCATGGATGGGGGGAAAGGGATTGTTAGTAATGGAGACTGAGAATTTCATTGCTAGCAATATACTCAACTAGGTCGACCTCCTCGCGGTTCCCCCTGGAAACCATCGTGTCCTTACCATTCTTGTCGAATTAATCATGGTGGGCCAACTGCATTCATTTTCACCTATCATCTTTCACTGGTGCCTCGTCGATGTATACCGATAGCGCATTTTCACCCATTAAAAAAAATACCATGGATATGACAGACTATATCTTTTTAATAAATGTATTTTTTCATAGATGGTATTCCAAACTGGAAATCAAGACTTATGTTACTACAATTTCCTGTGCGCACATCCACTGGGTATACTTTCGGACTTCAACCACGTTTATAGCAATATTGGATATGTGTTACTGGGCCTCGTGTTTGCTTTGCAAGTCCGAGCGAGAGCGTCCAAACCTCAAGAACAGGTATGTACATACTTTTTATACAATATGCAAATAGACATGCAGACTACAACACAAAAGTATTGGAAGCAAAATATGGAGTAAAATTAAATTTTACCTCGCTATCTGAACACTTTTTAAATAATCAATCAAAAACATAAAAAAAATATTTTTGAAACTGACAGCGACGTTTTAGTGAGCTAAAATATTAACACTTTTATTAAACAACTCTACTGTTTGTCGTAAATAATGATCGTTAAATCAGAAATTACATAATTATGTTTATTACCGAACATTAGAGTTATTTTCAAGCTCTGATAAAATTATACCCTGTGTACATAAAAAATCAACAATTTATTTATTTATTTGGTATAAGTTACAATAACAGTTTGCAAACAGAAATGAACCATTAAAAAGAAAACAATACAAAAATTTATCAATACGCAGTTTACCAACCTTACATTGTAAACATCATTTAACAGTAAATTAGAAGTAAGCGTTTGAGAAAGTTATTAAGGTAACTTTATGGTAGTGTTTCTCTAATGTAGGGTTGGTAATTTCCCATATATTAATAGAGAAGATAGAAATAAAAATAACTTCGACATAATTTTCTTAATTGAAATTAACAATTTTTGTAATGTGTAGGATATGGGGATTCCACAACACCATGGTTTGTTTTACTCCATGGGCCTAGCACTTGCGATGGAGGGTCTACTGTCAGCTTGTTATCACCTTTGTCCCAACAAGATGAACTTCCAGTTCGGTACGTAGCATTTTGATTAATTTTCGATAAATATCTTCGAGGTTCTTATTCCTTATATCCTATTATGATTATTTTGACGAGCAGGTTAGAAAAAATAGGATAAATTGATTCTGACGTTCGCTCGTTCATTCGGTAAGGAATAGTTAAGATGTAGTGCCATGTATAGCGAGTCGAAGATCTTTTTTTTTAATTAAATACTTATTTTGCGAAACAAAATTTTACTGAGGAAACCAGTTTTAGTAACTTATGATTTATTGTTTAAATTTTCGTAAAAACACCATATATTTTATTGTAAAAAAACGTATTGACTTACGTGAATTTTGCATTAGTATTTTTTTTATGGAACCATTTTATGATTCCTGGATTATCTAGTCTAGCATTCCCGATAAATATACATGTAAGTCAATCCGGTTATCTTAATACCAATGAAATATAAATACTTATGTTTGGACCACAGATTCTTCATTCATGTACGTGATAGCCGTGCTGTGTATGGTCAAGTTGTACCAAAACCGCCACCCAGACGTGAATGCGAGCGCGCACGCCACATTCATGCTGCTCGCACTCCTCATATCAATTGGTGAGTGTTTTTTTTTTATATATATATAATACGCTTCGCGGTTTTAAAATGGTTTATAGCTAATGTTTTACTAATAAATTATACTATACTAATAAACTTGTATAATACTGTTGCAAATGTCGGTAAATTATTGCTGCAAGAAACTGCAAGTTTGTATTATAAATAGCTAAAATCTATCGTAGACTACCTGAAAAAATTACCTTTGATAAAACGAATTTCTTTAAAAAAACAGACGAGTAATTAATTGAATTCACTTCAGCCACAACATTTTGAAACAATTTGACTTGAGATTATATGTATATAAGAGTAGTAAATAATTATATTTAAAAGAGTAAGAAGAAACTTATAAATATTAACTTTTTATTATTTTCTCTGTTTTTTCGCCATCATAACATATTAATGTACGTTTGAAAATATAATGCCGCCCTAAATTTTTAATATTTCTGGGTCTGCAGGTCTTTTCGGCATCATGTACCCGAGTGTATATTTCTGGGTGATCTTTACATTATTACACTTGGGCACTTGTTTTGTGCTCACTCTTAAGATATACTACGTGGGACAGTTTAAAGTCGGTATGTGTTTTTTATATTATTATTGATATACATGTACGAGGTTTGTCCGGAAAGTACGTATAAAAGTTTTTTTAAAAATTTTATTTTACAATTATTCAGGTAAATCAATTTTATCCCCTTCAAAGTACTCCCCCTGTGACATAATGCACTTGTGCCAACGCCGTTTCCACTGTGAGAAGGCTCCTTGAAAGTCCTCTGGTTGTAGGTTTCTCAGCTGCCCCGTCGTAGCTTTTTTTATCTCATTTATGTCCCCCAAATGCCGCCCCCGAAGTACCAATTTGGTTTTTGGGAACAAGAAGAAGTCACACGGGGCCAAATCCGGCGAATAGGGGGTGTTCGGTCACCGTAATGGAATTTTTACTCAAAAACTCACGGACAACAAGAGAGGTGTGGGCAGGGGCATTGTCGTGGTGAAGAATCCAACGCCCCTCTCGCGCCAATTCTGGACGAACTCGTGCCACACGAGCTTTGAGGCGTCTGAGCACATCGACGTAGAATTTTCCATCAACTCTCTGGCCTGGAGGGACGAATTCTTGATGGACAATCCCCCGAACATCGAAAAAAACAATCAACATTGTCTCGGCCCTCTCTGAATCTTTTTAGCCACTTGTGGACGGTTGGTTCCTTCACAGCATCATCCCCATAAACTGTTCTGAGATCGGCAAAAATTTCACGGCCATTCTTGCCGAGTTTCGAGAGAAACTTGATTACGACGCGCTGCTCTTCAACGGAAGCGGGCTCCATGCCGACGGGGTTTCGTTAAGAGGTAACTTCACAGATGGCGTGACAAGCCAGTTCGCACCGCACGGCGGTCAGACCAGAACTGAAGCATTGTTAGGGACATAAGGAAGGGGTCCTGCGCTTACCTGGCCTCCCCACTCCTCTTTCTCGCATTCCAGAACACTTTTATACGAACTTTCCGGACAGACCTCGTATAGATGTCCCTACACTACCTCTAAACTAGCATTAATAATATGATGTCATCAAATGTCGAGAATTTTTTGTTTTCTATTTTTTTTTTATTTAATTTTTGTTCCATTCATTTTTTTCTTTCTCATCTTCACTCTACATTTTTACCTAAAAATGTTGGTCATAGAAGACAAATGGCCGCATTGCTAGCAATATACTGGAATTTGACGCGATATTTCTGTTCCAGCAAAAAAAAAAAAATATTCGCTTAAGTTGAATATATTTTATTTCCCGCGGTTTTGTCCCCGAGCATACTACATAAGAAGTGTCTTATGTGTTAATTTCGCATATAATCTACTTGTGTAACAAATTTATTTGAAAGCCGTTCTATTGTTTAAGTGTTATGGAAAACATCCAAACTTATTTAAAACTTTCATTTTTATAATATTAATGTATATATATATATATATATATATATATATATATATATATATATATATATATATATATATATATATATATATATATATATATTGCATATAGAACGTGGTGTGTTGGGGCGCGGTGTGGCCGCGTTGCGAACCCACGGGTGGAGCGCGCTGCGACCCAATTACACCACGCGGGCCATCCTGCTGGCCCTCGCCAACTTGGCCAACTGGGCCTTGGCGGCCTACGGGTGAGTAGATGCAATAGTCTAGCTAGATAGCGTGAACTGTGCCTTGAAAATTTCACATTAAATAATCGAATTAATTAATGAAAAAGTATTGTACCTTTAAAACACATGGTGATGCAATGTCTTAGAATAATACAATTACATAAGAATATGTACAAAAATCATAATTTGAAGAATCAGAGTAAAGCGACAATAATAAGCGTCCTTTAATATTGGTTTTTGGACAACATTGGTGAAAATGGAGTGCTTCCTTGCTTGCGCTATCGGTGTATGCTAGCAGGGCACCTGGGAAGGCCGATAGGTGAGAATGAAAGCAGGTCAATGGAGGCTTCCTCAGCGGTTCAGTTCCTTTATATCTTGCCAAACTGACCACCTGGGGGAGAGGATTGTTAGCAACAGAAACTAACGACCTTTTGCTAGTAGTAAACTCTTTTACATAGCCCTCCACATTCTCTTGGAAACATCTGTAGTTAATTCTTGAAAACATGACAATAGTCTCTCGTGATGAATTCAGGAATTACTGACCTATTATTCCTCGTTGGTTTCTCGCCAACCGCCATTACATATTCATATATTTAAAAAAAAAACCTGACCACTTGGTGTCTGGCGGTGTGTGAGTGAGTAATTGCAACAAGCAAGCTCTCCTACCGATACTTGTAAATTTTACTAAACCTGTGAGTCAATAGCAATAGTCCATCTGCATAGAACAGGCAATCCTGCTGTGTCTCTTCAACTTGAACAACTGATACTAGCACAAAACCGTCATTGGATTTCAATGGAATTATTCAAAATTATCCTCCCTTACTTATTTCGTCACAAAACTACGCGTGCTGACTCATAGATGCATCCAGCCAGCACATATATCGAGTTTACGACGTTCAGTCACGAATAAAAAAAAATTTAACAAAATCTTTGACATTCCATCTAAAGTTATAGGAAGCAAAAACAAAAAAAAAATACAAATTGTAAGGCAAAGTTTATGTAATTAAGTGTTCATTTTATTTGTATATATAATATAATAATATTGTTAATCTTTATAATCTATATTATTCTTTGAAGAGAACTTTTTTTTATACCACTGAGGTAGCAAACAAGCATATGGCCTACCTGATGATAAGCGGTTACTGCAGCCTATGAATGCCTACAATACCGGTATTACGCCCGCGTTGCCGACCCTGAGGAAGTCTCTTTACCCCCCTTTTGAAAAACCCCATACAACAAAAAGTTTTTATTCATTCATAAATAAAAACAAAGAAATAGTTGAAAAGCTATTTCTTAGAAAAATTATCACTTCATCAAGTGCTCACGTACTGTACTCATGCCAAACCAATGCGATTTGATAGCTACATACAAAAAAAAATGCCTTTTTTCCACCAGTCTTTACGAACATAAAAAGGACTTCGCCCGCCACCTCCTAGCCATCCTCATGGGGAACACTATATTGTACACGCTGTTCTATATCGTGATGAAACTGGTGCACCGCGAGAGAGTGCCTGTCTACTGCTGGCTGTACCTGGCATCGGCACATGCGGCTTGGTTCTATGCGTTGAATCTCTTCCTCGACTCGAAGACTAAATGGTCGGTGAGTATTAATCCTGGTTGTGATTGCTAGCTTCTAGGGGTTTAGCATGAAATAAAATCACGAATTTACGAACTAAAATTCGTGTTTATGTTCATATAGAAATCGGCCCAGTGAATGGAGCTTAATATTTCGTTCATTATAAATCTTACCATAAAAGTCCAAAAGAATGATATTTTAACATTTTTTTATATTTTTAAATTGTATGTATTATGTAATTTTTAAATGAAATATTTGTTTCGTTCGGCCTCGAAATTTTGGTAATATTTCATAGTAGACGCTCTTACTCGTATTTCATTTCAGAGAATTATTTATACATTTTGAAATAGCGAACTAGCTGACGGCTCAGCTAAAGAGAAACCGCTGCCTATAGACATGAACAGTACTGTAGTGGATAATATAGAATATATTGCGATATACGTGATGTCTCTCATGCGTTGTCATTATTTGAAGTTATATTTACGAATAGATGTCTTGTAATTTTACTTCTATATCCCACCCACCATACATAGTTGTTAGGTAGTAAAAACACAACGACAGAAGTACCTGGGTCGTTGTTAAAGAACTTCTATCCACTTGTGTTTCTGTCGTCCAGCACGTGTACTTGCATATCTGTATTCCGGCTTAAAAGATATGACAATAAAATTACAAGATATGGATATTCAAAGGAATAACAACGCTTGACATGTACCGTGGGCTATGAGGTATTCTGTTACGTTCCTGTTTATAGGCGACGCTTACCATACCATTGGACCATCAGTTAGTTTACTATTATATATTGCATAAGAAATATTTATTTAATTCATTATAAATTCTTGTTTCCTACAGGAAACTCCGGCACAGTCTCGCCGCCACAACGCCCAATGTACCGTACTACAGTTCTATGACTCCCACGACGCCTGGCATGTTGCGTCCGCTGTCGCACTCTACCTCTCGTTCAATGCACTTCTCACGGTCGACGACAATTTACGGAATACACCTAAACACCAAATACCGGTCTTTTAAAATTTTAAGGTAACTGTAGGTCTGTATAATTTGAATTTCGAAGTGATAATAGTAGTTTTTTTATGGTACTTAAAATTACTTCAAGCTGACGATCCATCAGATGGAAAAGTACGGTTTATGATCCAATAGGCGTTTATATAATTTATCTATATAATCGATATAAATATTAGTTAATTTTAAACTTTCGCGTTGTTTACACATATTTTTAAATACATATTTTTACATACCATAAAATATAAAATAAAATAATACCATAAACGTCGACAATAAAGAAGCAGGTATGTTGGTTCTATTTACCTGTAAAAGCTTTTTCATCACGTTAAGTCCGTGTTATGTATTTAAAGATATAGATATTCTTGGATTCTTGCTTGACTCCTCATGTCTGTGTATCGTGACCACGAATAATTCATTCAACATGATCCTACGCAGCATGCACAGCCTCGTGGATGCACGATCAGTTACAGTCAGACAGTATAAACCACCTAGTAGCGACAGGTTACGATATAATAGAGGAACAAATTGTATGGAATTGCATGGAGATGTGTTAAATACACAATCGGGACTTAACGCGATAAAAATCCAACCATTTTCATCGCGTTAAGACCCGGTTGTATATTTAAGATATGTCTAAACAAGGCCAAAGTTTAAAATTAACTATTGCATGGAGACGCCTCTCTTTTATTGTTTTTTTTTGTTCTTTGGACGTTCACGATATATATACGAGCGACTTTGCTCTTTCATTTCATCGTGACAGTAATGTCGTACGATATCGTGCCGTGTTACGGTAAACTATAAAATCGCCCAATATCAATGATGTATGGGAAGTAACAATTAGCACTCGACGACGACATCTAATCAAAAGATGTCGTATTATAGATTAGTTCTTCTGTAGTGACATAAATATAAACAATTTACAATTTCTTGTAAGAAATGGTTAAATACTCGAAAAAAAAATAATAATCAAATTAATATAGACTAGTCAAAGGCTGTAACAACGTTTTATATTTGTAAGTAAACCAGTTTGTCATTGTAACAAACTGACGTAAATCGTCGACGTAAGCGAAGAATTAAATAAAACAATTTTTAAATTCGAAATCCTTTCGATTTACTTACGAAAATATTACAAAGAACAATCAAGAAATCACGATTAAATCGCAAATTAATAAATAAATTAAATTATTTAATTGCGCACTTACGCCGACGATATTGTTGTGAGTATTAATCTACCATTTTTAAAATAAATTTTATAATGACGACAACCCTATAAATAATTGTTCAATACCTATTTAAAAATGGTACATAATTTATGACAATTATATCCTACATATCTAATTTATTTCACATTAGTTGTAACGTATTTGTTTCATATGAATTAATCATGCCTTTTGAAAACTTATAAATATTATAAAGTTAATCTAAGTTAGAACTGATGAACACATTCCAACTAAAAACCGATAAAACTAGAAATATATATATATATATATATATATATATATATATATATATATATATATATATATATATATATATATATATATATATATATATATATAAGATAAAATGTTCCCTTGTTCTATTATATTAAGATAATTCATCTGAAGTCTTGCAATCAACATCCTCCGTTGATCCGACAAAACAAGCATCAGTATTTTTTAATTATTATTTAAAAAATTTGCTTGCGGTGAATTCTTAACTCTCCAGCAGTCCCCCCTCCCCCCTTCATGGCTCATAAAATAGATTTATCCGTGTGTTTTATATAATTCTTTATTTAATATTTTTATGTATTTTATTTTTAAATATGAATGGATGCCCTTGTGTCCAAAATTAATTTATGCCAAAGTGAATCAACGATGAATCAAACTAAGTTCATGACAAATTAACCCCTTATTCATAAAAACGTTAAACCACTTATAAACGTATTATAGTTATTGAAGTGTTTTGTATTTTTCTTTTGTGCTAATTTTCAATTTGAAAGACAGTGACAAAACACTAATAGTTAAAATAGGTTTGTAGGATGTTTTAGTTTTTATGAATAAGAGTCTAAGCAATTTAATATCATGTAATCATTGACCACTATGATAAAGATAACTTTAATAATATAATTTCAATATAATAATAACATAATTACATTTCTGTTTAGCAAAGGTTGCCTGAGAGAGAATGCTATATAGCATTAAGACCGCCATTTGTATCAATAAGTTTTTTGTAATGTGGTCAATAAAGAAAAAATTAATAAATTAAGTGTCTTCAAAATTTAGGTTAGTAAGTTGGTTATACGTATATTTAAACGAAATGAGACTTTATGGTTATTGTTACATAGTTCCATTTTAAATAATTCATTATTAATTTTAAAAATTAAACAAAATATCTATAAGTTTTACCTATCAGTAGATGGTATTGAAGATTATTTCATATTTAATTTATATTATCTTGAATAATAATATTATTAGCATCATACATAAGTTTGTGTGTTTTTAGTGAAGAATTGGGGAATTTATATACAAACCCCATTATTCATAAAAACTAAAACTTTGAACAAACCTATTTATAACTATTACATTGTACTTTTGGTCACTTTTTTCCAAATTGAAAATTTTGTGTATAAAAAAGAGAAAAAAAAAAACACAGTTGAATAACTAAAATAGGTTTATTAATAAGGGGGTTAGTGTTCCGTAGAAAAAATAAAAAATAACCGATTACCGAAATAGGTTAGTGAGGAATCAGTGTTTGTATCTATTGCTCCGAGTGTAATAGAGTAGTTTTAACAGGAACATTGTTCCAAAGATCATTTGGCTCTGTTTATGTTTGAATTTACAAGAAATTAACAATGGGCGTCTACCATAGTAATAGATTATTTATAAAACCGTCTAATAATCCTTATTAAATTATTTTTTCTCTTTTTAGAGGCTTTTTATTAAAATTTTGAACTCTATACGTTCACATTGTAGTCTAATTTTAAAATTAATATTACAATTTGATATTACAGCAAAATCTTTATTCTAAGAACCAATATGAACTAAATTTCTTCTATTCTATTTATTATTCTAGTATTATATTTATAATATTCTCAATTTCAAATTTTCTAGAAATGATTGTAAATGTTGTTTATGATGGTCCATAAAACAAAAATTCCGCGAAATTATCAAATGAAATAGATTTATAAAAATGGCGCCAAAGAATCGACCCCACTTAGTTTAAGGTTTACAACGCCATCTGGTATTGCACTGTTATATATTAACTGTACTGTATGTATGTATATACAGTACATACAACACAATACGATTGTTATGGCTAGGTGGTGTTGTCAGCTTTGTGAAGTAGACTTCTATAGTTACAAATACAAAAGAAAAAAAAAACTATAATTATTTGATTACCGCATGTAATAATTTCTTTTTAATTGTTTTAGATATTTTTAGCGCCCCTTAATAAAAAGCATCTTTTTAAAATGATAAAACAAATGAGTGATAATAAAAAGCTTGTAAATATGTACAATTTTTTGAATAATAATATCTATATAATATTATTAGGGCTGTGATTATTTCAAATTCATTTCAAAACCAACAATTTATTGTTAATTGATAACGCGCTGTATTGAGTAGATTATTCTATATTTTGATTGTAAAAAAATAAGTGATATGATTAGCCAAAACATAAGCATATTTAGAAAAAGAGCTATTTGCCACTTATTTATAATATCTTTTTGGAGAAAAACTGAAGTTATGTACTGTTGAATTATAATTATCATGAGTCATACTCTATTGTAATAATTCATATCTGTATCTGTGTATAATCACGTTTTAAATTCAGGGATACCCGACCGCACGCGCCTAGCGACATAACTGAAAAATATATTTCCAAACAAAAGTTTTAATCAATAAATAAATGTAACAAAGTTAAAATGATAGCAATATTAAGGAGTCATAGTGTTTTGACTCCATCTGTTTTTAACAGCCACTAAAAAGTCATTAATTTTGGTATTTAAGAGGCCCTTCTGAATTAGTATTATGACGTCACGATTTACTCTCAGATTATTATTTTTCATTATGATTATTTTGCTTTGGTTTAATTTATCTCTAATTATTTTAAAAATCTAAAATTTTGTACAACGGTAACGTTGAAAATAATACTACAAAATTTAATATAAAACAAAATAATAGCATGAATTAGTGGCGTACGAGTCCGAGAATAATTTTGTTATTCGAATAATTAGTAATTACCAATTTTATAATTTGTCTACTAAATGAGTAACATACTAATTTTCGTATTGGAATGATATTTAATGGTCATCGGTAAAACGAAATTTAGTAGTCGAATGACATTTGTAGTGCATGAAATTAGTAGTCGAATGTTTTGAAAATTATTCGAATAATCCGAATGAATTGCTCAGTTGAATAATTAGTAGTGGTATTAGTAAAGTTACGAATCGCTAGTATTAATAGCAACACGTCGTGATTCTTAACAAAAACGGTCTCTTAAATGACAAATTTATTTTGTGAGACTTAATGAAGAGTTAATTGTAAAAATCGAAACATGAATGTAGTAATAATCACTGTACCTATTTAGAGTTAAGTTTATTTATTGTAATTGCTATTTTTGTACACTCAAAATATGTTTTAAGATTAATAAAATATAAAACTTTTTTACGCTTTATAAATTGTTTTATTTCACGCAGTTATCATTCTATTTTCTTCTTCTAAAGAACACATTTGAAAAAATATAATACTATTCCTTCTTTGAATAGTACAAATAGTGAATTTAAAACTTTTTTTTCTAACACACCTGTCCTCTTTTCTATATTATTAAAGAAATAATTTTTACATAATGTGTTAAGAATTTCTATTAAAATTTAATTTTTAAGTTTTATCATCATATCAACCGTTAACTGTTCACTGCTGAACATAGGTCTCCTCCAAAAGAGGGGGGGGGGGGGGGGTTGCTAATAGTTGCCACGCTTTTATCCTGTTTGGAATAATTCATTCATTTAATTTCAAAATTAGGATATTTTTTGTGTCATTTGTAAAATGTTGCCTGTGTTAGGAGTTATTGGCGGTTAACTGTCAATTTGTATATAACCTTATTTAGGATCCTTTTGTAGTCTAAAATAGCTAATTCGGCACTTAATTCATAACCACACAATATGTTGGAGAATCAATTGTTTTTTCATTTTTAAATCCGTTTAATACACAAGAACGTCTTGACCTAGTGGTAAACTAACTTGACTAGATTTTCAAAGGCGTAAACTCGAATCTGGCCAGGCCCAAAAATGATGTACATTTAAAATTCTGTGATAGAAAAGAAATGAAATTAACAGAAGAGAAGGCAATAAAGCCACGTTGGATTCTTAATACTCGGCGAAACGTTATGTCGAGCGTAAACGTATTTAAGGAAACCAGACTGGTCGTGCCCACCCCAGGATTACAGGGCCTACCATAAAATGTTTTTCGAAATTTCGAGACCAAACGGAACACCAACTTCATTTTATAATTACATAGAACATACAGTTTAAAAATATTAAAACTCTTGAAATATCGTCTCTTTGGACTTTTATTGTAGGATTTATGACGAACGATAGTTTGGACCCATTTCAGAATGAACAAAAACACGAAATTGAGTCCAAAATTCAGAATTTCATTTTATGGTAGACCCTCAGGATCAGAATTTTCAGTTCATGAGAAAGACATATCTGAAAATATATAAAATATAAAAATATCACCAAAAGCCAAACAACGGTTGCTAACCCGCGTGCCAAGCGTGGCAACTACTGGCAAAACTCCTCTTATGGGGGAGGCTATATTCAGCAGTGGACTGGACAGTTTACAGCTGATACAACATGTATAAACTATTGGTTTTAAATACGTCAATGATGAGTATTCTCTACATAGACAATATAATATTTTTTAGTACCCTATTTTATATTATATTTTATTTATATTATAATCGTGTATATATTTTAATTAGAACAAGTTGAATATTTTGAATTTAAATCTCCTACTTTTTTATCATATACCCGCCGAGTATCTACGTATAGATATATACATATGTATAGCGCGACCAATATAATGGTCGAGTAATCGATTTATTTACAGCTGTGACTGAGTTTGCACGTTTTCTTATTGGTTATCTTGTCATCAAATGCCACTGAGTGACAAGCAATTATATTGATGAGTCGTATCATATGTAGGCCTCGCTCGTCATCGTAACATCATACTTGCGTGCACGTCACGACCTAGTCAGCATTGATGATTTCCAGTTTGTGTTCTAATTAGGTGTAATTACCTACAACTACTTTAAAGAAAAGATTGTCATTTACCGTATAATATTTTTTTTTATAACGCCAGTTAGACCAAGAGCTAGACGAATCCTATAGTAAGTAATGCTAGTTAAAAAGTGCAAACTGAAAATATAATTTATAATAAATTGCTGTTTTGGTAGGTACATACTTAAGATTTATTGATACGATTGATACAAACCATCGCATTGCTTATGGACAAAAAGAAATTCTACTTATCTTAAAGAGCCTGAATAAGGATTATATATTTTTAATGAGTGTAGATGGAATGGTAACCCCGCCTATGCTGGGGGGAAAGAGATTTTAAGTAATGGGGTCTATTTGATCCATTGCTAGCAATACACCCTATCAGGTCAACCTCCACGCGGTTCCCCTTGGAAACCGTCGTGGTTAATTCTAGTGGAATTCGTCACGATGAGTTTAACTGACCTGCCTTTTCATCCTCACCTGTCTTCCCTCACTGTTGCCCCGCCAGCGTATCCCAATAGCGCAGGCGGAGTACCATTCCATTATCACTCATTAAAAAAAACCGCCTACGCTATCGGTATACGCTGGGAGGTACCAGTGAAGGATGACAGGTGAGGATGAAGGCAAATCAGTTGGCCCATAGTGACCAAAAATTTTGAAGAAGAATTAACCAGTATAGTTTCCAGGGGGAACCGCGCGGAAGTCGACCTGACAAATTGTGTTGCTAGCAGTGGGTCTGTTAAACCTCATGGCTAATAATCCCTTCCCCCCGAGAAGTTTATATTTACTCTTACATGCGTTGTAGTATTTAAATGTCCCTACTAGTGTTTAGGTACAAGTTTGTTACTCTGTTATGCGTAAATGGCCGAATAAATTTTAATAAAATTTTATACATAGGTAGACAACGTTCTTATTTAACGTTTTAGAGAAGGTATATTCGCCCGTTATAGGTATTATTGTTAGTTTATGTCTATAAGCGGGTTAAGACAAAATTGATATCGAACTAGTAAATTTCTGAAACCTAGTTATGGAAATTACATCATTCATTCATGTAAACAAGTAAGCTATATGTAATATCTGTTTTAACAATGAAATCTAGATTAAAAACCTGCGACCTAGATAGTAAAGTATATATATACATTATATGCATCGTTGACCTAGGAGCAGGGTGGCAGCGGCAGGGCCGCTGTTCCACTGCCCCAATTTTCAAAACGTGCAATGCGCATGCTCTGGTAGGCTGAATGAGAGCTCCACCACGTTGAACGGCAATACCCGCCTATGTCAAACTCGCGATACTCTACTTCATTTAGCGGAGTATCATGAAGTCTATTTTTATTTATTACTCATTACGTCATTCTCATATAATCATCATACAAAAGTGTGGGACTTTATTCATGACATTTCACTAGAAAATTTACCCTATTTTAAAATTCTTGCAGTTTATTTGATGAAATCTAAAAAAGTATTATTGTAGAATTATTGGACATGTAGTTAGCATTTCTGATGTTTTATAGAAAAGGTTTAAAATGTAAAATAATAGAAATTTTATAACGTTTTCAAACGGGGAATATTTATAATTTAAATGGCAACATTAATCCCTTTTGTTGTCCTGAAATAAAAATGGCCGAAATACGAACGTCAAAACTTGTGGGGTGATCACTTTTGTTGAAAACGTCCTATCATTCTTCGAAAATTTCACAAAAATTGTTGATTAAGTGTCAGTGACGTTATATATATTGTGTGTTTGTGTAGTGCTTTGTAAATTTCCATTGTAACTCTATATTCTGGATCTTCAATCACTAGAGCCTTCGTCTACGTTCTTTATATGAACAGTATGTATTTATGCTCAATTTACACGTTACAATTTCCAATTTTAGCAGTATACAGCTTTTTTATATATTAAATAAGATATATTACGTGACATCACTCACATATAATACTGATTTTATATTTTATTCATCTCAAAACTTAATACAAATTGAAAGTAAATTTTGATGTGCAGTCGTATAAAGTTAATATTATTTCGTGATCAATATTTCAAGTACAACGTGACAATTTATTTTTTAAAGACATACAATATCACATTTGTTTACCATGTAGTGGCAGTAAACGTAATTGTTTATGTTGGTGATCTCCGACGTAATAGTATAAACACTTAGTGTTAAATAGATTATTTAGTTATTCTAAATAATCTATACCAGTCGTAATAAACTCTGATTTGCAATGGTTAACCATAAACATTTAAATGAGTAATATAAGGTACATAATAATATTACTATAAAATACTAATATTAGAATTTTTTTGTTTTTTTTGTAATAGATAAATTAAAAAGACAAGTTGATTGATTGGAACAAATGTTTCACTTATAGAAAAGTACAAAAATAAAATCATTGAGAAATCTGCAATAACTAAAGTCTCAGTATTTATAATCCAGTAATTCAGGACTTCACTTGATGTTGTTTGTGTATGAATTCATTAAATTTTTTGCTGCAACTTAGAATAGCAAACAAGCTGGTAGCCCATTTGATGGAAAGTGGTAAACATCACCTATAGACATGAACAGTACCATGGCTATAACAGAGTATACTGTGTTACTTATGATACTCCACATGCATTGCCATTCTTGAGGACTAAGGTGTTATGCCTCTGTAACCTGTAATTTAATTGCCATATCTCACCCTTTATGTGAAATAGTCATACAAACACAACTGCTTCATGGCATAAATACAAATAAATTGAAGTAGAAAATTTGTTGTAGGAACTTTATAATAATTAGTATGACAATTTAGATTGCACAATTTGTGAATTGCCTCTGAGAAATGTTAATTTTAATAAGCTGTGCAATACTTTTCCCAAATACTATGCCATCTAGAAGTGTCTCTTTATTATTTTATTTAATTAGCAGTAGTGCTATCTGCATGAAATTATCTTTTGATTTCTTCCTTTTTTAATTTATTTAGAATATCAATAAAAATACATGCTATAAATATAACATAGTGAAACAAAACCATAAGGATTTTTTCTATCATAGTTGAAATATATTTTCTTATATATTTGCTTATTTGGTAAATAGTGAGTAATTGTGGATTATTATATACATTGCATATTATCAACACAATGATTATGAATATTTCTAAATATATTGTCAAAGTAATTCTTGTAATTAGAGAATGTCTGTACATGGAAGATATTTAAAAAAAAATTAAATAAGGGGTGTTAATAAGACTAATACATACTAAAATAATATTTTTTTTTAAATATTGTCTATGTATATGTTTGTTTCAATATTATGCAAAATTATTGCACTATATTGAATGTGGTTTTCAGTCATGTTCCTGAAGATTTAACTTAAAATCTGGTATGTGTTTTATATTGATACATTATATACAAGTGATCTTTTTCATTGGTTTTCCTACAATTTGAAACCTATGTGTACAAAGTAGCAAGCCTAACACCTAGTAACAAGTATATAAATTACAAATAATACTAGTACAGTCTTACTTTACTAGTTTCAATTTAGTAATTTAAATGTAGAGTTGACATAAAAATAGTTTTATGATATTATTATTATTTAATAGAAAAACAATTTTGTGGAGCTATTCTGCAACCTCGATGGTACATATAGTTATAACATATATAGTTATAACCTTATCTTCCATTAGTCATGGGTTTGATTCCTGCATAATATAAATATTTGTATTTCTACATAGATAAAACAAATTATGCAATCAATTTTAATGCAGTTTTCACCTGTAAATAGAGTTATTCAAGAGGAAGGTTAATATGTGTAATTTAATATTGTTTTTTATTAATTTCTTGAAATATGATGATAATTGTCAAGATGTCAGAATAAATCAAGTTGACAGAGCTTTTATTGAAAATGCTGATAATAACAAAATATTGTGTAATAAAATTGGTTCTCTTCATTAAGTCTACAAAAAAGTCAGCATTCATATTCTATGTAATACTGGTGTTCTATGACTATTTTAATTTTTATAAAAAATTATACAACTTATGTAGAATTTGGAAAACTATTTACATAGATATAATAGTAATATGACACACAATGACACTACATTGTTTCTAAATCACAGCCTTGGAAAGCTAGGGCGGGTCACTAGTTCAAGTATTATATCTGCATCAGTCTAGGTGTCTTCTATGTATAATATATATGAAAAAAGTATTTAAATATTTCTATCAGTTGTCTACTATCCATAGACTGGAGTGCTGTGCAATATGTCTAAGGTTAATTATAATATTTATAATAAAGTAGTAATTTCTATTTGTTTTTAAAAGACTAAAATGGATGATGTTCTCAGTATTTTTGTATCTTTTAATGTATATATTGTGTGATAGCTTTGCCTATGTGCAATTGATTTTAATAATTCTTATTTTATAATATTGAATTGGATATTTACAAATTTTAAATATTGTAATTATTAAAATTATGGATTTTTTTCAAATACATGTGTATAACTATACTATACTAAAATACATGTATACAATAGCAGTGAGTTACTTTGAAAAAGCTTTGAATCACTACAAAATTTGATTAGATTTAAGATCTGCATAGAATTCTACTCTACATTGTTAAGTTAGCCATTTAAGTGAGCATAATTAATATACAAACATTTTTACAAACTTTCACATTTATAATATGGGATTAATCAATAATTTGTGAAGTGGCATAGTACCCCAATTTATAGACTGCAGAGGTAAGTATGGAGTTCGAATCTGGCTGACATCAAATACTTTCTGTGTCAATTTAAATTTTTAATTTACTGGTGAAAGAAAACTGTTAACAAATTTTTACTTGCGCAAATAGCAAGATATCTCTTATCGTATTAGATGGGCATGTCGAGTATTATCTTCACTACAACAATATTAGAAAAATGCCTCTAAATTCTCATTTAATAATTTCGCGATGGTCATCTGGTGAAGCTTTAAATTCAAATAGTATGGAAGAAGGGAATTGTTAGGATGAATATAGCGGGCCAGTTGGTAGCAATATATTCTGTCAGATCGACGTGGAAACCATCGTGATCCTGGTAAATTCATCGTGATCTGACTTCGTCCTCGCCTATCATCCCTTACTAGTACTCCGCCAGTGTATATCGTCAACATTAATGTATTTTCATCTCTCAAATACCAAAAAAGTTTTACGTTATCAATGCTTAGTCTATGAATTGCGTGACATGCAAATTGTCCTTCCTACTTCCTAAAACGTAACTACCCCAAATTACCAGGTGACTAATGCTAAGTCACATTTTACAACATGGCCGTTCACACATGACTAAGATATATTTCTGTACGCACAAATGAGAGCTTTGCTTTTTAGTACTAGTGGCATATGTAGTGTACTAACATATAAAGTAATACTATTTTATTCGCCACTTCGATCCTGTGACCAGGATATATTGATTGACTACGATAAAAGTGTCTAGTCTATATCTATGTACTACCCTATTACGTGTGTATAAAAAATTATTACGATTACTTGAAATTAACGGCTTCAATCAATCATGCGGAAATAGGCTTTTTGTGTTATTACTCGGGGTAGATCACATCATCCTACCCAGAGTAGTACCTATTTTAGACTAAAACCATGATGAAGCAATTAATGAAATCACAGGATACGTAATAGTACGAGTATGTATGAATAGTAATCTCATATAAAAGGGCTACATACATACTTCCAGTGTTGAGTGTTATGAAACATACAAACGAGTTGAGTGGTAACCAGGGCGGCAATACATAAAAAGAGCAACCAACATCATGATACTAATGTGCTGTATTTTTTTATTTGTTTTGTCCAACTACAAAATTTTATCAAATAGCTAGTTGTTGATTTTCATACAACTTTTGCCGGCCGCTGCCCGTATGTATCTGACCAGTACGGCAATTTTGATTTATCTCGAAGAAGATTGTCAAAATAATGCTCACATTTCCAAGCATGTTTGAGAAAATGAGAAATAATTATTTCTCAAAAGTTGTATGAAAATTCATATCTGTCGTGTTTTGCGGCCAGATAAATTACTATGTAATCTCATATCTGTAATTTAAAAATGGAATGACTTTTTACTTCGAAACATGGCTACTAAGGAGGTAACTAATAAAAGGCTTTATTTAAATTTCGAACTGGCTTGCAAATAGAAAGCTGTTTATTGAAAAAAAAAACAAAGGAACATTATTGCGCGTGAAAAATTATTATTGTTCGTTATTCGTTATTGAACTTTAAAAGTAAAATTGTGTTTTTGATTTCCGCGCATTGTTTGAGAAAAGTATTATACAAGCCTTGGCCACAACTAGGCATTGATAGACTGACGTATGTGTGCCTCGGCTACGCCTTGGCCCACATTTGCACGTTCGTACATCAATGCCTCAGTTGCTGGCCGCTGCAGTAATGTACTACTAGCAAGCTCTGTCTTGCAACATATGATGGTGTGTATTTTACAGATGTGAGCCCCGTGGCATGTGTGCCGCGAAGGCGGGGCTGGTGTGCGGCGCGCTGGCGGCCCTCGCGCTCCTGCTGCTGGTGCTGGCCGCGCGCTGCCGCCGCCGCCGCAAGGGCGCGCATCTCACCGCGCCGCATCAGGTGCTTATTTATATTTTTATCTCGGTACTCTGTTTCCCGGGCGCGTCGCCCGCGCATTCGCGTCGGTATTCCTATGTATATTAACTATCCTATGCGTTAAGTTCAATTGCTACTCGAAGCCTAGTGTTGATTGTTCAGCGCCTAAACTGTGACCGACTCATTTATACCCGATCAGTGAGGAAGAGGGATTGACGGAGTGTAGTTTCTTGAAATTTCTATTTTTTTTATATTCATAAAATGCCCTCCTTTCCAAAGGAGAGACACATTCAGCAAAAGGATCAGCTCATTTGGAATAACAAGCGTGAGAATAATTATTTATTTTTAAAATACCCTAATTTTCAACTATATGCTCAAACAAATTATGTTTTACCAGTCAATTTTTGAATAAAGAAGTATAATGGATAAAAATTGTATGTTTCCAGGTGCATATAGTCCGGTTTTCGTCACCGGCGCCGCCACGTGCTCGCTTGTTGCCGCCTCCCTGGCGCGCCTCCGCCCCGCCTGCAGCACACCCCGCTCCCCCAATCACAATACTTCCTACAAACGCTACCCTTACCGGTGCCCCAGCTGACCCTGACCGCGAGACAGAGCCTCCTCAAATACTAATTGTTCAAAACACAGTTCCGCAAAGTGGTCCATCTACTTCAGAACCTAGTCTTTCTGAATTTCGTGGGATCCCTAAACTACCGTTACCGGAACAGTGGTTGCCTCGGCGACCACTGGATTGCAAATATTCTGCGACCATCCCGCGTCCATTAGCACAAATTGTAGATTCGGATCTCGGTGCAGATATTGCGAGGGAGTCTCGCGCCAAAAAGTTTAGTGCAACTAGATCGCCTTCTTTAGAAAAAGACGATAAATCTCCTTTTTTAGGCAGCGCCAAATCTGATAAATCGGAAGTTTTTGGGTTTGACGCAGACGCTGTTCAAAAAATTGCAAGTGAAAATTTAACTACAGAAACGGAATTCGAAGAAGCGATGACATCACCCAAAGAAAGCGAAAGAGGTCAAGAATCGCCAAGTAATCTTAGAAGATTTCGGTCTGTTAGTACTAGGCTGAATATGTGTAGTGTGACAGAGAGTCCACATTTAGAAGGCCATCAAGAGAGACTGGAAATGCAAAATTCACCAAGGATACTCGAATGTAGCTCTGCAATAGAAAAACCTGCTGGATCGAAATTTGACTTCTCGCCTAAAATTCTAGCTGATTGCTTAAGTTCTCCAAGATTTTTTACACCACCAGAAACAGTATCGCCAGCATTTTTTGCCGAACCTTCACCTAAATCAGTTTATTACGATAGTGTAAGGTCACCAAAATTTTTTCCAGAGACTCCTCGAGAATTTTCTGATGCACCACAGTCGCCAAGAGCGCTTGCTGATAATTTAAATAGAAGTAATGGATTAGCAGAGAAGCCTAGTTCGCCGAGAGTCCTCAGTGCGAGACCAAGCCCAAAAATCCATAGTTGCAATAAAGAAAATTACTTCACATTTGATCAAGTTAATTTGGAAGAAGGAGCCACAAGAATGTCTCCCCGACCTAAGAAGTATGGTGGTAGAAATTCTATAGAGAAGGAAAGGTTTACACCTCCCGCTGATAAAGAAGTAAAAAAATATAGAAGGCATAATAGTTGCGACACGAATTATAAAAATATAGAGTTAAATATTACGACATACGATGATAATAAAGAATCAGAAGCTAAAAGCGAAATTATAGAAAAAGACGTAGTCGATTGCTGTGCCAAAATAGAATCTTTACAAGTCGACGAAAAGACAGACGAAAAGTACGAATTAACACCAACACACTCAAATACAGCGCAAGCTAGAAGACAAAGACTGAAATCTATATCATTAGATTCAGATAATGCAAAAATTATAGAACAGAACTTAGGTCTGCCTATAGCGAAGCAGATGAAAGAACAGATGAATGAAGCTTATAAGAATCAGGAAGTGAGTACTTCTTGTGAAAGTATGGAGAGGCATCCTAAGTCGCCGATGGCAGACAGACCAGTTTTTAAGTTTGATGACGAGAGAAAAGATAAAACTCCTGAAGGTGTGGAAGTGGAAGAGGAAGACACTAAATCACCAGATCTTATACAAAAGAAATGTCTAAGACAAAGTTCGGACACACAATCCTTTTTGGATATGCCTAGATTTTCGCCTAAAGAATTCGAAATCACGGTTACAAGCGAAGAAGGAACAACAATTTCAACAGAAGCTCAAACGAAACGAAAAGGAAAAAATTTACGAAACCTTACCATTGATTTAACGAAACGAGACAGCGATTTGGAAAAAGAATTGTTAGAGTTTGAGAAATTATATACTGATGCTGAAGAGAAGAAAGTGAAAACGCCTACATTGAAAGTTAAAGCAACATCCTTAGATTCTTCTGAGACTGTCAATTTGTCCTTGCCACAGAAAAAAACTTTGGAGGTGCCTCAAAATTCTGTCTCAGTTCCTAATACTCCCAAACGTCAGTTAAAACGTATACTGGCACAGAAAAGTGTAAACTCCAATTTCGTAGGAGCAAAAATGGGATATAATTCGATATTATCTGGGGCTGAGCAGCGTCGCTTGTTAATGAAAGGTCAAGATAGTGGTATCTTCCTCAGAGAGAACCATGCCAATCTCATGCTATACCAACCAGGCACTTCCCGCATGGGGTCTCGTACCATGGGTTCTTTCGATGAGAATATGACCGATTTTGCCGAAAAGCCAGAAATAAACATATCAGGTGCCGATAATCGGTACCATATAGAATCAGGGCAAATATTAGGATCAAATTTGCTTAATTACAAACAAAATTTAAGTGTTTCTAGTACAAATCTTAAAACTTTGCCTGAAGGAGTACCTTCCGACGATTTTGAACCGAGTGCCGAAGATGAGAAACTCGTCAAAAAGTTGCACAGGAGAAATTCTAACCAAAGTCTAATGCTCAGTACACACAGTCTACAAAGCTCAAATTGCTCATTAAATAGCGCGGGAACATCAACCCATAATTTGGCAACAGTCAGAACAAGCATATCGAACTTCAGCCTCAACGACTGTCGTCAGAAAAAATTGTCCTTAGAAAGAAGGGATTCTAATACATCTCTAATAAATACAGAACATCTGACTCCAACAACGAGATATATGTTATGTTCTTCAAATACCAGTTTGTCTGGAGACGTGTCAAAGAATTGTCTATTGCAGCGACGTGGTTCAAATAACAGTCTGACATTGAATATACATTCTTCTAATCTTAGTAGACATTCTAGTAATAGTTCATTAAATAAGGAGGCAAAACCTGGAGTGAAAAAGGGTCTACTGGAACGTAGAAGTTCCAACACTTCGCTAACTTTAAACATAAATACTTCAAATCCCCAATTATCTGTAAATAGAGGATTAAGCATCTCAAATTACAATCTAAACGGGTCTACGTGCAATCTTAGTCGCTATAACAGTAATCATAGCATAGATAATACTACAGGAGAGCCTAGAAAGGGCATTTTAGAGAGGCGCAGTTCGAACACTTCGCTTACTTTAAATATACAACCCCAGGAGCCAAGAGACTTAGAAATCGACGAGAGTTTAATCAAAGATAACTTGAAAGATCTACCACATAGAGATAAACATAGAAAATCATTGAGTACGGAGAATTTAATACCTAAATCTTATAGAAATAGAAGAATGTGTTCCACAGACAAATCAATAGGATTTGGGTCTCATGATAATCTTTGGTCCGCTTCTTATACGGAGCAAGACTATTCTCAAAATTTAACTTATGTTTGTGGTGATCAAGAAAATGAGATAATTTACGCATTTGGGCGTCAAGATGAGGCAAGTTATCAACAAGGATTCGTTAGGAATATTACTACTAAGCCTCTGAGCCCCCAAAGTACGTCTGAAGATTTTAGATTGTATTTGGCAAATATGCAACATCTTCAGAATGCATCTAGTGTACTATCAAGGCAGCAGCTACGAGACCTGAATGATGTATTTCAAAACGGATACTCCAAAGTAAAATGCCATAGTTCCACTGAAGGGCAGCATTGCTGTTCAGGTCGAGTGGAAGATATTACAAAGGATAACCCACAAATGGTCATCCCAGAGCCAGTTACCACCCAACCATGCTCTGAGTACCAAAAGACTTTATTAAGAAATCTTCACCAAGAGTTTTGGGATATGCCAACAAACTTTCAGGAAAAGCCGATAGTGTCAGGGTCTCATCCAAAGAATAGATATAAGACTATATTACCGAATGAGCATTCCAGATTTATATTGAAAGATGAAGTGAGTGAGGGATACATCAATGCCAATTTTATTAAGGTAAGGAATTTTTTGTAAGAAATAATTTTAGTAGTGTCGCTTATTCAAAATAATTGTAATAATAATAATAAATGAGTGTTCGAAAAACCGGTTTATTTACCAATTATAATTACATACATATAGACAGGGTCCGGGATGGGCTTGAAACTAGCCGAGTTTTGTCGACCAAATTGTACGTAAGTTAAACCAGGGTTACAATATTTATGATCATGATTCACGCACTTTTTTCAAGACAGTTATCTAACACTGAACACTTATTTTGAGCTTCAAACTATAGCAAGGTACTGTTTAGATACGTAAAGCATGAGAAGCAAGTGGTATATTTTCATCATATTTTAATATAATAACTACCGATTTAACGTACGTGTAATTTGGTCGAGAAGGTTCCATTAGTTTTAGGACCATTCGTGACCCTTAATCTTGAACCAGTCAGAGCATAGTCAGGCTTGCGCACACGTCAGACGTTAAGGTTCAGTTATATATATTATTGATAATACTGATGTGTAAAAGAAAGAGTAACAATAAAATTTTAATATTCAAATGTACAAATATGATATTTATTATTTTAATTTACAGGGGCATGAATACTCTAGGAATAGTTACATAGCCACTCAAGGACCATTGCAGAACACCATTTTCGACTTCTGGCTCATGGTCTATCAGAACTCAACATCTTTCAGTCCTGAGCCTCCAGACCCTGGTCCATCTACATCACCTGGAGTTCAGAAAATTGTGATGCTCACCAACTTCATTGAAAACAGTAGACAGAAATGTGAAAAGTACTTCCCGTTAGAGTTAAACGAAGAAACTTCCTTCCAATGCCCTAAAGAGAATGAGGAAGAGGGAGAGTTAAGTAGTTTCACGATCAAAAACTGTGGTATGGTGAAGAAATCAGGGTATACTATCCGGAAATTGGATGTTACATACCACAAATTAAAAATCCATGATAGTGTCATAGTATATCACTACTGGTTTCACAATTGGGCCGACCATAAGTGTCCAAAAGATGTTAATGCTCTCCTCAACTTAAGTCTGGATGTGTTGAAAGACTCAAAGTACGACTTCAACGAAACAAATATACAGTGTGATGAAGTATGCAAGTGTAATGATAGCCCAAAACCAGATTCTAAATTCGTGTTTCCACCATTAGAAACCCAAGTTGTTCCATGTGAAGTGACTGTAACTGTGTCCACGCCTTTAGACTTCTCCGCTGAGCTACGTTCGCCACCTACAATTGTACATTGCTCGGCTGGTATTGGTCGTACTGGCTGTCTCATTGCCATACTGAATGGTATAAAGCAACTCACAAACGAACATAAAGTCGATGTTCTGGGCATCGTGTGTAACATGCGACTAAACCGTGGGGGCATGGTGCAAAACTCTGAACAATATGAGCTCATACACAAAGTTTTGTGTCTGTTCGAGCAGGCTTGTCTGCCTAATTTATAGCTAGGTTAATTTGAGACAGCAGTGTCTACTGTACATAAAAAATTCTAATTCGTATAAATATAATGTTATATAAAATTATATACACACAGAACAGAAAAAACAGAAGTGACAGACAGAAGTCCTAACAGGACTATTGTAAATTAAAAGAAGATTGATTTACTATAAATCAATGTATATGGATAGTTTTTTAGAGTGATTCGTTTTTCAAATTTGACACACAAAATTGAACTGCCAACGTGTGCATGTGCATGTAATAAGCATAAGGTCGTTTGGTTTTAATAAGAAATTAAAGTGTACAGTTAGGATTATAAGCTACATATTTAAACATATGACATACGATCTATACTTCGTTGACCAAAAGAGTACCAATAAATTACCACTTCTGGTTATTTTTGTTCTGTGCATTTACATAAACGAGTTCAAATTGTGCTTATTCCTTTAATAAATATTATAACTGAATATAAGTATTATATAGCCTAAATTTGGACATATTGTGTGGATAGATCGATTTTTATACTTACCTCTCATTTTACTATTGCCAACATTAACATATTTTATTTTACATTAGGCGAATATATTAATACAAATTTATTATTTAAAATAATTATAGGTATATATGGTTACAGTCCGCGTGACATAACTTGACTGTCTTGAAATATTTGTAAGCGACGCAATTAAGAGACTGTCCTAGCTAAAAATCGCAATATCTCAAACGTCTCTAAAATGTTTATAGTCACAATTTCTAATCAAAAGTATCTTTGTCAAAATTGTAAACAAAATGTACAACGATAATTTAACATCAAATATTTATTTTAACTTATCGACATCACATTCAACATGAAAAATTCTTTTATGTAGCAGGTACACCTTGTACTTAGCTCTAGCACTATTCTGTTTTAATATTAGAATGAATTCATGTGTCCGTGATTAAAACTAAATAATTAGGAAGAAAGAAATAATTATTAGCAAATAACAAAGTATTAAAACAATTACAAACGGGGTTCTAAACTTGAAAAGTATACACTAAGAGATATTTCAAACAGCGAAGAGACGCGAGCTTAATCGATAGTAACCGTCTTCATCATTTACTGCTGACCATAAGACTCCACAGACTGCTACGAAGAATGATTCTGAATCATGCTCCATTGAAATCTAATCCTACATTTAAGGCGCTATTCCAGTAATAAGATGATTACGAATGTCGCCTTACGATACTTTGTTTACATTTACCAGTGGTGTTATCACTTAAAAACCTTTTTCCTTTACCATTTATTGCTTCGTCAAATGTTGTGACTCGTTTCAACTTCGGCTTGCCGATTTTTCGAATTGGCTCTTTGGCACATATCTATAACGTCATGGTCCTCGTGAATGTTAATGCTAAGGGATACCACACACATCACAGTGTGTTCAGTGATGTACATGGTGCTTTTTTAATTTTTTTCATGGTGGTTTCGCCCTGTTGATTCCCCTGTCCTCCTTGATTCCAGTTTTAATCTCTAAGCTATTAACTTCCTTCATTTATTATAGTACAGTATACGGCCAAAATGATAGACAAACTGACAGTAAAAATAATAGAAGAGTTACACCACCACCTTAGACATAATAGCGAATAGTGGATAAGTCCAATTAATTGATACAATTAAATATGACGTAAGTCAGGTCACATTTTGTGCAGATTTAAATGTTTGACAGGTAAAAACTGCAGCAATTTTTAAATATTTCTTTTTTTAGCACAATAAAATATAATTTAACATATTTTTTTTCGATGGTCGATAAAACATGACAGTTATATACCTATATATGTATATTATTCATAAACTTTACAACTTTATAGTTTTATCAGATGTATTTGAATGGTTTGGTTACATCATCAACTCTTAGTAACACTTTTATACCATAAGATTTGGAACCTCTTTTATGGCAACCCAAAATAAATACTATATTTTTGTGTAATGGCATAGCATCGGCGATTCTGTGTGCATTCGTAAAGAAGTGTATCTAGATTTTAACATTTCGAGAAATATGATAATTCCTTATTAATTATCTACGCCTTTTACATTAAATATCTCCAAGTAGATAACTTGTAGTAGTTTTTGTAAGGAAAACTACATAGATGTAATTTTTGGCAGTGATGCTGTTAGTCCCCATTACTTGCTATCTCCTTTTAACTCTATGTTATCCTGGGAAACATGGTTATTTCGTCACTTTAAGCTGATCGTTTCCCTATTATTATCTATCACCGATACCTCGCCAACGTTGTTATCCATTAAAAATACGATGGTTGCAAATTGTTTATTGTGTTTTAAGTAACACTTATTATAGGGGATTTCCTAAAGGTAATAAGTTGGATTTCCTTATACTACCGCGGTAAACAATGACACCATTACATTGTCAATATTAATCTATTCTTCATAAAACAATGTTCAATTAACATGACCATAATGTTTACTTCCGTATTTACGAGAGTTGTCGTCGTCACATAAGGTGACACATTCGTTTAACATTCTATAATCAGATATCCCGTTAAATACATTGTTCTTAAATAAAACATTAAATCTATGATTACAAGCACACTAGCATTGGCGTATATGAGATTATTTTCCAGAAGGGCCTGACTCTTTAAAAAGTCATGTAATTTATTCATTTAACTTTGCTCGCATGTCTAGGCGAACACAGATCACATGTCCTTGTTAAATGCTTATACGCACCAGTAGAGCTCTCTAGACCTGATAGGGTATATTGCTAGCAATGAGATGATTAGACCCAGATATTAACAATCTACCCCCTCCTCCCACCCCAATAGGTTATCATTACTTAATGTCATCTATCATCAAGACAACCTTCAGTTTATCAACCCATCAATGTTCTGCTAGACGGGTTGGCGGATATTTTTGCGTCGATGTATTACGGAAATCGATTCCTTCAGTAGAATTCTATTTATTTATAGGTTGAAATCTATTTTATAGATCCTCATTAAAAAATTAATTAAAATAAGACAAAGTACAATATGTGTGTAGTGACAGATGCAGTGAGTCATCACTGATTTTCATCTCCATAGAGATGAAATAGAACAGTGATTAACACCCTTGTTCTTGAACACGGTGATTTATAATAAGATTAATAGAATTATCAGTTTTTATGAGTATCTGTAAAATGGATCTGGTGATGAATTATTGATTTTGTAAACTGTTGGTATGAATCGTTGCAAATGGCGTCGTGATTATGACAATATTGGTATTACGTATGTAAACATTGTATTCGACGCGTTGTGGTTTTTGAATTGTCATGCTAACTGCAGTTAACTGTGTTGAAAGTAACATTGGTGGCAACAGAAGGGCAAAATATAAAATTTTAAATACTTAATTTTTGTTAATTGCACTAATACATGAATTCATTTGTAATTTAAAACAAAAAATCACAAACGCTCCTTATACTTATTTTGAACCTATTTAATTTATTTAACTATCACTCTATATATAATCTTATGTTTTTAAAAACATGTTATTGCCATTTTCCTTTTTGAACGTGTTTCCTATTTAGGCGTAGAATTTGAATTTTAATGGTTGTATGGAATGGATGGATTTAGATTCTTTCGGGAACGATATTTGTGTCGAGCAGTTCAATAAGATTTTGAATTCGAATTAGCTAAATACATCCTGCTGTATAATATAGATGTATGATTTGTCTCTTGGTAGTTACAATTTATATTTATGTATATAGATAAATATTTTATATTTTTTGTTATTTATTTGTGTTTATAAGCATTTAAGGGTATAAGTATATTGTAAATATGAGTGTTAAAATAATGTAATTTTTTATTATTCTTTAATAATTTATGTGAGAAATATAAGTATAAAAGTGTATTTCTTTTTTATTTTTTACTTTTTTTTATTTAACAAGACTACTACATACTAGTCTTTATTGCAATGAAATAAAAAACTTTTTTTTTATTAGAAGGAATCAAAATGTAATTTTATAATGAATCAAAATGTATTAGTTTTTATTGTTATAATTTTAAATTAACCACTGTATACAAAACAGTGAATTCAGAGATATTTTCGATACCTATTTTCTATTCCAATGTGCCACAAATTTAAACTAGTACAAAAGCAAGAGTGAAAAAAATCTCTCTTATGAATCTAATTTTGTCTTATTTCAATTTTGATTGTTGGTTGTTAGGAAATATTTTCTAAAAATAGGCAATCCGAAAATATAAAGTCATAGGCAAAATTGCAGTATAAAATAATTTATTATAATGGGCATTCGTCCATTTAGTGAATTCTTGTTACCCGAATACGGCGAAGGTAAAAAGACGGTTATGATTTTAACCGGTGTATGATTTTTATTTAAAAAGTACTTGCAATGCCAGCTTGAAGGGGACGTTTGCTCAGGGGCGTCTAAGGGGCACGCGTCGAAGTGTCGCATCAAATTAGACGTTACTTTTGGCTGAACAGCAGATCTGCGCGCCCAGAACGAGTAATCGATGGATTTATAAGCGGTAGCACTGTCTACTCGGTACCCCGTCTTTTTCTACCGTCGAGACGTCGTCTAAACATTTGTTCAGGGGTGCCAAGTAAGCTAAACTCGGATCTGAGAATAATCATCATATAACTATCATAATAACTTCTGTAGCCATTATAAATGTGGCATTGATTGGGTTGTTAACCTCCAGTGGCATAACTAAATGGCGACAGGGTTAACTGTAATGCAGTTGCGATATGTCTCATCATTTGTTTATGTATATTGTAAGGTTAATGCTCCAAACTAACTGTTAGATATGAATAACAGTTTTTTTAAAAGCTACGTCTAAATATTCCAGTTCCGAAACCTTCAAAGTATTTATTTTCTTCGTTTTGCGTTTCATTATCTTGTTACTTTATCCAGGGAACTTCTGTACTTGGCCTCGTAATTGGCCAAATCATAATTGATATTTTTTAAATCTAAAGTTTACTAATTGTTACACTCGTATAATATTATAGTCTAAGGAGTCTTCATGCAGTGCTTTATCGCCCAAAGAAATCTGTTGTTATGCCATATTCGTCTCAAGGATTATCACATTTATTTTCTTCCGACTTCAAATTGAGGAGTTTCTACATACATACATACATATCTGTCACGCCTGTCTCCCATTAGGGTAGGCAGAAACAATGGAACGCCAAATTACTGAAATTGAGGAGTTTCTCAATTTCAGTAATCCTGTTTTCTCATTTTTAATATGAATTTTGTTTTTGAATAATTCTGTGTTGCAAATTTAACTATTTTTGAATTTTCCAAATTCTACAATTTCTCTAATCTCGACTAAATTCTAACTTCTACGCGACTCGACTTTACCCGACTCAACCCAATTAGTAAAAAAAAACCGAGTTAGTTTAAGTCGGGTTAAGTCAAGTGTCGAATTCAGTCGCATTAAGCAACTTTGAATAAGTTTGACTAAATTTGGTCAGTTTATTCAAGTTTTTTAATACCTGAAAATGCAATGTAAATCCCGTTTATGGCTGTCGATACAAGATGGCGGGGCACCATTGAGGGATGATTGGCGAGGATGAACTTGACTCATAGTGATGAATTCACCAAAAATTAACCACGATAGTTTTCAGGGGTGCCAATGGTATCGACCTCTAAAAATCTAAAAAAAAGTTCTGGCTCAAATGTAAGTGATTACAGACCGCTTGTCCTGTGTATTTTTAGTAAATTATTTGAATATATTATATAAAGTCGAGTCAAGAAACAGATACAACGTCATCTAACTGATCATCGACGTGGTTTTAGACCTGGTAGGTCTACTGCTACAAATCCGTTATCATTCTGGGCATATATAATATAACACTAGCTGTGGATACAGGTTAATAGGTAGACGTATCTTAGTTCGATTATAAAAAGCTTTTGCCGTTTTAGATAATGACATATTACTAAAAACATTACAAAACATTTACAAAATTAGTAACACATTCAATTGTGAGCTTTTTCAGCACGATACAAGCCAAGTACTGAAATGGAGTCATGAGAATAATCTTATATTTAATAACACAATGAGTTCTGTACTCACCTTTAGCTGTGTCAAATCCCTTATGGGTTGATTATATGTTGAGGGACACGATTATTTCTAGGGTGAACCCAACCAAGGATTTAGATTTTATGAGTGAGGATATTACATTCAAAGAACATATAATAAACGTATGTACGCAAACGTTTCGGACGCTCGATTTTGACCTACGACCTACTTATAATTTACAAAACATTTAAATTATTAAATCTTTATATAATGCGATCGTGCGTAGCGAACTGGAAATTAATACTATTGTATGGAATCAACATGAAGGAATATATATATATAATAATGAAGATAGAAAAATTCAAAGAAAATTTATTCGATGATTAGTTATGTCCGCAGCAGTATGAGGTTTTCGTTGGTTATCCTAACATATATCTAAGTAATTTCTTGCTGGGTATAGTTGGATATAATACATTAGAGACACGACGTAAATTGAGGATAATGGAACATGTCTTACTTATTAGAGGATAAAAGGATAATTCGACCATTTCGACATTGATATCCGCATACGCACCTGAATATCATTTAAGAGCGTGACGACGTGAGTTATTTACATTACCGAGGTGTAAAATAAATGGCTAAATATTCTCCCCTCATATTTGTGTTGCGTATTCTTAATAATATGCTCAATAAGTATTCACAATTTATCTAAATTGTACTAATGAAGAATTTTACAGGATAGCAACAGAGTTCATCTATGGTGTTAATTAATATATATATATATATATATATATATATATATATATATATATATATTCTCTATTGCACTGAGACATACAGTATCTAACAAAACAATAAGAAGTTAATGTTAGCAAAGGCGAACTTATCTCTAAAAGAAAATAGTGCATGATGTGAAATAATTTGCATAAGGCCTTGTCTTGCGAATTGGTTAAGCTGTAATGCCTGACAAACTATTTTGTAAATAAATAAAATAAAAAAAAATGCAAAAAATGCAATGAAATAAAAAAAATTGAAGTTACTAATACATAATTATACGAAAGAACGAGCTCTTTAACGCTTAGGTTTTATATATTTAAAAGATACTATGTATATAAATATGTATAATCTATAATTTACTACCCAGAATGTTCATATAAGTTTCTTATTAATTTTTCAATTTACAATAGAGGACTTGTTTACTACTACTTATAATAACAAAGATTCAGTAATAAAGATTTTATAAGATAGGTATAATTTGTGCACTGTTAATACACTAATGTACAGTCAGACAATGTTACCGTACCAGGCATATGAGATCGACCATTTTAGAATGTATGAAAAAGTTTCATCGACTTCTTTGAGTGATAAATTTCCGGTTTTGCTATAACAACACAAATACGACGAAGACGACGTATGCACATACGAGTACATTATCAAGAATGGATTTCGTAAGTCCATATTTCTCTTAGAGAAAGACATCAAAGATCAGCAGCTTTTAATTTTATCTTCTAAGGTTCAAGCAAGATATAAACACACTTCCAGAATTCAGGCTTGAAGAAATCGCATTGTGGCGTTATATAGAATCCACATTGGAAATACTGCTACTAATCAAGTGAAGGTGTCGCCCCTGGTGTCAAGAGTAAACTGCCTATTTTATACATGAAAATCTCAGACATCCTGAAACTAGAAATGAAATTTATAAATCTTTATTCTCCAAATATTGTATTACACTGTGACCTACCATCCTGAAATCGGTAAGATCCTAGTCGTAAACGTATACTTATAACATTTTGTTCACCCATCTTATTATAAGCACAGCTCACCAATCCACATCATTATTATCATATGCGTTTGTACTTTTATAAAAAAATATTACGAATCAAAAAAACATGGCATATATAACTGATGAGATCAGTTCGGATCTCATATATTCGTAAGTGCGATTTGATCCTCATATACACTGATGTATTTAAGAGCATTCTCCATGGGGGGTTTAAAAAAAGAGGTATAATAAGGTAATTTTAAATATACTTATACTTTGCTTATAGCTGAAAGTTCTGTTTCAGAGTGGGAACCAGACAATTCTTGGGTGGACACAGCATGCTTATCCCTCCCCTCGCCCCTCTTAAATATGCTTTCAATTTACATGCTTATACATTGAAAACAAATAATGGGAAAAGGCTGATCCTCATATATTCAAATTAAATTTGGAATAGGTAACAAACATTTTTTAAATTACGTCAAAGGCTTCTTTTTATACTTTTAGCTACAGACATAATTGCAGGGCTGACAACTTTTATTTGCAGTAAATGAGGAAGAAAAAGTACGTGCTTATTAATACGAAACATTAAATTAAAAATATAGACCTCTAGGCCGAATTGATGATTTATTTGTTTAATTTAAAGGCTTCTGTAGATCATGGAAAAAGCCCCTCGTTTTGCAATAAAATAAAATGACCTTGTTTGTGCAGGATACTTATATTAAGTGTATGCATAAATAATTTGTGTTTATTTTAATGTAACATACCGATTCTGAGTTTGACTATGTAAATATACTTGTAACCATGTCGACTACTTTTGATAGACTGTATAGCGCAATGTAAATAATAAGTAAGTCTATATATTAGCATAAATTATATCTTCACATGTAGCTTCATGTTTTTTATACAATATATGTATATTACTAATACTATTAGTAATAAAATTGTAAATTATCGATAGTCGGATATTTAGTATTAATTATAAGTAATTGAAAAATGAACACCAAATTGTAGACTTAAGTTAACTATAAGTAGATTATATCGATTTGTAAATAATAATGTTTCCAAATTTTTACCTAAAATATCTATGTACCTATTACTGATATTGATAT